TCTTATTGATCTTTCGCAAAAACCAGTGCATTGGAGTAGAAAAATGACGAATAATATTTATGAATCTTTTTCTGCGACATTTCATCTCATTTGTCTCATCGCTGATGCTCCCATGCGAGCATATCTTAGAAACACCAAACAATATAACCATTTGAATGGATGCGACTGGTGTCTCATCACAGCAACTTCAAATAACAGTGGCGCTAGACTCTATAACAATAAGACACAACGAGAGATTATTGACCTAAAAAGGACTAGACAAGATTTTCTCGATTACAAAAATTATCTTCTAAATCCAATACAATCGTCTCAAAGCCCCAGGTTCAATGGTTTGAACGGAGTCTCACCTCTACTTCTATTAGACGATTTTGATATCGTGAATGGTATTTCCGTAGAGCCGATGCATAGCATTTCTAGGAGTCTTCAGAAATTTGTTGATCAAGGGATTCTTCAACAACACCAATCTACGAGAATCTATTACCGGAATGTTGATCGTTCATTGTGTAAAAATGAACTTAGTTCTCGACTAACTTCTATTTCTGTTCCGTCAGAATTTACTCGTGTTCCTAGAGACTTGGATCAAATCAAGAATTGGAAATCTAGTGAATATGATGCTTTTCTTTCTTACTTTTTTTCCTACAACTGCTGGTTTACTGCAATGGAAAATTATCAAACATATGGCAACATTATCCAGAATTTACTTTCTCGCTCACGTTGGTAATGGTTCGGAAAATGAGCTACAAGAGATCAGAAATTTAATTGAAGAGTTTCAATCGGGCGTCTCAAGTTTCTATGGGCCAAATTTTCTATCTTATAACCTCCATATTCTGGCTCACATTTCTGATTCTGTGGCTAATCTTGGACCGAATTCTAATGTGAGTTCATATCCATTGAGGACTACATGGAAAAATCAAGAGAAAAGTTCATAGATATTCTCATATTGGACCATCATTGATTCGTTTTTCATGTGATTTCAAGTATAAAGAATTCAAGGCAACAAGATTAAACAAATGGAGTTTATCTGATAAAGAAAAAGATTTTTGGCTGCTCAGCTGATCTCGTTTCTCTCACAAAATCTTCGATTCAAATACAACTTTTCAACTAGAAGAAAATTGACAGATTTCATCAACGAAAACTTCAATGAATTTCGATACTCTTATGGCTCAAGTTTGAATATATAAGTTCATTCAAATATCAAGGAAAAAGATATTCAACTTCTTACTATTGTGAAAAGAAAATAAGAGATGATTCTCACATCAAAACCAACGACGGAAAGTTCTACGAGATAAAATATATTGTCGACATCGATTCATCTTTATATCTTTTATGTCATCTTATAATCACGAGTCCAGTTAAAATCAACTACGAAGGAGATACTGGAGTTTTCTCGTTCGAATTGAGCAATATTCATGAGATTAGAAAAGAGTGTGGTGATTTAACAATTGTTAAACTCAGTGAAATATCATCAAAGGTCATACTTGTCAAGAGCAAAGATTTTCATTTCACTTACAGATCAAATTATGTCGTTGAAATGTTTCTCGAAAATAAGTGAAAATAAAGCCAAAACTTCAAGCGACTAAATTCGAAAAAATGAGAAAAAAAGCTATTCGTTCATTCTGGACGCTATTAATGTTCTTTGTTTACATTTTGTGGATCAAGTTTTTAAATCAATTCAATTATTTTTGGTGACAATTCTCTATTTCTTTTCAATTATTTGTGATTATAATTCAATTATTTATTATTCTCTGTGAACTGAATAATCAGTGAAAACAATCAACTAATTGTGAATAAAATCAAAGGTAAGTTTGTGACATTTTCAACGTTTATTTGATCAACATCACTAACATCATTTGATCTTCTTAAAGATGGGCAATATTTTGTTATTTTTCTGGTCAAGTGGAAAATCAAAGGATTCAGAATCTAATCAAAGAGAAATTAATCATCATAAAGAAAAAGATTCAAATCGTCATGTTTACATGGATTATGATGAAGAATATCCAGAAATGGAAATAGACGAAAAATATGAGCACATGGATTATACGCTTGAGATTGAAAAGATGGATATTCACTTCACGGATCTTGGAATCTATTGAAAAATTTAACCTTCATCAAGAGATCATTTTCACATCTTATTCAACCGACAAAAGTACAATTACAATGAAAGAAACAATCACCAAAACAAAAATTAATTCTCTCAAAAAAATTTCTCATTTAATCGAATTTTTTCAAATCAGCTTTATTTTACTCTCACTATTTTTCTAATGTCTTTTATAAATTTTCCTAACTGTGTGATTTTCTAAGTGCCAATAATCAATTTCCTAGAATATACAGGGCAATTCAGCTACTTTGTTGGTTTTCTTTTCACGATTTCTCAAAAACTACTAGATTGATAGGGTCCATATTTCATCTATGGAAGTTTGGGTGATACTCACTTGTCATATTTCAAGGTCAAGGTCATAAAGGTTATTCATGAAAGAAGGCACTTGAAGGTCATTTGAAGAACTTTTTGAAAACTGGAAATTTTTTTAAGCCTACCTGTGATGTTTTATCATTCCTGTACTTACAGGGTCTGATGCAATTTGCTTTCTGTAAAAAGTTATCTAAAGTAATCGATTTTGTTTTAGCGCAATACCAACGTTGCTTTGTGATATTATTATTTTTTGACTTCATGACCAAGCTTAAAAAAATTTCTAGTTTTCAAAAAGTTCTTCAAATGACCTTCAAGTGCGTTCTTTCACGAATAACCTTTATGACCTTGACCTTGAAATATGACAATTGAGTATCGGCCAAACTTCCATAGACGAAATATGGACCCTATCGGTCAAGTAGTTTTTGAGAAATCGTGAAAAGAAAACCAACAAATTAGCTGAATTGCCCTGTATATGATCTCTTTTTATAAAATTTCTATGATAAATATCAAATTCTATTGTTGAAAAATTGTCAAATTCTGTGATTAAAAGCTTCATTAAGCTCAAAAGTGTTTTCCAATCTACCAGAATTTTTTCATAATTAGTCTTAAGCACAAGAGTTTTTTCGCTTTTTTTAATAATCGCCATTGTATAAAGATGGATTTTTTTCTCTACTTTTGACTTGTTTGGAGTCCAAAATTTTTCATCTAAAATTTTTCTGATTCAAAATGGAGTCGGATTTACCTCCAAAAGCCTCCAAATTTGTTAGTATGTTGATTGGGAATGACTTTTAAAGTTATTATTGAATTAGATTAACAATCAATCAAATTGTTAAACAATATAACAAAATCCATGTAATAATATATTGTTCATATTCCAATCATCTCTAATCATTGCCTAATTAATTACTCACAAAAAACACGACTACAAATTAAGTCTTTGATTTGTTTACCAATCGATAGTTTTGTTGATTAATTTTCTCAAGTAAAATGAGATCCATGAAATCTCATTGAAGTGAACACTTTATCATGTATTTATATCTTTCATTTTACTATGATGAATTTGATTATAATCGAGTAACTTTTTTTTTCTTCCAAGAAGAAACAAAGAAAAAGTTCTGATGGAAAATCTGTTCTGAATACATGAATGGGTGATAATCTGAATTGAAAATGGACGTGATATCTGTGGTTATTGGTGTAAACACCGATTTGATTGCCAGGATAATAAACGATAATAGTGATTTGTTAGTGATGATTATTAGGAGAATGAGTTTCCAATGATCTCCATTCAATCCAATCAGGATAAATCCCAATGAAAAGAAATTATTATTTTGCTTCTTGCAACCAATATCATCTCAACATCTTTCTGTCATTATCATCATCATCATCATGTAAAGAAAAAAAGTTCCATCAAGATGAAAATGATCAAAACAATATCAGATATCGATGATATTAGTTGCATTTCCTTTTTATTTCATCATTTCTTTCGCAGTTTGTGTACATTTGATACGGTTATTTTTTCATATTATCCCTTTTTTGTCCTCAATCTGATTCTGATGTTTATATGATTCCTTATTGGTTGTAAATAATAGTTGTGAGATGAACAGGAGATAAGCTTTTGAGTAAATGTAGACGAAATTTTATCTCGAACTTTTTTATCGTTTTTTCATCTTTTTTGTACATTCGTGTTTTCTTCGTACACCCCCGCATCTCTCTCTCTCTCTCTCTCTCTCTCTTGTTTTTTGTCTGGATCTTTATTTAGAAACCAAGATTACATTTTAACTTCATCATTGACCATCATCATGTTTCCATTCATTGGGATTTCAAGCGATTCAAGATATTACCTCAGTAGGAATAAGATACACAGCCTCAATCATTATCACATTTATGATTATGATGTTATGAAAGGAGAAGAAGCATTATATCAAAATGAGGCTCAACATTTTGGTTGACATTTACGTTATCAGGACAGGGAATTCTATCAATACAACAAATCACAATCAAATTGATACCATTATCAGTATTATAATCACCATTAGAAACACATTTAATGAAATACTATGAATAAAATGTAGTAAACATTTCAATTCAAGATTAGGAAATACTAGTACATGTATAACAAATTCATAATCCAAACGTTTTCTCAATAATTTAACCGACAATTTGCTCATCTATCGTCCAGTAATTCATTGATTTCCCATGAATTTAAAATGAAATTTCATCAATAACAAAAATATCTTGAGAATAATCTTTACATTAATAGAAACTTATTGGTATTGAATGACCACTTTTGACTGAATTTAACCTCAGAATAGACACTATTATTAACATTGTCTATGGAAGATGAATAAAAATGAATCTATTGATCCAGCAAAAAGTGTATTTCCTTTTCATAACCATCATTATCAACCAATATCATCACCAATTTAAACATGAATGTAAACAATAATAATAATAATATTAGAATAATATTTGAATCAATGACATTCATGAAGTCTTTGTATTCAATGTTGTTCATACTTCAATTGGAAAAATATATAAATTCAGTTGCTATTACATGATTTGTATTATATTATTTCATTTATTTCATCATATTTTTAAAATACAATAAATACATTACCTTTTTTTCATCAGGTTGGTTTTATCATTGGAAAATCAAATTATTCAAATTGAACACATTCTTTTTGTCAGAATTCTTGAAATTCTAGACTTTTCCTTTCAAAGTTGAAAACTGTCTCAACAATCAGCAATTAGCATGGAGAAAGTTTGAAACTGTCAATTTTATGCATAATTAAATTGAATAAAAAAAAGGATGAAAATCAATTTGTGTTTAAATTGTTGTCAATATGAATATCTGATCAAATTATTTGCGATATTTATTATTATTAATACTTCATCAACCATTTATTTTTTTTTATTTTTTTCGTTCTGAGAATTTGAAAAACTGAAACATTTCTGCTATCATTAATACACCTTAATCGGATTTCAGGATATTCTCATGTGATAAAACTGTACATTAATTGGTTATTCAGTATCGCTGCTAATACAAGTATAAAAAACTTAAACATCGTTGTGAAATTAGATGTTACCATGGAACAGGTAGAGATAAATGGAGGTGAAAATGATAAACATGATGATGAAGATGAAGATGATTTGAAAGGGAAAAATTTTGTAAACATTTTATAATTAGATTGCCCGTCATTGGAACTTGTGAATTCTGTTGAGCTTCCTTCGTCATTTTGAGGCCAATTATGGGAAAGTTGCTTCGCACCTAAAGAAAGTTTGTTATTGGGAAGAATTGGAATTAACAATTTAGGTCAAATTTTCATTTGGAAATTTTGTCTTTTCTCTTGAGATCAAAATTCAAATCAGCTGATTGAACAATAAAGATTCAAACTCACCTTGGAGAACGTGTAAAAATATGGAAGAAGGTTCAATATTAAATGGTGCACAGGTATAATTACCTGAACTATTGTAACGAGCATTTCTCAGGGTTAATCGTGAGATTAAGGTATCACTTTGAATAGGATCTTTAATCAGGCTAACCTGACCTAATCCTTCATTATTAAGATCATAGTTAATCATGCGATCATTGTGATACCAGAAAACATATGAAGGTGGATTAGGTGATTGTGATATAATACATGTTAAGTTAATTGTTGATCCAGCTGAAACGATTATATCATTTCCTGATCCGGCAATCCGTGTATAAGGAACTGGATTAAAAGTGATTAGAAAACAAGAATGAGAGAGAGAGAGAGAGAGAGAGAAATTAAATTCAAGATAAAATCAATAGAAATTTCTGTTAATGAGATTGAAAAAAGTTCAATCATATTAATAATCAAATGCTAATTGTAATTCACTTTTCTAGCAGTTTATTCACATATGTATTATTTAGGTAACAATTAACAGTCGTGATCAGAAAAATCAATTAACATTGAACCGTTTAATTAATACATTGAAGGGTTTAGGTAGTAATAAAAGTTTAATTGTAACTAACAATCAACAAGAAAGGAAAAAATTTATTACAGTTAACTAACTATCCTACCATTATGATGATGATTATGATTACTATTATTGTCTATTTCACCATTATGATTAAATCTGAACAATCGTTATTATTTTTGATCATTGTAATTGTTAATTTAGTTTGTGATCTCTATTGTTTTCCAATGATTTATTATCTCATTTCGTTAATTGAGTTGCTTGATTGTGATTTACCTTTTTTTTATATACAGATAAAATGTCACATTGTTTTATCAATGGGTAAGCCTAACTTTTAAGATGATCATTCATTTGAGACTAAATTAATCATTAGCTATCACTTTCATTGTTATGATTAAATTGTTACAATTAGAGATAAAGAGAGGAAAAAATTTGACCTCAATTTGACAGTTAAAAGTGATGCACATCAATCAATTGATTGTTTCCATGTTTACTGTTTATTTTTCATAATTAACTGATTATCATCACAGTTCTGACTCTGTTCAGGGAATTATGATAACGAAAACTTTTTCAGAATCTCTCTCTCTCTCTCTCTCTCTCTCTCTCTCTCTCGTGACTTTTGATTGTGATAATTTATTATTATCATCGTCATAATAATGTATTCATTATCATTGGTTTCAATTTTAATGATTCTTATATTAATGAATCATGAATACAATTTAATCCATTCCAATGAAATCTGAGTATTAATTTTTTTTTGCTTTTCTTTTCCATAAGTTTGATTTATGAACTAATACTATATTTCATGATGAAATAATTTTGACCAGAAAAACTTCAATAGATTTTGAAGTTTCCTCTTATGATATTTGTTTACATTCATGTTGATTTCTAGATGATAAATTGATTAACATGATGATTTTTGATGATGATTGAAAGATGAATAAAATTTATCGTCTTTGTTACTTGTAATGATATAACTGTCGGAAAATTATTTCCTTTGATTCTAATGATAAGTGTTCATCAAATTTAGGTTTTGAATTACAGATTATTATTATTATTATTGTCAGAATCTATTGGCTTTTTCCCCTTTTACTTTCATGGTAAATTTTTAGTTTTCATCATGATCATGATGATGATAGTGTAGAATTTGCAAAATGACAACAAGAATTTGAATTACATAATTCAGATTATTATTATTATTATTGCAGAGGAAAATCAATGAAATGAGAGTTTATACTTGGACTAAAATTCACCATGATTATTATTCAATGAATGAATTTTCTGGTTTTGGAATAAAAATTCTTATTATTATCATAATTCTATTGATCGTTTTCCCCATTCTTTTGGTCATGGACACGTTTCAATGAGAGAAGGTGAAAAAGTTATGTGAGACTTCAACATCAATTAAAGTTCTGGTCACTATGTGGTCACTATCATGATTAACATAATTTGAATTCTGCAAATTATGATGATGAATTTATGAGTTTAATTGTTTTCTATTGAATTTTTTTTTCTCGATTTCTCTTCCAATAAAAGACAAAGAATAGACTTTAACAAAGATTATTATTGGAAAATGTCAATGTTTTTGCTATTTGTTTTGAGGAAAAAGGATGAAAAGAAATGAAGATGCGGAAAGATGAAGAAGATGGTGAAAAATAAAGTCAGTTCTTTGTATTTAATATCAGCTATTTTTGTTCTCATCATCATCATGTTGTTATTTCACTCACTGAGAAGATGAAGTAAAAAGGAAAAGGAAAAGAAGGAGAGAGAAAGATGATAATGATGATAATGCTTTCTTTACTTTTCTTTTCTTCTCTTTTTCTCCATTACTCTTCCCCTTTGTTTTCATTATCTCAGAATGATGAAGCTGATGAAGATAATGACGATGAAAATGGTTCAATTGCATCGAAACTGAATTAGCTTAGATTGAGAAAAATAAGGAAAAGGAATAGAGAGTTAAAAAGGATGAAGATGAAAACAAGGATGAGAATGATAAAGATATGCTGTCATGGAATTGGCTCAACATAACAATATAATGACGAGGACAAAGTTTGTCACCATAAATTGTCTTCGAGCAAATTTACAATAACAAACTATTTAACGTGGAGGGAGTGGTAGAAGTGGTGGTGTTGATGATGACAATTGAGAAGATAAACATTTCGAAGAGAAAGAGAGAGAGAGAGGAAGTTTTATCGAACGAGATTTGGAATTTTTGCTTCTTCTTTGGATAAGGAAGATGAAGTGAGGCAAATGTATTCTAAAGGCTAGTTGTATGTCCTGAGTAGGATTCGAAGTGGGGATATTGATAGAGAAAATGAAAGAAAGTGAAAGTTTAAGTTGAAGGGATTTACACATCTATCAATGTGTAACAGTTATAAATATCCATCCATGAGGATGTATTAAGTGTGAATATGTGAGGTTGAGATAAAGAGAGCAAGGGATTGGATTCATTTTTCCATCTCATCTTATCCTTGGTGTTAATCCTTGTGATGAAATTGCTTATCCCCCTTCTTTTTTTCCTGCATAGTCTTAATCCATTTTCTTATTTCTCTCTCTCTCTCTCTCTCTCTCTCTCTCTCTCTCTCTCTCTCTCTCTCTCTCTCTCTACTTATCATCGCAATATCATCTTTGCCTTTCATTATTTTTATCTCCATCAAAACTTTTGGCTCATCAATAGACCAATTGTTATTTAGTTCCTTTGATTATCATGACAAGTTCAATCTCTCTTTCCCTTTACTACTCATTGAGACATAACAAACAAAAAGACCAATATAATGACAACAACAAGGTAGTCATGATGATCAGACTTTTACCTTATCCTCCTACACTCCGATCTTAGGGTTAATAGTAAAATATTTGACTTAAATTGATAATCGTTGGTACATTTTTTTTACTATTTGATTTGACACATTGTCAATCGACTTGCAATCAATTTGACTTTATCTGTTGACAGGAAGATGAACCTGAAATATGAACGGAAGTGATAGATGTGGGTAGAGTTTGATTGGTTTTATTTACTGAAAGAGGAGGAAAAGGAAAAGGTAAAGATGTAGACAAGAAAATGAATTAAAAAGGATGCTGAGGATAAAGAATCTGTATGATCAATCTAAAGGTAACAAGTAAAAATGATTTATTCAATTAATACGATCGATTGGGATGAAGGAAAATTAAACAATATCGATTAAGTTATCATCGGGATTTTGATAACCTATTGATTTGATACTCTTTTTAAAACAATTCAAAGTTAATCATAAGACGTGAAGTAATCAGACAATTAATTGATTATCTCAATTTCTCAGCTAATTGTATGTTTATCACAATCAACTGTCACATTTCAATTGTTAATCAAAGGAAAGTCAATTAAATCTGTTCATCTCTGTAACTGGCAGATTATTGAATCTGATTGTCGACGAAAAATTTAATCAGCTAATATTCAATCAACTAATCACTTTCTCTCTATTGTTTTAACTGTTACAAGGAAAAAAAAATCTAATCACAACAGTTACATTAAATCAATAATCAATTGGATCAATTAAATCCTGTGTTAACTTTGATTGAGAAAAAAAAAATCTTGTTATGATGATTAACTTGATTGGTCTGATGATGATATTGATTTATCTTCAATACAATTAACACAAAAGCTTTTTTTTTTCATTAACCATTATTGTTTAATCAATTAGGTTTAATTAAAATTAATCGTTATCAATTGTAAACGATTGTTTTACTATTCCGATTGAATATATGATTGAATTGAAAATGAGATTGAAAACTGATGATGAGAAACATTTTTGACAGTTGAATGAATAGATTTCAATTAGGAATTTGAATAATGATGATAATCATGATGATGGTGATGATCAGGGTGATGATGAAGATGATTAAAATGGGAGAGTGAGAAAATTTCATTCTCTTCCTATGGTAATCAAATTGAGAATGAAATGAAATGATGTTGGTAAATCTAGTAGGTTGGATCATTAATCAATTCCAGAGGTAAATGCTATTGACTCAGTAAATTGTTTCAGAAAATGAGTAATTTAAGAAGATTCTGAGAATGAACTTTTCCCTTGAACACCCAGAGCTAAAAATGGATCAACTATTTTCACCATGGTAACTGCTTCTATTATTAGTGTAGTTCCGAGCTGAACTTTCGCTGATCAAGTTGTCAAACTTTTTAGAACTTTTTTTCCCCCAATAAACCAGTTCGATATTTGGCTTCCATTCTAGAAACTATCTTGAATAATTATCGACACTAATGATTTGTAATTAAGTAATTGTTTGGTAATATCAATGAGATGAATAAGAATTAGAAAAAATCATTTTGGTTCCATTTTCAAAGTGATAATCATTGGGATACTTTCTGGTGATAATTGACAATCTTCAACCAATAATTGATAATCAACATGATTGATAGTTAATTGATTAACTATAATCAACCTTTTTTTTTGTCTATGTGTCAGTTAATTGTTAACTTTGATCATTAACTGACAACAATTCACTCGAGAATACTAGTCATTAATTTGCTTGGTGGAATAGCAAGAAATACAAATAAACAACTTGAATTAACTTTGTAATAAATTACAATTAGCATTGATTCATTTCAATTAATGTAATAAATATCCATTAATCGTAAAGTTAATTAATTGAAATTAATCATTTATCTTCAAGTTAATCATCAATATTCAGTAGCTGGAAATAATTAAGTTTTTTCAATAATTAAAATGGTAACATCAAATTAATCAAAAGTAAACCTTAAGAGGATTAACTGATTTACTGATTGTTACAGTAAATTTAATCGATTATCATTGTAACAATTATAATCACATTGAGATAATCTTATCAAGCGAGAAGATGAACAAAAAAAATCAATTCAACAATAACAATCAGTTAATTACACAATTTACCACAAAATTTAAATTTCCTTATTTGAATTAATATCCTTGATCAATGAAGTGAATTGTTTTACTACACTTTACTATTATTATTATATGAGACAATTAATTGACAACAATTGAGAAACAATTTCATGGTTTGTTTAACAATTTGAATTGACAAAAAAAACTGAACATGAGATCAACTAAATCAGATCAATTAGAGTCAATGATTAATTACCAGGTAAACATTTACAATGATTAAAAAAGTAACGGTTGTTATGATTAAGATCATTAATAGTTACATAGCTGTGGATGTTTTTTAGTGATGGTCACTTATATCATTCGAGTAATGGTCAAGATGAAAGGTTTGTATACTCACCAAGAACCTTTAGATAAAAATATTGACTTCGAGGAGGGTCAGTGTTTACTTGGCACTCATAGAGACCTTCGTCTTTGGGTGTGACATGTTTGATCTGTAGCGCCCAATCATTGGCCTGAAGTGTCCCATGTCGAATGATAAATCGTGAATCAGATGAATAGGTGAACAGTCCAACGGTCAGTAAGTGGAAATCACGTAATCTTATCCATGATACCTGAAGAAAAATAATGGAAACGAAAAGAGAGAGAGAAAATCAATCATTAAAAAAAAAGAATACATAACAAAGCAAATCTATTGTTTTCTTTTTTCATGATTAACTGTATCTTTATAATTGTAACATGATTAACAAGAGATCAGAATTGGATTCAATTCGGAAATTTATCCTCATATTACTTTTTTCCTATTCTTAATCATCCTAATCATCTCTGAGTATTTATACTCAGAGGGAAAATATCACTTTCAGGTTTCGTTCAGTTGATCATCATTTCTGTGTCTTTCTTTTGTTTCATTCTTAAAATAAGATGATCATAATGATGATGATAAGCAAGATAATGAAGATGAGGAAATCAGTAAGAGAAAGAGACAGAGACAGATAAAGGAAGATGATAAAGGAAGATGATAATTTAGATTATGAGTTTATTATATGTTACACATAGTTTATTATCTATGTGGCATCATAATCATCAAGGATGAGGATGTGGTTTTTGTTACCTCAGTTCTTAATGATAATTTTTCATCCTCATCCTTTTGTTATCATCATGAAACTTGAATTATTATTGTATTATTTTCATATACAGTGTAACCTTTACCATGGTGTATTTAGCATTCCCTGTTGGTTAATATTTCGCTGTTTTTATCCTAAACAATTTGTAATAACTTGATATCATGATACCCGATGATATTAATCATGCTTATGATTAAGTTTCTTTTAGCAACTTTTAGTTTCTAAACTTATTGAAACAATGCTGATTATATGGTAGCAATAAGCCAAATGGTTAACTCTATCTATAAGTTTTAATCGGCTATTTAATCTTGTGATCAACAAGATGATTGATTGAGTCCAACTTTGGACAATTTATTATTGATTGATTTGATAATGATGTTAATTTGAAACAATTAATATCTAAAAATGATTTTCTTTCAGCTCCCAAGTGATGCTGTTGATGGAAAAAAATTTTCTCCGATTTCTTTTTTTCTTGGCAGCTTATACTCAATAATTTACATCCCAATGAATTTCTCATTGGTGTTTTTGTTAAAGATTTCACCCTGACAAGAGAGGAGAGAGAGAGTCACATGTCACTCAGTGAGAAAAAAGGATATCCGGATGATGGGCTTATGATGAAGGAGAGAGAGAGAGAGAGAGAGGATGCATGGTAGATGGTGAATATGATACTGATGCAGAAACCATGGTAACTTCATCGATGAGATGAATTACTATTCAAGTTTATCAAGTTGATATCATCTTCATCCGATGATGAACTGAACAACAAAAACGTCAGTTGATGGATTCTGTCAATATTTTTTTTCTTCCTCATCATCATCTCTAATCATTTTCATCATCCTTTTTGCTTCCTATGGATCAGAGTAGGAAAAGAGAGATTGAATTATTCAAACTTTAGGAAGATTTTTTCAGCTTATCTCCGAAAGTTATCACAGTAAAGAAAGCGCAAAGAGAATGAGAGAGAGAGAGAAATTTTAAAATTCACTAAAAGTTCTGAACAATATAAGCCATTGATACTGAATGTTAACATACAATGGAAGCAGATTTTTATTCTGTATCATGTTTGTTAGAATAAATTTTATGTAAGATGAAGGAAAGATTTGGTTGAGATGATGATGAAAACTCTCGTGGAAAAGTTAAGCTAATCTAAAATAAACTCTTGTTCATTACAGGTCAATATAAATATTCCAGTTACCCTGTAAAAGAATCATGATTCTAACATGTTTAACAAAAGACATGAACTGAATATATTGGATGAACTTTTCACTTCCACTACAAAGATAACCCAAGCATCTTAAGCATCAGGGTTACAAAGATGATAATGATTAACCTGAATTGAATACAATGTAATCAGAAATGAAAAGTTGAAAATGAAAATTTATCAAGAACAAAAAAAATCAATGAAAATAGACTAGTGATCAATACTAATTGAAGTAATAGTTAATGATGATAACTTGAAAAAAAAGGGATAATGATGATCAGGGTGGAAGAAAAATATTATCAAATCAAAATTCTGAGCCATGATGTTGCTGATTATTGATTATTATTATGAGAAAATAGATTTTGATATCAAAATAATGATGATGATAACAATAATGATGTTGATTCCTTTCCCTAAAGTTAATAATGTTAACTTTGGGCTGTTAATTGCAATTGAGATATTAAACTCAAGAGAATTGATTAATTGAAATAACAGTTGATGGGCAGAAAAAAAAGTTTCCTCTCATATGATATCAATGTTGTATTGTAAAAGTTTGATATCATCAGAATTGTTGATTTATATATATGAATACTATCTGATCAACTCTCAATACCCATGGAAGAAAAAAAATTTTATACTCTTTTCAACCACCAAGAACTTTTTATGATGAAAATCATGATGAGTTGACATGAGATTGAGCTGAAAATGTTAAGGAAAAAAAGGTTTTCGTTGAAAAAAAAATAACATACACACAAACTCCCAAAGCTCAATGAGACACGAGAGTTAAATTGTGATTAACTGAATAATATTTATATAAAAAATGTTATTATAACATAAATATACTTGGAGGGATAAAGATAACGATATGGATGATAAACTGGAAGAGGATGATGGAGGTGGTGATGGTGTATAAATGCTGTGGAGTAAAACGAGATGATAATAATTTTCGAGTGAAAGTACAAAAAGATTGAGATAAGTTTTTTTTTTCTCATTCCATTTGATTCCAAATCGTTATGGAATCATGATTATCAGAAATTCATGGGAGTTAAACTGATAATGATGATCGATTAATCAATGATTTTCTCTACACCACAAAAGTTTCCAGGTCTTGCAAATATCTTTATAATATCTATGTTAATATTACCGTTATTTTTTGTTTCTATTTTTTTCTAACAAAAAAAACCTAATCTATTCAATCATGTGTTTTATTACTATGAGATCGTTTCCTTTTTTTATTATACTCATCAGAACAGTTTCATTATGATATTGATAATGATGATCTAATGAAAAAGTGACCCTGGTCCAGAAAACGGTATCATAATAATCAGATAAATTATCAGTTAAATTACGTGATAATCTGAATAAATAGTCTGAAAAAAAGTCTTTCAGTACAGAAGCCACAATAACAATTTCTATGAAACTTAACCAAGCTTGAAATAGATATTAGCTTAGATATTAGGCAAGAGAGAGAGAGAGAGAGAAAGTGATTCTTTGACAATCAAATAGATTCTGATGATGATGATCAATAGATGAAAATGATCATCATGATATTTGAAAGTCGACCGACAATCAATGAAACATGTTGTTTGTGCTGTTAAAGTGATTGTATTGATGCATAAGAAGATTTGATAAATTCAATAAGAATCATCATGTTCAATGTTCACAAAAAGGACTGAAGAAAATAACATGAGCCGCCATTTAATAACTTATATTGATAATGAAAATGAAAGAGAAGATGAGGATGAGGATGAAAAGGGGAAATGAATGGAAGATAAAAGTTCTATTGCTCTTTTCATCATCTTCCTCCTTCCTCTAGCATTACGAAACTGTTTAAATAATATAACAACAGGAATCAAAAAGTTCAATTGATAATGATAATAATCAACTATTGTATTGATATATATTTCAATGGTGAACAAATAAGTAGTGCAATTAAATTGCTAGTATCATTTTTATTGTTGATTGTTATTAAAACAACAATCAACTCGAAAAAGTCATTGGAAAGTTTTATTGGAAAATTTTACTCAGGTAAAACTGGATCATCATTGACACTCAATTTCTTATGAATTAAAGGTAAAAAAAAGTATATTAAGATATTGGAAAATAGGAAATTGGTTCATCCCGAATCTGTGGATTGAATTTACTTTGACTTAAGGCCAAAAACATGAAACATTGGGATAAATTTACCCGGTGACCTTTCAGACTGACCTGTCAGGTGAATGATATATGTATAAATAAATTGACAAACATGATCAGAGATTCAGAAAATATCATGGAAAAAAATTCTAAGAGGAGTAAAAACCACTCTGATTGAAATGCTTTTTTCTCCCTTCTCTCATGCAAGGTTGAAGTGAAGAAAAAAAGTTCCAACCGAAAATAGTTCAAGATAATCTGTCTTTTTTTTTGGTTAACTTTTTTTTCTTCATGGTTTCAACTACTGTCCAGTTTCAGCTTCTATCATTGTTATGACCATAAAAGAAGAAGAAAAAAAAAACTATATAAAACAGTCCCCATGTCATCATCATCATCATCGATCCACAATTTAACTGTAAGATTGTTTGTTGTTTTTGGTGCATTGATTTGGTGTGTCCAGAGTTAAAACAAACTAGATGACCATCAACATTACATTAGAATCATTGTAAAAGATACTTAGGAAAGCTTATACTGAGACTATGGTACAGTCTCATGGCAAAAGTTTCTGTAACTGCTCTCGAACATGTAAAAGTAAATTAACTTACATGTAGAGACTGAATCTGAGAAAATGGAAACTTTCAAGATTGACCCAATTTACTATAAGTTACATCAACCCTTTAATATTTATCATGTAAACAGGGTGAGAATTCATCGTCAAGAGTAAAAAAAAAGTTCTGGTCATCCCTTTAACTAATTCATGATCATGATAATATATTATCATGAAATTTGTTCCATTGGGAAAACTTTTGATTCCAAAGTTTGATTGGTTATAAATTGAGTTTTAGTGATGAATTTATATTTATTAAGGTTCTTTGGGTAAGTAGAAACGATTGACAATTTAAGATGGATTAAGATTTATCGTAATCCTAATCCATCTTAATTGTTGTCCAATCAATGATCAACTTTAAATTGTCGCCATTTATAGTAACAGACTTCTTTTTTATGTGACTTGATTGTAGAGCAATTAAAACTTATGAGAATCGATCAACAATTAACTAATGCTCTTCAATCAATGTTTTCACTTAATTGTCACTTTTAGTTTATTTGATTTTCTCTATTAAATTTTCTGTTTATTTGTTTGTTAATTTAATTGTTGAATAACTTTCAGTATTTTTGCCCTCAAGTTAAATTGTTGTTTCTTCCTATTAAATTGCTTGCAACTCATTTTAGATTCAATTTGATTGTAATAATATTATAACAATCAAACATCAATGGTATTGGTGTATTATATTAATTGGTAGGTACGTTTATGGTCAGTTAATTAAAGCTAATTAACTGACCTTTTATTTGACTACAGCTTAATTCATTAGGTACAATCACTTGATTATCGAGTTGACCAATTGAACCTTGTTAGCAATTAATGTAACCAATAGTTTATGTTTACTTTATTTGATGTTGATGATGCAATTAAATGCAATATCAATTAGTTTAATTGTCACAAAAATACACATTTGATCACAAGGATAAAACTGAATGACAAGTAATTTAGTTTGGGTTAATATTATCATTACAATTAAAATACAATCCAAATGATTAAAGGTACTATGACTACTTAAAATTTTAGCTTAATCATTTAAAACCAACTACAATTAATACAATTTGATTGGTTAATCAAATCAACGTTAAAATGAATAAGATTCTGGAGCAATTAAATCAATCAAGATTACTAATTATTGTGTCATCACTAAATTTGTTAATCAGATAAAAATGAAACTTAACTGTCAAGGTTAATTGTTAAATTGATTGTATTTATGAATTTAATTAGATGAATGTTGATTATTATGATGAATATTAACAAATTAATGTAATATAATTAATGTCAACATTTATTTTGGCAAAAAAAAAGTTAAATTAGTTTCAACAAATTGAGTTAATTGTTGCCAAAATTTGGTTGCTCTGTGATTATGATTTAGCTGATTAGTGTTATTTTTTTACATAATCACTTTGATTGCTTGATTATTATTATTATTATTATGGTTATAATTAAATTAACTGTCATCATTTGAATTGTGTGGGGAGAGCAAAAAAATTAAATCTTAATCATGTTAATCAAGATGATTTAAAATAATGTATTACAATCAAATAAAAAAAAAGGTAATCATGATTGCTAATAATCAAAATGATAATGGTAATCAAATGGTTATAATAATCATCATCATTTGATACAATTAAGATATTAAATCAATGATAATTGCCATAATCAGATTAAGATGTTAATCTTAATCACTATGAATGTTGATTCATTAATCAATTAGTTTTCACAGGTTAATTATCTGATAATTAGATAACTCTGATATTACTAATAATAAAATTAAATCATGATGATACTAAAGATGATCATCTTGATTGGTTTAATTTAATGTTAATTGTCAAATAAGAAATTAAAATGTTTCCATCAAAGAGGAAAAAGTTAGTCAACCTAAAATCAACTAATCAATATAAGTCTCAGATCAATAATTAATTATAGTAATTAGGAGAGTAGGAGTGAATTTAAAATTTATACTTCTCAAATCTTAATGATGATGATACATGAAGATTAAGATTTTATAATTGTTAGCAATTAGTTAAATTGTTTAAAATTAGAAATGAAAAGTTTTCCATTACATTTTCAGTCAAGTTAACTATTCATTGATGTTGATTTGTAAATCTGTCAACAATAACAGTTAATCTTAAATCATTTGAAACTGTTATGACACACCTTTAATGATGATGATGATGATGATGATCAGTATAATCATGATCATCGTCTGATGAGAGAGACGATGAACATTCAAAAATCAATGTGATGAATATAATTCAGACAAAATATCCCAATGTGATTCATTAATATAATTGAACTGTGTTACTTTCTCATGTCAGAAACTTATCATGATAGTAAATCAAAATTTTCCATAAATGATAAGTTATATTGAACTGAATGAATATACATGAATGTAGTATATTCACAAGAATAATAATTTTTGGGTGTAAACCTGAGAAAAGATAAAAAAAAGATACTGGACAACATGTGAAGAGAAACACAACTGACCAAAGGAAATGATGATGATTTATATTATTAGTTGAATATGATAACATATGATATGAGGATGAACAGAGAGAGAGAGAGAGAGAATTTTTTTTTCGCAAAATTCAGGTCAAATAACATTAATAGTGATCATTACTAATATTAGAATATAATTTATATTAACTGACCATTGGTCATTCCTCTATTTTTTGGTGAAAATTGAAATGAAAAAAAGGTAAATGACCAAGTCAATCAATTCTCATGAAAATATTTCAATGAAAATGTAAAAGTTGATCAATTGTTTCATTTTCCCTGTGAATATATTTTTAGATGTTAATAAGATTTAACTTTCTATTTCTCTTTTAACAAGTTATCATAATTTAAATGGCATCGAATTTGAAATTAAATTAGATTGCCAATTAAATTGCTTTGAAACTAAATGGTTGATAATAATAATAATGATTACTGTTGATCAGATGGTTAAATTGTTGAGGTTGAATGGATTCATGTTGTTTTCTTATGATGATGTAGATTAGAATAGGAAAAAGTGTTTTTTTCTTGCCAAAATGTTTCTAAATATAATGTTAGGTTTTCTTATGAGAAGATAAGTAATGTTACTCTTTGCCAAGAATGTTTTTTGGGAGAAAAAGGATGAGGATGGAGATGGAGATGGAGATGATGATGATGATGAAAGATGATAGAAGGAAACGTTTCGTCTATGGATGGGGTTTAGGTTCTAACCGGCAAGGAGAAGATGATGAAGAAGATGGAGAGAATCTCCTAAATTTTATATTTTTCTTCTGAAGTGAAGAAACTGAAAACTTCTTGTTCTTTTTCTTCTTTTCTCTCTCTTTCTCTTATCATCCTTATCATCTTTTCTTTTGTATTTTTCTGATGATGATCATTTTCTTGTTGTTCTTTTTCTTCTCAGGAAAATGTAAAATGCAATTGATGAGGATGAGAAGAAGAAAAATAAGAATGAGAATTAAGATGCCTTTCGAATTTGTAGAAAAATTTGTTCGCTTTTACTTTTTTTTTGTTCTTATTCAATTTTCTCCATGTTATTTGCTTCTTTCTCTTTGTCTAAATGTAACACTCATCTTCACTCTTCATTTGCATTTTCTCATCATCATCATCATCATTAAGTTGCTCAATTATCATGAACTTTTCGCCTGATTTTTTTTGTTATTTTCTTTCATTCATATCTTACCATTTTGTCACCAATTGGTTCAACTATACAATGAAGATAAACCGGAAGTCCTACTTGGGCTGTGATGTTTTTTGGAATTGCTTTTTCCTCCAGCATCCGCATCTGATTTAAGCTTGTTAGGCTTTCATGGTGATAAGATGATGATGATTGTGATGGTGATGCAGGGGGAGGACGAGGTGGTGATAAATTGTTACCAACTTTTTTATGATTTGATACTGGCGGTGATGCTTCAATTGAAATGGATGATGAGGAAAGTGCAGAAGATACAATTTTTGGTATCTGATGAGAGAGATTACCATCATCATCATTTAATATTATCGATTCTGAATCAGAATTTGAATAAATATCGGAAGATAGAGAAGAAGATGAAGAAGAGTAAGATTCTGTTGAAATTTTATTTTCTCTTGTTGTTTGAGGTATTATTGTAGGTGTAAATGATGAAGATGAAAATGAAGATGATTCAATTGATGGCACTGAGGTTGAAAAAGATGATGAGGATGCTAATGATGGTGTAGGTGGAGATAATTGTGAATAATAAATTTGTTGATTACGCTGAGTATCATAGGAAATATAAGTATTGAGATCTTTTTTCAATCTAACACTTAATTGTTGCTTTTGGGATGTTGGTGGATTATTATCAAGATAATTCCAGGTAAAAGAAGAAATTAAATTATTATTATTATCACTTGGTGATCCTTTTCTTGTCATTGGTAACGATATTGAACCATTATCGTTTTTAATTTCACCATGGACACTACTTGTAGATCCATTAGTAGATTGGCAACTTATTTCACTACAATTATCACTTCCTTTTGCACTTTCATCATTCACACCTTGACCATTACGATTATCATGATTTGAAGGATGAATGGTAAAAGGAGATGGTGAAAGAAATGGAAAATCAGTTGATGATGATGATGATGATGATGAATTAAGATTATTAGTACTACTATCACTTAAACCTCCTCTTCCGGGTGAACCTGAACACATCCCTGAAAGGTAAAGTAAAAGTAATGTTAATATTATCGGTGATGAGGTGAGATGAAACATTAATACACAAAATATATTTTCCAATGATAATTTCCAATGCATTTGATTGATACCATAATCGTAATCAATATTTGCATTCACATAATTTAAATTATTGGTCAACTTTTCCTTCTCAATGAAAGTTTATCATATCTGATCAGTGAGATTGTGATAACACCAATTCTCAGTTATCATGATTTATGATTCTTATTGTTTTCTCGTCGATAACTGGGACAAAACTAACTCTGTTCTACAACTAAAATCCTATTTCAACTCTCACTTCTCATCATTATCATCATCATCTCTCACTCTCTTTCTCTTTCTTTCTCATCATCTTCATCATCCAGGGAGTAAGATTTTCGAGTCCTACCAGCACCACCTATCGATTGTATTAAAGTTTACAAGTCTCTGGGTTTTAATTGTAAACTTTTTTTTTCTTTCGTTATGTTTATGTATCTTAATTAACTTTGTAATTAACTTTTTGTTACATCTCTGTTATGACTTAAATTGATTCTTCCTCAACAATTAATATTTCACTTGATAACTGGCAGAGAAACTGTTAATAACTCTATGGGAATTGATTGGTTTTTTTTTTCTTCACCTCTTGTTTCATTTCCAACCCAAATAGTTAGTTAATTGTTGAGGTAATGATGATAATAAGGTAAGGTAATTGTTTTCTTACCTTCTATTAATTTTTTTACCACTAGATTATTGTTATCGTATTGATTAAATTTTAAGTGTACCTGAGATAATAATTACTTTTAATTGCTTTACGTTATTATTTGAGAGTTTATCTAATTGTATTTTTAAACGAGAGCAAAAGTTTCAATCTAAGTGTTGATAAATTTCTTGTGATAATTTATTGATAATCAATATCTCATTTTCTAATCTGATTGTTAATCAACAGATCCAAATATTCAACTGATTAAAATGATTGTATAATGAAGAGATCTTAATGATTGGAGACGGACTTAGAACTGAACTGACTTGGTCAAGGTCATTTTGGTCAATTCTTGTCGTAGGTCAACTTCGTAGGCAAGAAAAAATTTCAATTCTTCAGAATTTAGAATCAATAATCAAAACTAATATTATTTATCAGAAGCTGAATTTTGATTCATCTTATTTTTCCGATGAAATTATATTGACCATTTATTACATTTGACCTTTTCTTTCAATAACTTTAAACGATCAATGGAGGTCAAGTTCATGTTTATTTATCGACTTGATAATAATAATCAGCTGATCAAAATTCAATCACAAGTTTATATTACAATTTATTTTCATGATCGACAATTTTTTTGTCAGATTATTGAATATATTTTCCAATTGAGTAGCAGAAATGTGAAGCCAAATCAAAGTCTAAACTATTCACTTAATTGTTAATGGAAAACAATGAAAATTAATTGTTTACAATTCTAAATTTATTAGAAGTCACAGTTTTCTTTGGCGAGGACCTTAACGGTTGACCTTAAATATTATTCTATTGTTGACCTAATTGTTAGAGAAAAAGGTCTTTTTGGAACTTGATAGTTGTGAATAGAGAGAATTGAAAATGGAAAGATAATGAATTGGAAATAATTAACATTGATGGAGATTGAAATTTTCAGAATGAAATTAAGTCTCAATGAAATGTGATATCATCATGATTATCGTTGTTCTGTCCGGATAATTTATGGAGAAAAAGTTTTTTTTTTCGATTCATGAAATAAGTTTTCACCCTCGAATGATAATATTCATCTCGAAAAGAGATCATGTTGCAAATTCATCTTGAGAAAAAAAAAAGTTCACAAGAATGGAAACAGAAAAATCTACAAAGAGACGAAAATGATTAAGATGAAAAGTTTTCAATTCTTCTCAATGAATAATAAGTTTTCCTTTCTTCCTTTATCCTGATATCATTTACGTAATTAGTTACACTTTAGTATAATGAGTGATAACGAATTTGTTAATGATGATGCTAATAATGAAAATTACGATACGATGATGGGAATGTGATGCTGGAAATAATAAAGAAAAAGGTAATCAGTGAGTAAATTTAAATCGTAATTGAAAGAGAAAGAGAATAGGGAAAATCTCTGTGTAGCTTATGTGTAACGTATCCATTTTGTTTTCATTCTCATCTTCATCAGTCTCATCATAATCATCTTATTGGCCGTTGAAAATTGCGTTTCAAGAAAAGCATCTTTGTCTTAAAGTGATGAGGATGGAAAAGTATGTCGGTGAAAGAGAAGCTTCTTCTTCATCTTCATCATCTTCTCGGACCAAATGAAATACTGACCTTGGATAATAACTTAAAATAGAGAGAGAGAGAGAGAGAGAGAGAGAGAGAGAGAGAGAGAGAGAGAAATTCGAAATAAAATATTGCCTTTTCCTCTGAGGCTCCCTGACGGTTTTCTGGGAGGATCAGGATGATGGAGATGAAAAAGTAGATGAAGATGAGGAAAAAAAAAGGAGGAAGATGAAGATGAATAAGACAGATATAGATGGATGAAATTGAAGAAGGAGGAGGAGGAGATGATGGAGAAGATGAGGATGATAGAGTATCACTCTTACCACTTTAGATTAAGAAAAGAAAAAGAAAGAGAAAAAAAAAGTTTTTCTCTTGATCAAATCAAATGGAATGAAATTAATTCCAATTTCTATCAATTGATTCAGTAATTCACAGGAGCAAATTTATTTAATTTACAGAATTTGAAGTTTACAATAAACACACAATCGAGATGAATCGTAATTGTAACACTTTGTATCTCTTATAATCAATGTTTACAGTTAGTTGATTGTTTTACTTTTCACCTTAAATCAAATACATTACAATGATTAAGTTGTAATTGATTTTTCTCCAGTCTCGATTAAGACTATCAGATGATATTCAATATTTATTATTGTAAATATCAAATTAGATAATTTAATTTCTGTTACAATAACTCATATGGTTAATGTTAATCATTTAAATTTTGCTATCTAACTGTGACCTTAATTGGTTAATCTAAATTTCCAATGATTAATTAATCATTATAAACTTAATATATTTTGTATCATTTTGTTTTTCGCAAATAAATTGCTTGTGGTTAGAGCAAAAAATAACAAATTAATAATTAGGTGAATTTATTTTTGCTGTTGTCAAAATTGTGACCATTAATTTTAACCTAGAAAATTGTTTACAATTAATTTTAATTGTTACTCTTTTCATACAAATTGTCCACAAAGTAAACACAAGATTCTGTCTATTATCAGCTTAGCAATAGCTCACAAGCAATTAATCATATTTCTAAATTGTACTATTGTTAATATAACAAACGATTAATTATCTTCCCTGAAAGATAATTAATTAAGATGATAATTAATTGGATTTAATTTGATTTCTCTTTTTGTGTCTCCATCTGTTGGCTTCATTGGTAACTACAAGTTCGATTCAATCGATGTATCGAAATGAGTCAAGCTGATTGATGAGAAGCCGAAACAAAAATTTTGGCGAAAATGAAATGTTATGAAAATGACGAAATAATTTCTACTTCTATTTGGTGATTAATTTATATTCTTAATTGTTTATTTTTTGTTTAATTTGTTTGTTTCTATTATGCCAAAGATCAGAGCCAAAGATGGTAATTTTCAATATGGAAATTATAACCGATATTATGGTTATCGGAATCAAAATGTTACCATAGATCCAAGGATAAGCTGCTTTGAGTCTTGTTGGTTTAAGGATCAACATGTTCTGGACATTGGTTGTAATGTTGGTCATGTTACACTGACCATTGCAAGAGATTTTAATCCTTGTAAAATAATTGGTATTGATATAGATGAGAATCTTATTGAAGCTGCCAAACGTAACATTAAAAACTATGTAAAAAGTGATCCGAAAGTTAGAGATTCTCTGAGGAAACGATTGGATATAAATGTGATTAGTAAACATAATTGTGGTCAATCAATTGAACCAATAAATGTCCAGTTGAATGGTGAAGAGAATGGAAAATGTGATGAAATTGATGCTAAAGGCGAGGAGAAAAATTTTCCCAATGGAATGGATCATCTAAATGGTGAAGCAATTAAATTAAACGATCATTCCAAGTCACCAATTGAATCTAATCTGACAACCGTTTCTACAGAATCAACTGAATTTGCTGTTTCAAGTTCATCTCAATCTCTTCCAATCAATTCTTCAACCCAATCTGATCCATCTACTAAAGTAAATCTAATTAGTCAATCTTCATTTGATGACGAATCGCCCACGTCTGTGAAAAGAATTAAATTAGATAACAGTAAACCAGTTGATTTCCCTCGAAATGTCAAATTCTTTTGCGAAAATTATTTCCTCGATTGTGACGATCTTTTGAACGGAGAGAAACCAGAATTTGATTGTATTCTTTGCCTTAGTGTAACCAAATGGATTCATCTGAATTTCGGTGATGAGGGATTGAAAAGAGTCTTCAAACGAATGTATCGTCAATTACGATCTGGTGGAAGATTAATTCTCGAACCTCAACCCTGGTCTTCTTACAAGAAGAAAAAACTCACTTCAGTAAGTAATTTCTTTCTATCATTAACGATTATCAATCAATCGCCGAGAACAACAAACTTGATCAACAATTAGAAAATGATTCTACTCTAATGTTTACACTCTAAATTTCAATTAGTTAATTTAACCTCTTAAATTGCTGATAAACTGACCAATTTATTTTCTCTCTCAATAGGAAATCACATTAAAAAATTACTTGTCAATCAAATTTAAACCCGATGATTTCAATGAATATCTTTTATCCAGTGAAGTTGGTTTCAGCTCTTCGGAACTTTTGAAAACTCCGATTCATGAATCTAAAGGTAATTAACAAGCCGATCAACAATTTATCATTATTAATATGAATTTACTAATTTCTCCCATGAATCTATTCAGGTTTTCAAAGACCGATTTTTCTATTCCTAAAGTCCAAGGAAAGTTCATAATTTTGGGTCATCCATGTTGCCATTTAAATTATCCTGCTAAACCAAAAAGTCATTAATTAATTTAATAAGTCATCATGCTAAAGTCATTATTCCAAATGCTCATGTTAATCATCAATTATTTCTCTCTTTCTCTATTTTTTTTGCATCTTGTTACTCTTGAAATTGAGAAACTTTTTCAAATGTTACATTTTCATTATCAAAAACTATCGAGAAAAAATAATCACATTCACATTTCACTTGTGCCATTGATGAAACAATCAAAAGTGATTAAAAAATTTTCCTAATTTAAGAAAATTTGTTTATTTCATGTAACTGAAATTCACTTTAATCAATACTCGAGACAATTAAGAAAATGATTGATCAGAATTTTTGAATTTCTCTCGGCTGACTGAGCCTATTTTGAGAAAATGAAGCTGATCAATTGACTGTTTACATCCAAAGATAAACAGTGATTGAGAAAAGGCGTTGATTAAGTTAATTAATTTTCTCGGGCAAGTATTAATTCTCTATTAAATTACCTTAATTATTGTCTACATCAACAGCAGATAATCCGATTGTTGTTCTCATTCCAAATGAACAATTTCCATTCGTTTTAATTTTCTCTCTTCTTGTTTTGTTTATCATTTCATTAGAAACCAATTGATGACAGAAAACAATTGACAGTAATTGTGGTTAATTATGATTTACAATTTCTTCATTTTTGGTGGTTCGGGTAATTGTTTGTTCGCCTTGGACAGAGAGAAAGGAGATGAATCATTGTTATTCGGTTTCTTATTCACCATGGTTTCTTTTTCCAATCGTATTGCTCCAGTTCTTATGAAGGAACATAATTTTTTTGTCTGTTCAACATCATCTTATCAACTTGTCTTCATGGAAATGCCAACTTCGGTTAAATTTGTAATAATCTGTAGTAAAGATTCAACCCGAACCAATGAGTATTACAAACAAGTGATCAGAGACCTTTATCGAACCGTTTATGTTGAATATCATGTTAAAAATCCCGTGATTGAGCCTCATGCAACTTCAATCGATTCAGATTTATTTCGGGAGAAAGTCGTCGATTTTTTCACTAAAATGTGACACAATTAATCCTTAGTTAATCTAATCCGTTCATCGCTAACTCATCGCTCTCGTTTTTTCGTGTGTGTATCTGTGGGACAAATGAAACCGAAAGAAAATCAAACTAATTGTTACGTTATGGATTTGTAAATGGTTCTTGTAAAAAACAATCGATAGCAAATATAATTGATCTCGAAAAGAGAAAACCTTTTTTAATCCTTTATAATAAAGACACGATAAATTTCACCGAACAATTTAATCTTGTCATAATCTTATTCTAGGAAAAAAAAATCAATTGTTAAACTACAATTTTCGGCACAGTTACAAATCTACAATCAGAAAATTTCGGTTCATTTCAAAAGCTTTTGGGTACTAATTGTTGCTCGAGTAAATCGGGAATTTTAAATGTTCCATCTTCTTGTTGATTGTTTTCCATTAAAGAGGCAACCAAAACATCACAATTAACTAGTGTTCCTTTAACAATTGAATATCCTTCTCGTCCCAATCTTTTAGTTGTATAATCGCGGTGATTAGCGACATGACCTGATGCCTTCCAGGTCGATGATGACGGCATCCAAACTTGAATCTCATATCTACTTGATTCGTTTGCTTTCAACATTTGACCTGAACATTTGACCAGTCTACAGGGTAGCCCAAGATCTTTGTATAACGACCAAGCAAATGAAACCATTGATTGAGTTTCTTGAGCTGATATTTTGGGCTCGTTCGGTGTTAAAGTGACACAATTTACTGTATGATATTGATTTAATGTCGATGAATAATTTGATCCAATTGATGAGAATCGCAAGGGTAAACGTGATGGATTAATTTCTCGCCTATTCAACAAACCGGCAAATGCTTCAAAAGCAGATTCACCAACCAAATGAATATAATTGTTCACTGCTTCAGCATCATCTCCTTGAGCAATTAACAAAGGATCATTGTAAATATTATCAACTCTCTCGGCATCACAGGCCTGAATTATTGCTGATTTAACAATGTCAAGACCAACAAAGGGAATATAATCAGCTGACAATAGAGATGATGAAAAGTATCGGGTCAAAGCGATAAACAATTTAGCTCCATCAGCTGTTATGAATTGAGATGCCGGTCCAATGATACTTGTATGTTGACCGAAATTGATATAAGCTAATTTAACCGAATCAAGTAGTTTGAATTTTGGTCGAGGTTTGGTCACTTCTTCGATGACGGTGAAATATTGTCCATCAGATCTCTCGGTGTCTTCATCTATTTCATTGGGTAATTTTAGAAGAAAAGAAATAACCTCGTCTTCCAATGGTCTTAATTCTTGTTCGATATTTTCTAAGTCTTTGGTAAGATGAGATAGATCGGGTCGAACATTTGTGAAATAACTATTGGTATCACCTAAATTGTCTTCGATTGTTCCCATAAAAGTGACCAAGTTCTCCCTTTTGGGACGCAATTCCAGAATCTTTCTCATCAAAGGTTGATAACTTTTCAATCGATCGACTTGAGATTTAGCTTCTTCCGGTGATGAACGAATCGAAATACTTTCCTCAATTCTTTTAACATAATCATCAACCAGATATTCATCTAAATTTACAATCACACGGACAGGAAATATATGACCTTTTGGAAGATTGGAGGTTCGGAAAAGAGCCATTGTCTCAATAGATTTTCAATAGAAATATTATTATCCCTATTTACTATTGTTTCTTTATCTTTACCAATCCAATTGCAAGAACTGTCACTGGAAAAGAATACAAAATAAGGTGAGAAAATAGAATAGAACAAAAAAGAAACAAAAAAACAATTACGATTAATCATCAAAATACTAAAAGAATCAACAATTTAGATTCAAATTGAATGGCGAGAAAAAAGTGAAAATGAAAACATAAACATTACCTTTTACCACCGGAAAACTGATGATGAACACACAAGACTAATTGCAGATTTAAAGACTAGAAAGTTAATTGATTTTCAGTTTAAAAGGCACAAAATTAAAAGACAATTAAGAAAATTAGTCAACAAAACAATTAGAATTGAAAATCAATAACAATTAACAGACTTTGATGTTAAGAGCCAAAAGAAATCAACTGATAAAAAATCGGCTTGGAAATGTCAACAAACCTGCTTAACATGTGACTCGGAATTTGATTGTTAACCAACATCATCAACATCGATCTTTGTTTTATCAGTTAATTTAGTTAATTTCCATTTAATTACATTTAATTTTCAACAATTAATTAACATCTTTGCTAAAGGTAAGTGTCTGATCAGTGTTTCATTTATTCAAATATTTACTTTAAGTAATCAGATTGAGTTGGTTTTTTTTTATTTACTCTTTTGTTTTTCTTTATCATGTTTTCTATACATTCACTGTGAGTGTAGTTTAATTAATTGTTATTTGCGTTTTGTTTTTCTTAAATTTGTTTAATTATCGTTTAAAGGTGGACACATTTGTTGGTGGAACAATTTGATTGATTGAGTATTGGTGGTTAATCAGGGTAAGAATAAAATGGGCGATATTGATGCGGTGAACAATGATGTCTCTTGTGATGAAGAGAAGGCGATTGGAAAGGTAAAGGTGATTGCTGAGCAATTGGGGATTTCGCTGGATGAGATTAAAGAGAAGAATATTTCAAAGAAAACATTGAAGAGAATGTTGAAAAATAAGGTTTACAATGAGACCAAAATTGAGAAACGTCGAATTCAAAAGCAGAAGAAAAAAGCTAAAAGAAAAGAGCTAAAGGAAACACTGGGAATCAATTTAAGTGAGAAAAAGAATCGACTGACCATGGATGAGTCACCAAATAAGGTCAATATTGCCATCGATTTAAGTTTTAACTCTATGATGAATGAGAAAGAATTAAGGAAATTGATGAAACAAATTCAACGTTGTTACTCATTAAACCGACGCTCTGATGGTCCATGTCAATTTTATTTAACCTCATTAAAAGACGAAATAGCGAAAGGGTTAATGTCCAAACAACCAGGATTCGATTATTGGGATATTCACCGGAAGGAAGAGCATTTTTCACAAGTTTTCAGTGATTTCAAAGAAAAAGGAACATTAATCTTTCTATCCAGTGATTCACCCAATTTATTACCCGATGTTGATGAGATAAAAAGACGCGGTGGTGACTATGTTTACATAATCGGTGGACTGGTTGACCATAATGTCCACAAAGGATTAACTCTTGGATTGGCCCAAAAATCGGGCATTCAAACAGCTCGACTTCCCATTGACCAGTGTATGGAACTATGTGTTTCCAAAGTTCTTGCAGTTAACCATGTTTTCGAGATCATGTTAAATGCTACCAATGGAATAACTTGGTCCGAATCATTCGAAAAGGTCATTCCCGCTCGAAAAGTAAAACAAAGTAATGCTCTTAAATCTCGAAAAAAACCTAAAAGTGTTGATCAAAAAGAGAATACGGAAAATGAAGAGAGTGACAAAAAATCCACCGCCACCACTTCCTTGCCCTCGAGCAATAACACGATTCCACCTCATCCTCCATCTCCATCATCATCTTTAGCCTCATCTTCACCTTCCTCTGAATCGTCTCCATCTTAATCGACAATTGTCTTAATTTAGTTTAAGACAATTGATTTCGATTGATTTAACTTGATAACTAACAAAAGAAACTGATTAAATTGTTCAACACAGTCGAAGTGCAAAAATTTTCAAAAATAAATTATTACATCAGTTTGGAAAACATTTGATTCGTAATTGTATTATTCATTTGATTGCAATTCTTATACCAACAATTAACAATAAATTAGCATAGTTGATGATAATTATTGATTTTCTTTTCTGTTTAAACAATAATCATAATCCAAATCAATTTTAATTAGTTGATAAGGTCAATACAATAATTTCATTCTTATTAATACAATTAATTTAGAAACTTCCAAACAATAACAATAAATCAGTTGAATCGAATTGTGATTTAAAAAAGTAACTTAATTGTTATGAGAAATTAAATAACTATCTTCATATTTGAAACAATAATAAAGAAACCAAATTAATTTCAATGAAATTATTAATTTAATCACTGATTCTAATTAAGGTCAAGGATAAATAATATTGTTATTTTTTGCCTTTTCATACAAATTTCTAGTTAATTAACGATGATTAAAGTAATCAATTAATTATTTAAACTCAAAATCGACAATCCAACCGGATTAGATTGAATTCAATCAAATTGGACAATTTAATCGTTAATTTGAATCAATTTCTTAATTGTAGCAAAAACTTTTTCGTCCACAATAGTTGTGTAAAACTTACTAACATGGACGAAGATAAATCAACAAGATTCTAAATCGATTGCATAATCTAATTAGAAGGGTAATTGGATTGTAATTAGATGTAATTTAACAGCATATTAACTCACTTTAAGAAAAACGAGAGAGAGAAACAATTAAGACAATTATCATCGTGATTCTATTATCATGATCACACCGGTTTTCTTGATAATCACTGGTAAACCAATAGAACCCAACAGAATCTCCCATATACGTAAACAGAATTTCCCGTTGATAATAATACTTTTTCTCGGCAAATTCATTCAAAAGAATATGATAATAACAAAACTAACAGGGTTTCCCCTGGAGAAGAATAAGAAGAAGCGAAAAAGTTAAGATTATCCAAAATGGCGATTCCACAAAGAGAAACTTATTAATCCGGTTGATAAAAAAGAGAGAATTTTCTTCTCCGTCTCTCTCATCATCAGAATGGATTTACCAACACTTTGTACCTCAATTATTATTCAATTATCGGCACACATCAAATTAAACCTCCACGAAATTTGTTAATTGTTACCATCATTAAATTGTTTACCTCTCTAAACATACAAACTACACATCATACATTTACCCTTTCGTTGATAATGGTTAATATGTTTCTCTTAACTTTTTCTTACGTTATAATTGTTGACGTAATTAAACAATTTCCCAAAATTTGTTGACCATATTCAATAAGAATTGTTTTGTATGTTATCAAATAGAAACAATAATCAACAATTAACAGCAATCATCAAGTTAATTCGGTTTTACCTTAACAATCAACAAAAAAGAGAGGGATAATTGACTAACCCAATGAGCTCCACCACTGAATATGTAACAATAATAATTAGAGAAAAGAAAATGAATTTCCCTCTCCCTCTCTCTCTCACTTGATTTAATTAATTTCGATCACATATATAAATATAACTCTTCTTGATTGTTACTTATTGTAAACTTGGTACCAACTGATCACCAAAAAATTCTTACTTTTAATTAGTAGTCACTAATTAGAATTTCAAATAACCGTTTAAAGAAAACGTAACCGTGAATAGTGATTACCCTTTTTGTTTTATTCTGTTTGGTGTTTTGCTTTTTTTAATTGTTATCGATTCATTTCATTGGATTTATCAACTTTCATTTTTCTTCTTTTTTCCCTTAATTGTGATTTTCGTTAACTGATTATTTCAACAGTTCTAAAGTTAAACTTATCGGTGTAACAACAAATCGTCAAAATTGGTTACGTTTTTTGGATTTTCTTTTACCTTTACTTGTTTGCTCTTCTTCCCTTCGTTACTCTGTTGATCGTTTTGGTTTGGCGATTGAAAACTTGTTCGTTATTCAATTAAATTATGATCTTTGTTGGAATTTGTTTGTTAATTGCCTGTAAGTTCAATCAAATTCTGTGTATAATTAGCAACATCTCTTTCGTGTTCCTTGTCCCAGCTAATGCCTAGTGAACACTTTGTTGTTTGTTGTTAATTGTCAAGTGAATTTGTGATGTTTCTTTTTACTAATTTACGTATTTCAATTGTTCATTGATTATAGTTGCTGGTCAATCAGCGGGTCAATCATGTCACTTACGAGAATTGGATTTATGTGCTGCTACTTTACTTGTCTTTACTCAGAATCCTTCAGGTAAATACATGAATTATCATCAATATGATTACTGGTTAATTCATCATTGAATCGTTAAGATGATCTAGTTGATTTATCTGTTTTTTTACTGTCTATTATTTGAGAAAACAATTGTTTTTATATTCTTTGTTTCCTTTTGTTTCATATTATTGTCTATTGTTATTATCGACAGGAATTGCTACTAACGATGCTGAATTGAATAAACAATGTGGATACCTAAAGGAAGCAGATCAATGTTTGAAAAATTTTACTCGTAAATGTACAACTTCACTTCAACGGGAATTGATCTCCTTTGTCACTGAGGGAAGTGTTCGTTTACTGACTGAATATTGTACCACTGGAAGCCAACTAAGAACTAGTTATCTTAAGCACGCTGATTGTTTGAATCAGGCCACTCAGAGCAATCAGAAAACATGCATCAGGGATTTACAATCGGCTTTGGAAACAGTTACACAAGTTGAATGGGATCAACGTATTCCTGCCGGTTGTTGTGCTTATCGACGATTCCAAGATTGTACCGAATCTCAAGTCGAAGCTAAATGTGGTAAAGAGGCTGTTGAATTTATGGACATTTTACTTCGAATGGCTTTATCTCGATTACCCGATATTGTGTGCCCATCTTATAATCCGCAAACAGAAGAGTGTAAAGCTTTGCTACCCGAATCTGGAGCTACACCCAAAGGAGCCAAAAGTAACAGTGTCCTCTCAAGGCTCTTTTCCGCCTACACTGGACTTTGATGATAATTGTACATGGAAAACTATTAAACTCACCCAATGGCCGACTCAAAGCTCATTTATTGGGATCTACTACACCTACATCTACTAGAGGTGTATCTCACCTCTTCGTTGCAAACAAATGCAACACTCGAATTGGTACTTATTGTTTTGTGCTTAAAGTGTACAGAAACGATCTGATTGTGATTCGTTTACATAAATATGATATTCAACCTTGCAACAGTTACTATTATTAATCTTGTGAAAAAAAGAAAGTTTCATTCATCTAATCAATTTCATCTCCAATTTACTATTAATAAATTTCATTTGTAGAAGTATCTAATTTTTTAATCCATAAATTCATTGCAATTGATTGCTTTTCTTATTGATTATTTTGTACATTTACTTGAATATTTGATCATTAAAACTTATCTATCAACTTATGAAAACTTTCTTGATGAATTATCGATTACAACTTTTGGACATTATGATAATTTTCCACGAAACATTTCTTATATTAATTGGAATTACAATGTTCGATTTCATTTCATCGATTATTATCTGATTTCTCTTGCAATGCTTAACTTTATCCATCGAAGGTAATAAATAATATCGGTAAAAACTGTCGGTTTATTACCACAAATTTCCGATCCCCAAGAAACGATTCCAAATAAAATATCCTTACCTGATTTGGTTCCTTTTCTTAGAATCGCAGGTCCACCCGAGTCCCCGAAACAACTAGCGATTCCATCACCACCGGCACAGATCATTCCTGGATGATACTTATTTCCATGGTGAAATTTACACTCATAATCATCATGACGATTTAAATTTGCTTTCCTCAAATAACCAGCACCGTAATTAACACCCCACCCAATGACTGTCAATCTACTTGGTATATAAACATAATTAATTGATTGATAGGGTAGTCGAACTGTGGTCAGGCCAAGTTTGACCAGTGGTAGATGATTGTGTAAGAAGATTAGAGCTAAATCATTATGATGACCATTCTCATTGTAATTAAAATGAATGACAATTTTGGAGACTCGGTGAAAGTGTTTCAATAGATACGATTTAGTTGATTTAGATGAAAGTGTTACCAAGATTAAATTGTTTGCTTTGATTCTTTGAGAAATGAGAAGCTTTTTTACAATAAAATATGATAATCAAGTTAATTGTTGAGGAAAACGATTTGATTTACCTGGAAACACAATGAGCCGCAGTTAGAACGATATTTGATCTAATTAATGATCCAGCACAATAATGTTTAAATCCATTGGGTGTTGATTTCTGAAGGGAAACCAAATAAGAGAAATGGTTAATTGTTGCTCTTGAGCCACCGACAATTTGTCCATTCATTAATGGTGTTGATTGTCTTACAAAGGAAGAATGATTAACTAATTGTGTTAAACTTGGACTTGACAATTTAACTGATAAATTGATCGATAGGAAAACAATTAAAAGAAAAGATGAGAATAGAAACTTGATCACAATTAACATACTTGATGATCAAAGATTTTCCTCTAATCAAATTAACCAAAGTCAACCTTAATCTAAATCAATCGAAATTGCTAATTGATTGATTTCTGTCTTTACTCATATTTACTGATTAGATCATTTTCACCCAAAAATAATAAGGATTATCGGTTGATCATCATAGGATAGTTTTTTTATTGATTAGCTGATTAACTTTAGTTATCTTAGGATTTAACTGTCAACTGGACATTGGTCACTGATCTTGTATGTCAACAATTTTATTGATCTTTTTGTTTTATCAATCATTATATTCATTGTCTTTAGGTTGTTGCATTTTCTCACAAGGTAAATGATGTTGATTATCATCATCATCATCATCGCCATTTCTGATTAGTGATTAAAAATCAACTGATTGTTAGGGAAGATAAAAAATACTACGTGACTCGAATTGTTTCCTTTGTGAAATAATTTGAGTAAAAAGACAGAGAGCTTGATCACCTTTTCTATAGTTAAAAGAAACTGACATGATAATTAATTAAAGTTAATCTCTCATGCAATTTGAATATTGTTTCATATGGAAGGACAATTAAGGGTCCAAACTGTCTCTCTCGAATGAGACTCATTCACTAAGAGTCGGGACATTGAAGAGAGAGAGAGAGAGAGAGAGAGAGAGAGAGAGAGAGAGAGAGAGAGAGAGAGAGAGAGAGAGAGAGAGAGAAGTTTCTCTTTCAAGATTTGGATCAAGAATCCTAATTCTCTTCATCTTTCGCTCGATAAGAAATGAGATCCTAATCCCACTGTTCCTCTTTCATTGGGCTTACCCAATACCCTGAGAGAAAGAAAGAGAAACAGACAGAAGACTAAAAGTTTCAAGGTGATACTTTGAGACTCCGTCTCATAATCAATACTAACTCGTTACTCTCTTTACTCCAAAAGTGAATGTACCCTTTTCAGGCCATCAACCTGACCTGAAGTAGGAAGGTACGAAAAGAGGAGGGAAAAAGGTAGAAGCAGAAAAAGAAAGAGCCAGAAAGCGTATACAAAAGATTGGATGATGATGATGGAAGAGAGAAGATGAGAGACGATGATTAAGTAAATTGCATGTGAAAGATGGAGAGGAAGGGAGGAGGTGATAAAGTTTCAAAAGTTGTTACAAAACATTGAAAGAGAAAAAGACTAGTGATGAAGATTCGCTAACGAATTCAAATATCATTTGAAATAATTAAACACCGAAAATCAAATGAATAAAACTTGAATAATTGAATCAAACAAATAATGGTTAAGCCTAAATAACCAGAAATGGGAAAGTCTTGCATCGATTCAGTTAATCAGTTAATTGACGATCTTGAGTTCGACGATTACAAAATGATTGATTACTCAGATAATTACACGAAACACGTTTACACGAAAAACAGGGACAATTTGAACACCAATACTTGAAATGATTATTCACAAGTCTCAATAAACCTTTGTTTTCATCTCTCTGAATTTTTTTCTGAATTTTCTCTTTCTTTCTGCTGCCGTAAGGTCACGAGTCGTCTTTGAATTTTCACCTGATTACTAATCATTGATAGCCTCGAGCTCACTTACTCTATGAAATAACCAATCGTTTCCTAGATTATCACCTACTACAAAAAATTCATTTGATTAATTTGAAGATTATATAACTAGACTTACTGCAAGCGGCATTGACGTCTGAGCGTGTTTGACTCAGAAAAGAGAGACTGAGAAGTGCGTGTGAGAAAGAGAGTTAAAGAAGGAGAAAGAGAGAAAAAAAGAGAGAGAGAGAGAGTGTGTATCACCAGTGAAGAGAAATCACTAATTTTTCGGGGTGGGCCAATCACCACCCCAAACTATACCGGTGAGCAGACCCATCATTTAGACCTATCTTGAAAATTTGGTGGAGATCGGGCTGAAATTGCGATCGCTATCGTTTAAGGCGATTTTTTTCGATGTATAGTCTTCGCTCAGATAATTAATAAATGACGGATAATATTAGATCTAATTTTAGGATATATCTTAATTTTAGTCAATTTTTGCAGGTAATTTAAATGCAGTTTTGATGGGAATTAAAAAAATTTCAATTACAGGGCAGTGATAAAATTCTTTGCGAGGCACAGAAGTTAGTCCAACGCATCTGAAGTGGTACCAATTGCAACAACTCTCACAAAAAATGACCTTGAATCCTGATGCCTTATTACAATGACCACAAAGCCATCGCTTTGATTTCAGGCTTGCAACTAGATCTTGCAGTTTGCGAATGCATCAGGTTCAAAATAGGACTCAATGATACCAACATTGATATCTTTGTTTCTGAACATTTAAAGAATGAGCGTTTCCAAGCCGTTTACATCGTCAGTTGTGATCAAGATCTGCTTACCAAGAATCGCTTCAGTATTCCGACTAAGATTGAGCCAATTCAGAACTCGAGTTTTATTTAAAAAGCAAAAAACAGCAAAATGGAAATGAATCAAGAAAGGAATTGTTGAAAGATTGCCATCTATTCAGAATAGGACATTGACACAGTATTGTGTAACAAGTTCGGATTTTGGTGTACGAGTTAAGGTTACTCTAAATGATATTTATACAATTCCTGATATCCAATTCGATTCGCCTTCAAAACTTTTTCATGGAAGATTGATGGGAATTCAACCGTTATCCAAATTCAAATTTACAAAGAAACTTACACCAAATCCATATTTAACACTTCAACAATTAGCTAATACTTGTGATGATTCAGTAATCAACAAGAGATATTTCAGAGAGATTCAGATGTAGCACTTAAGTATTCTGCTCACAATGGCTGTTTCCGTTCAAATGCTAATTATTGTTAAATTTATCACATATTTGGACAATGTAAAAATAGTGCTCGATCAGAATGCCACCGAGTCCACGAATGTCTATATTGTGATAATTCATCAGTTCATAGATTAACAGTTTGTTCAGCTTACCTACAAGCTGAATCTGAATTAGCTAGAAGCAGAATGTAATGACTGAACTCTTATTCACCATAAACTAATAAAAGTTCATTGAAAATTTCATCATCACTGTAATCTATCATAAACTATTCAACAATACGAAAACAAGATTAGAAATCATTTACATGTAAACTCAGTTAATCCTGAGGTGGCTAATCCTAGTCATTAAGGCTTTTAACTAATACCAGAATCGAATCCAACTAACTAAAAAAAAATAAGTCCAATTTAATTAAATGAATTGTCTTCGTATCTAATCACTAAGTTGACCAAATTATCTTTAGAAAAAATGTTTAACGGTTTAAAGCTAAAGTTTTATCTAACAAAGATAAACGTAAACACTTATAGAACCCCTACCCTTAGGGTCTGGGGTAAAGAAACTTGTAATGTTTTGATCCAAAGAGAATAAACTGAAAATTTCATATTCTCAATTTCACTTAATCGAATGAAAATCGTAAAAATTGATCATCAATGAGACCCAGTGCACTATTTCGAAAATCGCAAAAAACCGAGTTGGAGTGAGTCACTTAAGAATCTCTTCAATCTAGAAACTGAATGAAATTGTACTGTTCATATTCTCTATCATGTTAACTTTCGAGAAAAAAAATTGATCAACTTTATTTACGAAAATTGGTCATTATTAGTGTTTCTCTCCACGAGATAGCACCAGCAGAATTTGGGATTTTGTTGCAAAATGTCAATTCGTTTTCTAAATGAGGTTGGTAGCTAACGGAGAGCAATTTACAAGCTAAATTGTTTCAACATTTTAATTCTGTTAATTTAATTTCTTCTTGGTTTCCGACGTTTACCAATTAAACCTTTTCCTCGAATTGTCTGTTTTTATTCTGGTTGATTTTATTTATTAATCCAAAGTGTTTATTGTAACAATTTTCTTTTCTTTTCTTTTCTTTTCTATCCTTTCCTTTTATTTTTGTTTTCTTTCTCTTTCTGTTTTTGTGTTTCTCTTTCGCCATAATAATAATTTGGAAAAGAAAACAACTCAAAAGTATTTCTCCGAAAATTATTTCTATTCTTATTCTTCTTCATCTTAATCGTCAATCAATCGTCTAATTGAGCAGCGAAAAGAAACAAAAACGACAACATTAAAAGTCAACTTGTGTCATATGAAACTTGTTGATTATTCTTTTTAAACTGATTTAATTGTGCAAAATAATCTCAGTCTTCTAATTGATTATAATTCTCCAAAATTTGCCTTAAAGATCGAAGCGAACTAAAATCTCAACAGTACCTTCGATTAACCTTCACAATCACTTCTAACACAATTAAGATAATTGACAAAATCATTCGTGTAAACCTAATCTCCATTTACTTTGATTAGAACTGTGATCAATTGATTTGGAAAAGGCGCCAATATAAATTTTCCTCTATGATGTAATCAGCTGCTATTTGTGGTTCCATTTCAATTGAACATTTCACTTCTTGTTTTCTTTAATCAATTTCTATTCTTAAATCAACTTACTAAATTCATTATCTAATCAATTGGATTGGTCATTTTCCTTTAATTGTTCCTAACCTGTGATTGTGAACTTGAGGTCATTTCGATTTTATTTATTTAAATGACTACCTAAAGGTAACCTTTGTATCAACACTGGTTCCTCTTTGGGTTAATGTGAGTACTTTCATTTTGATTTAACTTCCTTGTTCAGATTTTTGATTTTCATTTCAACACAACAATTAACTATTAATATTACTAATTAGCTAGTTAATCAAGTTATTAATCTCTCTTCTCTATGTCTCTTTATTTAGATGATGACTTTTCTTTTTAACCAATGTTACAATCTAAATCTATGTAATAATTGATGATTGAATTTGTGACTTGATTCACATTGAATCATTCAATTAGAATTTAATTTTTTTTTTGTTCTCTTTAAATTGTTTATTTCTATTCTTTAGATTATCATCAAGTTATAATTAGCTGATCATATCTTTTTCTTGATATTTTATTTGCATGATAACTAATTGTTTATCCATTTTATTACCAAGCAGGATGATTAAGCTGTTATAAATTGTCGCTAGCCTTGAGTAAAGTGATTAAATTGTTACCCTGTCACAATCAAGGAAACACTTTAACTTGAACGTCAAGTTTTCAATTTCTAACCAGTGAAAGTGATCGTGTTAATTGTTTTCCATTGATTCAATCATCGCCTGTTTATTATCCAACTAGAGACACCTATTGATTAACTTACCTTTAATTAGCTCTTTTCGTTAGGCCTAATTATTTATTACGATGGAGGAGTTTTTCCAACTGTGAAAACCTTAGTGATTATAACTAATTCATCTTGCTAACTGTTTATTGTGTTTACATTTTATTTTATTTTTCTGTTTAGAATTATAATTCTACCTGTTTAACTCAACGTAATGAATGTTTTAATCATGGTTGATCTAACGTGAGTATCAACATCTACAATTGAAATGAACCTTTTCGCTTTCTCATTGATAATTTTATTCCGATTCTCTCTCATTAGGTTATTTCTTTTAACTTGGAACGTAAAAGACAGCGGTCCAGATAATGGCGATTATAGTGACCTACTTAATAAAGCATTTAATTCAGTTAATGGTACTAGAGAACCTGATGTAATTGCTATCGGGTATGGTTCGCAATTAATTGTTAATTTGACTCAATCCAATGGAGCAAAAGGTTCAATATGTTATAATCTTTTCATGTATTTCTGATTTTCTCCTTTTTTTTCTGTTGATCATTTCTGTTGATTTAGATTACAAGAAGTGGCTTTCAAGCTCATTGGACCTGATCCTTGGGTTACAAAGACTAAAGAGATATTAGCTGATCGTGATTATGTTCTGATTAAAAAGAATCAACTTGTTGGTATCTTGTTGATGGTTCTTGTCAAAAGAAGTGCAATTTTAGATTTTATTAACATTAAAATCGATTATACGAGAACTGGATTAGGTGGACTTTGGGGTAATAAAGGCGCTGTTTCCGTTAGATTTGACCATAAAGGGGTTGCCACTGTTTTAACAAATTCTCATCTTGCTGCCCATGATTACAATTTGGAAACACGAATCTCCGAGTACAAGAAAATAAATGGAGGTCAAACTTTTGAAATTAAAGATCCAGAATCGCGCTCATTACGAATAGAAGACCATGAGTAAGACTTGTCCCTCGAATCTAATTGAAATTGAATTTTAATTATTTTCTTATTCTCTTAAGTGTATCCTTCTGGTTGGGTGACCTAAATTTCCGTTTAGATGAATTAACTGGACAAGAGATTCTTCAAAAAGTGGTCTATGCTGATTTGACCAAAAACGATGAGGAAAGAAAGAAACAAATTGAAAATCTTTTGGAATATGATCAAGTAAGTTAATTGATTTTTCTCCTCGTTCTCAATTGTTCTGATCTATTATTCTTTCCATTCCAGTTATCAAAAACTCGAAGACTCGATAAAGCGTTTAATGGATACTCAGAGGCTCCTATTAGTTTCTCTCCAACTTATAAGTTTATCGTTTGGTCAAATGAATATGACCTGTAAGTAGAATCAAGAATTAGATGATTGAAATTGATTGTATTGATAACTATTGTTTAATTTACGAATATTTGTATATATTTAGTGGCCGAAAACCCGCTTGGTGCGATCGGATTTTGTATAAAGTTAGAGGATCAAGTGCAATCAAAGTTTCTCCGAATGAATATCGAAGTCATCCCGAGTTTTCTCAAAGTGACCACAAGCCCGTGACCAGTTTTTTCTCGCTGACCAATCCAACCAAATTGAAAGTTAAAAGGGAAATCAGACCCTCACCTAAACTCAAATTCGTTACTCCATCAGATTGGAGGATCCACCATGATGCATCTGCTTTTTACACCATAGATGATTCAGAAAATAGTGGAAAAACTTATTCTTCAAGAGATTCTACTCCAGATAGAGATTTAAATTCAACGCGACTATTGCGACGACAACAAAGATCCAATTCATTAGATTTGTCCTCTAAATTATCCGAATTCGATTGGATTGGATTATATCCAGAAAATTTTACCGATCTTGAAGAGCCCATTAGCTTTGTTTGGTCTAATCCTGAGCCAGTTCAATATTCTGGTACTAATCGACAAGAGCGGCTATCTACTTCTTCATCTTCTTCGTCCTCATCATCATCATTTGATCTTTTGGGCTCAGGTAATAATCTTCCCAATTCACCAATTTTCAAAGTAGATTTTTCCGAATTGGTTTTACTTAAACCAGGACGATTTCGACTTCTCTATTTCAACGAAGATGGACAACTTCGTGCAATGAGCGATCCATTTCCAATAATCAATTAATTCTCTACTCTTTTTTTTTCTATTCTTGACAAATAAAGTTATTTTAGAATTTATTTCAACTCAAAAATCGATACGATAAGATTCAAGTGTAAATCAATTACATTGAGCAATTTGATCGTCAATATATCAATTTCTTAATAGTAGCAAAAACATATTCGTTAACAATAGTTTGTAACACTTACTATTAACATGATCAGAGAATAAGAAAAAGCGGGAAAGGTAAGATTATCGAAAATGGCGATTCTTCAAAGAGAATAATATAAATCCGGTTGATATAAGAGAGAAAATACTTTCTGCCTTATTATGATCATCAAAGCAACACGAAAATTATTAATTGTTACCATCATTAAATCGTTCATCTCGTAACATACTCCATATACACTTATCCTTTTGTTGATAATGTTCAAGCTTTTCTCTTACAATAATTGTTGACGTAATTAAACAATTACCCAAAATGTTTTTATATCAAGTTACTAGAAAAGACAATTGAATTGATCACTGAAGAAAAAAACCAATTGACGAAAGTGAAAATGTCCAAGAGATTATTATAATATCTTAAGATCGAGAAAAGAGTTCTGTTCAACTTGAATCAGAGCTGATTGAAGTTGTAAAATTACCAGAACATGAAATGGTTGGCAAAGTCGCCACCGAAAAGATCCTTTGTACCTGATGTTGAATTGAAACCTGAGATAAACGATTTTGTCGAAGATCATTGAAAGTTGTGATTGATTATAAATCAGTTTTATCAATTTCTTAATAGTAGTAATTTACTCGTTTACAATAGTTTTTAACACTTATAACAAAAAGAGGGATAATTAGCTAACCCAATGAGTACCACCACTGAATATGGATAACGTATTCATGGCGGTTGTTGTGCCTATCGGCGATTCAGAGATTGTGTCGAATCTCTTTAAAAAAGAAAGTTTCATTCATCTAATCAATTTCATCTCCAATTTACTATTAATAAATTTCATTTGTAGAAGTATATAATTTTTTAATCCATAAATTCATTGCAATTGATTGCTTTTCTTATTGATTATTTTGTACATTTACTTGAATATTTGATCATTAAAACTTATCTATCAACTTATGAAAACTTTCTTGATGAATTATCGATTACAACTTTTGGACATTATGATAATTTTCCACGAAACATTTCTTATATTAATTGGAATTACAATGTTCGATTTCATTTCATCGATTATTATCTGATTTCTCTTGCAATGCTTAACTTTATCCATCGAAGGTAATAAATAATATCGGTAAAAACTGTCGGTTTATTACCACAAATTTCCGATCCCCAAGAAACGATTCCAAATAAAATATCCTTACCTGATTTGGTTCCTTTTCTTAGAATCGCAGGTCCACCCGAGTCCCCGAAACAACTAGCGATTCCATCACCACCGGCACAGATCATTCCTGGACGATACTTATTTCCATGGTGAAATTTACACTCATAATCATCATGACGATTTAAATTTGCTTTCCTCAAATAACCAGCACCGTAATTAACACCCCACCCAATGACTGTCAATCTACTTGGTATATAAACATAATTAATTGATTGATAGGGTAGTCGAACTGTGGTCAGGCCAAGTTTGACCAGTGGTAGATGATTGTGTAAGAAGATTAGAGCTAAATCATTATGATGACCATTCTCATTGTAATTAAAATGAATGACAATTTTGGAGACTCGGTGAAAGTGTTTCAATAGATACGATTTAGTTGATTTAGATGAAAGTGTTACCAAGATTAAATTGTTTGCTTTGATTCTTTGAGAAATGAGAAGATTTTTTTTAATCGGAAATAATAATTAATATGACAATCAAGTTAATTGTTGAGGAAAATGATTTGATTTACCTGGAAACACAATGAGCCGCAGTTAGAACGATATTTGATCTAATTAATGATCCAGCACAATAATGTTTAAATCCATTGGGTGTTGATTTCTGAAGGGAAACCAAATAAGAGAAATGGTTAATTGTTGCTCTTGAACCACCGACAATTTGTCCATTGATTAATGGTGTTGATTGTCTTACAAAGGAAGAATGATTAACTAATTGTGTTAAACTTGAACTGGATAGTTTAACTGACAAATTGATCGATAGGAAAACAATTAAAAGAAAAGATGAGAATAGAAACTTGATCACAATTAACATATTTGATGATCAAAGATTTTCCTCTAATCAAATTAACCAAAGTCAACCTTAATCTAAATCAATCGAAATTGCTAATTGATTGATTTCTGTCTTTACTCATATTTACCGATTGAACATTGAACATTCACATTGTATAAAAAATATAATCAGCAAGACTATCGGTTGATCATCACAGGAAAAACTCTTAAGCTTTTATTGATTAGCTGATTAACTTTAGTTATCTTAGGATTTAACTGTCAACTGGACATTGGTCACTGATCTTGTATGTCAACAATTTTATTGATCTTTTTGTTTTATCAATCATTATATTCATTGTCTTTAGGTTGTTGCATTTTCTCACAAGGTAAATGATGTTGATTATCATCATCGCCATTTGTGATTAGTGATTAAAAATCAACTGATTGTTAGGGAAGATAAAAAATACTACGTGACTCGAATTGTTTCCTTTGTGAAATAATTTGAGTAAAAAGACAGAGAGCTTGATCACCTTTTCTATAGTTAAAAGAAACTGACATGATAATTAATTAAAGTTAATCTCTCATGCAATTTGAATATTGTTTCATATGGAAGGACAATTAAGGGTCCAAACTGTCTCTCTCGAATGAGACTCATTCACTAAGAGTCAGGACATTGAAGAGAGAGAGAGAGAGAGAGAGAGAGAGAGAGAGAGAGAGAAAGTTTATCTTTCAAGGTTTGGATCAAGAATCCTAATTCTCTTCATCTATCACCCGATAAGAAATGAGATCCTAATCCCACTGTTCCTCTTTCATTGGGCTTACCCAATACCCTGAGAGAAAGAAAGAGAAACAGACAGAAGACTAAAAGTTTCAAGGTGATACTTTGAGACTCCGTCTCATAATCAATACTAACTCGTTACTCTCTTTACTCCAAAAGTGAATGTACCCTTTTCAGGCCATCAACCTGACCTGAAGTAGGAAGGTACGAAAAGAGGAGGGAAAAAGGTAGAAGCAGAAAAAGAAAGAGCCAGAAAGCGTATACAAAAGATTGGATGATGATGATGGAAGAGAGAAGATGAGAGATGATGATTAAGTAAATTGCATGTGAAAGATGGAGAGGAAGTGGGAGGAGGTGATAAAGTTTCAAAAGTTGTTACAAAACATTGAAAGAGAAAAAGACTAGTGATGAAGATTCGCTAACGAATTCAAATATCATTTGAAATAATTAAACACCGAAAATCAAACGAATAACATTTGAATAATTGAATCAAACAAATAATAATAAAAGAAACATAACATTTTGATCCAAAGAAAATTAACTGAAAATTTCATATTCTCAATTTCACTTAATCGAATGAAAATCGTAAAAATTGATCGTCAATCAAATTTAATTATCTATTTCTAAAATAATAACTAATTTAATTTAGACTGACAATAATAAACTTCCGAATGGAAAATTTGATCAACTTTATTTACGAAAATTGGTCATTATTAGTGTTTCTCTCCACGAGATGGCAGCAGCAGATTCGCTCAAGAGAATTTGGGATTTTGTTGCAAAATGTCAATTCGTTTTCTAAATGAGGTTGGTAGCTAACGGAGAGCAATTTACAAGCTAAATTGTTTCAACATTTTAATTCTGTTAATTTAATTTCTTCTTGGTTTCCGACGTTTACCAATTAAACCTTTTCCTCGAATTGTCTGTTTTTATTCTGGTTGATTTTATTTATTAATCCAAAGTGTTTATTGTAACAATTTTCTTTCTTTTCTATCCTTTCCTTTTATTTTTGTTTTCTTTCTCTTTCTGTTTTTGTGTTTCTCTTTCGCCATAATAATAATCTGGAAAAGAAAACAAGTCAAAAGTATTTCTCCGAAAATAATTTCTATTCTTCTTTTTCTTCATCTTAATCGTCAATCAATCGTCTAATTGAGCAGCGAAAAGAAACAAAAACGACAACATTAAAAGTCAACTTGTGTCATATGAAACTTGTTGATTATTCTTTTTAAAGTGATTTAATTGTGCAAAATAATCTCAATCTTCTAATTGATTATAATTCTCCAAAATTTTGTGATTTAATTTCATCATTTCACCACCAACATCATCATCTCTATTCTTTCTCAGGTTCATTAGCTTAATCAACTTTCATCTTTCTATCTTTTCTTTTCTGCTCTTTCGCTTCTCTCTCTCTCTCTCTCTCTCTCTCTCTCTCTCTCTCTCTATTTCATCTTTTTCTTTTCCTTTCCTATTCTCTTTCTAATTCTCCTTCTCTCTCTTTCAAAATCTTTTTCTGTTTAATGTTCTGTTCTACAATCACCGGTTTGCCTCTTACTCTGTACTGCCATCTACTGAACTGCCATTTTCTTGATCATCATCATCTTTTTGCTTCTCTTTCTCTTTCTCTATCTTCATCTCTGTCTAGAGACTCTTTCTTTTTCATTCATCTTTCTCTTTTCTCTCTCTCTCTCTCTCTCTATTTCATCTTTTTCTTTTCCTTTCCTATTCTCTTTCTAATTCTCCTTCTCTCTCTCTCTCTCTCTCTCTTTCAAAATCTTTTTCTGTTTAATGTTCTGTTCTACAATCACCGGTTTGCCTCTTACTCTGTACTGCCATCTACTGAACTGCCATTTTCTTGATCATCATCATCTTTTTGCTTCTCTTTCTCTTTCTCCTATCTTCATCTCTGTCTAGAGACTCTTTCTTTTTTCATTCATCTTTCTCTTTTCTCTCTCTCTCTCTCTCCCTCCTGCTCCCTCTTGTCTATACTCTGTGTTTTTTTTAATCATTTGTTTTCATTTTTTTGGATGTTAATTGTGATCTTTTCTTCTTAATTAGCCTATTTATGTGGTCGGTAAAATATCGGTTGATAACTTGGAATCAAGTTAATTTAATGGTCCTATCAAGGTAAGATTTCACTTCTCCCCTTTTGTTGATGTGTAAGAGTAACTTTAATATAAATGTATTTATTTTTTTCCATCATAAATGTTTTGAGCAATGTATCTCTCTCTCTCTCTCTCTTTCTATCTTTCTCTTTCTTCTATCTGTCTGTTTCTTCTGTCTTCTAGTCTGTCTATTTGAATGTGTAGCTATAAAGTGAGCTGTGAGCTTCAACATCTTTTTTTCTTCAGTGAGTTCATCTTTTTCTCTCTCTCTCTTCTTTCTCTTATTGGTTGATCTCTTTCCTCTCCTTTTATTTTTTCCTCTTTCTCTTTCTCTTCTTCTCTTCACTTTTCTCTCTCTCTCTCTATCAATTTTTTTTCGTTACCTTTACTGTCTTTTTCTCTTTTTCCTCACATTCACTCCTTTCTATCTTAATTCATCTTCTTCTTCCTCTTTTTTTTTCTCCTTTCTATTAATCTCTTATCATCATCTTCAGCTTCATCATATTTTCATCAACATCTTAGCATGTAAATGGAGTGTAAAATTGTGATTGTGTTGATAGCCTGTCCAGGCCAATTTAATTTATTCCAATCATTTGTTACACTTTTGTAAAAACAATATATTTCTCTCTATTTAATTTATTTCTCTTTTTTCTTTCTGTTGTATATATTTTTCCCCCCTTTCTTTCTGGACGCTCAATTTTCTTTAATGGTTAAGGTTATTCCAGTGATAGCGCGGCCAAGAAATACAGCCAAAGAGCAATTGCTCGCTGCTACAGAGAAAGATATGACCCATCCTAATATCACCAACGGTGCCAGTCTTGAGGATTGTTACACCAATTTTTTCGCTCTGGCTGATCTTTGTGGCATCAAATGGAAAAGGTTAACAACACCCGATACCTGGTTACCTTCGGCAACTGGTGATCCTCTTGATGATCCAGTGCTTAAAGCTTATAGCAAGTGTTTAGCAGCTGAGCTTCTTTGTGTATGGAGACGATTTACCAATAATAAATGTAATAGTGGTCCTCTTGGATCGGCTGATGCATCAATAGTAGGAGGAGGAGGAAATGCTAAAAACAATTCCGGTCAAGGAGATGGACATCCAGCTTATAGTAAAGAATTATGGATCTTCTGGTACAGCGAAGAACCTGATGCTGCTAAAATACCTCCAAATGAATTAATTGAAGCTGAACAGGGCTCATGGGAGAATGGACTTTCCTATGAATGTCGTACTTTACTTTTCAAAGCTTTCCACAATCTAATTGAAAGATGCCTTCTTTCTAGAGGGTTCGCTCGAATAGGTAAATGGTTTTTACAGCCATTCGAGGCCGATATACCTCCCGATAAAGGTTCCAATGCCAGTTTTAACCCTGACCTGGGTCCAGTATCTTCATCAGCTTCAACCTCATCTAGCTCATCATCATCATCTTCATCATCATTACCTTCACCTGATAAGTCCTCTTCAAGTCAACTTTCTTTCGCCTTTAACTTTTTTGTACATGGAGAAAGCACGGTTTGTGCTAGTGTAGATGTTCGAGTACTTCCGCCTGTTTACAGATTGACCCGGCGTAACCTTTTGGCTGCTCAGGGAACTTCGTGTGGCCTTAATGTTGTACTAAGTCCGTATGGTGTGGCTGGTGTACTAACTGGACAAACCTTCAAAGATTCTGACCAAACCACTCAAAGACTATTACAAGAATGGGAAAAGTTTTATCCATTGAATCTTCAAAGTTCTAAGTCTGGACAAAGTATTAGTGGAAATGCTAGTGGCAGTAGTTCAAATGGTCGACCAGCAGCCATGAATGTTACACCTCCTTTTTATGATTGTTATGACGATGTTTCTATTGGTGTTATTAATGAACCTATTTCATCTTCCTCATCTTCGTTCGCATTACCGTCTGTTATTGAAGTGAGTGTTGCCGGTATTAAAATGAAGTATCCATCATCATATGTTTATGTTGTTCCTGAAAATTTTACGAAAAAGACGGATGACAATAATTTAAAAACTTCGAAAGATACTCAACCTCCACAACAAAAGCAACCGGATCAATCACAATCACAATCACAATCCCAACCACAACCACAGACTCAACAAGTAACACAACAAAAGAATCAACAACAATCATCATCACATAATCCAATGGTAAATTTATTAACACCACCGAATACACCACCAGAATTACATCAATCTTACTTAGCAATCAATTCAAATCGTGTTCGAACTCCAATTTTATCACCCATTCAGTTACAAATACCTTCATCGACTTGCCGTATTAGGAATAATGCCTTCCAAGAGATGAATATATCTCATCAATCAAGTAAATCAATTGAACAAAATTCAAGTAAGTTTAACAATCAAAATTTATACATGAACATGTTTGACATTGACTCATTTTCAATTATTACCATTGTCGTAATAACTATTTCTAGTATGAATTTTATTTACGCTTTTGCCTTGTAAGCTCATTGAATTAATAATAATAATATTTTGAATTACAATTTTTTCTCCTTTCTAATTTTTTTAGCATCATCATCATCATCATCATCAACCACCAATGCAGCATCATTATCACCCACAACAACAATAACAACAACAACAACAACATCACCATCTTCTTTATCTACTACAACTGTAACATCAACAATCACCACAAGTACTACAACATCATCACCATCCATTTCAACTTCATCAAATTTAGGAATGACAGGAGTTTCTGGGACATCAACACCAACACCAACACCGAACTCATTGACAGTACCTTCAACTACACCATCGTCTAGTGCAACTAATACATCAAACGGTATCAGTGGTACTACATCAAGTGTTGTATCTGGCAAAGGTACGACTTGGATTATTCATTTTAGTGTCTTCTTTTTTTCTCTCTTGCTTCCTCAATACAATTCAACCATTTCTTTACTTTGCCTTAATTATTCATCCAAACACACATAGTCTGAATGAAGCATAAAACTGGCAACTTAACTTAGGAAACTCTTTTTCTTTTACCACAATTGTATAACATATTCAAGCGATAATATTTACTTTTATTGTTTTTGTTAGTTTCACATTAATCTCAATTAATGTTGAGTATAATTTAAATCTTGTAAAGAAAAAATGATTCTTCATTTGATTTAAATTATCAACGTTTCATGTGCTTTTAATTTATAACTCTTTTTCTTGGTTGTTTTGTCGCATCTAATAAGGCATTCAGTTTATCCTTGAATATTGAACTACTTCTCAATAGTAGACACAAGACTATGATGTGTGTTTGTCTATCTAATGAACAATTTTTTCATTATCTTTCCTAAAACACCATCTAATCTCAGATTTATTATTACACGAAAAGGTGGTTATATTGATACACTTTACTAGACTCTCTCTCTCTCTTTCTCTCTTAAATGTAACAATTGGTAACAATAATTGTAAAACTACCACTTATCACCTTAATAATCAATATACAAATCAATCTCAATTAGGTTTGGTGTTTCCTTTTGGCTCACTATTTTTCTCATGATAAATTTTAGATAAGATTTACAATTACCCTTTTATTTATTTTGTCCAATAGTTAACAACATTCAATTAATTGTTTTCTTTTTTTTCTAATTAATAGCTACTCCAACTACGAGCAGTTCAACGCTTCCAACCTCAGCTCTTTCAACGGCAAGTTCAGTTACAGCCTTAGGAGATGATCTTATCGCTGCTCTTGCTAAATGGGATTTCTGTGACCCTTCAGCTAAAGTATCTTGTTCGTGTCATCGGTGTAAAACGAAAAAGTCCAACAATCAATCCTCTGTTAACTCTAAATCGTCAAACACTTCATCATTTTCTGGTACTTCTGGAACTAACAAGAAGTTTGATAAAACTGACAAAGACAGACTTAATCAAAAAGCATCTAAAAATGTCAACCCTTTCCATCATCGACCAATGTTCTTTGAAGAGTTGGATGTTTCAACCGTTCAGGACAATTTTACTAATAATAACAGTAACAATAACTCTAACAATAATAATGATAATAGTAATAATAATGTTAATTCGTCGTCTACCGGTGCACAATCATCCACTTCGTCTTCTGCTAATAATGCAATTACCCAGCCACCATCAGTTCAACAACCAAAAACACCTAATTATCTGTATAAATCTCCTGGTATGAGTGGATTACCCTCAATACAATCAAATGCAACTACTCCAGGGGGAACTGCCATAGATTCTCCTCGTTCCTGTGCTCCTTTCAGCGATGGACCTGCATCAGGTGGTCCTGCCTTAGATGCGAGTTTATCTTCTATCTCACCTCACCCTGTTCGCGATGATAATAACATTTATTCACAAGAACCACCTTCCAATGATCCCAGCAAAGGAATTAACAAAAATCTTGACGGAATGTCTCCTCATCCAGGATCTGTGAAAGGCTCTGGAACCATTGATTCACCGGCAGTTGCTTGTGTAAATCCATGGACTCCAAGTAGCGGAGGAGTAGGAGGAGGTAGTGGTGGTGGTGGACAGCAACAAGGAAGACTAAATGAAAATGATACTAATCAACAACCAAATAATTCACAGAATGTACTTGATAAAACCGATGTAGCAACAAATGGTTCTAATTCCCTGAAAAGACCAATGCTTCCAGTTGACTCGAATGAAAATGATCTAAGCTGTTCCAAAAAGTTACTTTATGACTTTACTTGTATCGACCACGTAACAAATGTCTGGGATATACCAATGCCAAAAAATCGTAGGGTGATCAAAGGACTGAATAGAGCGGAAATCATGCGGGATACAAGTGATCATATGTTAGACATAAATTGCTATAAATCGAGGAGAGACCCTTATGAATTTAATGATGAAGAATTTCTTGATTTCATGAAGTGTGAAAAAATGGCGGAAGATGAAACAAATAAACCAAGCGATTCTACTTTACCTTCGTCTGGCGTTAATGATACAATTCGATCAAATGAAGCCGTTGTTCCAATATCTTCTGTACCAGTTTCTTGCGCTTCTCAAGATGATCAAACTGTTCCAAAAGAAGGACCAAAAAGTGCTGCTGCTGGTATGGATAATGCATCAATTGCATCTCCCAAAACTCTGAAAGTTTTTACACGAGAGGAAGATCTAAGAGTTAGTGATGCTGATCTGAATAATATTTTCGAATCAGATTCTGATGAAGAAAGTAGTTCAGAATTTTCTACACCAAATGCTCCTAAATCTAATAAAAGTCCAGGATTATCTCAAATGAATGGTAACACTGGATTACTGGCAGGATTAGAAGATTTTTCAAAAGGAAATAGTCGTAACAATGCATCAACCCTTGCAGAATTAACCATGATTTTCCCAACTCCACCCTCAATGGAACACAATACAGCTCCCTCGCCTTGTAACACTCTAGGTGGTACTGATATGACACTTATTGATGACAATGCCCGTGAAAAACTAGACGGTTACCCAAATAGTCCGACAAGCCTCGAAAACGCAAAAGATTGGTCTTATGTTTATAAACCACCAATTCAGTGTAAATTTCTTACTTCTTCCAAATATGCCCCTTTAACTGACGTCGCAAGTCTCACACAATACAAACCTCGCCCTGACTGTGTATATAAACAACAAGAGCCTTCATTGCCTTTTCAGACTGTTAAAAGTCAAACTAAAACTCATCCACATCAACCACAACATCCACCACATCAGATACAACAAAATCAACAGCCACCTCACTCTCATCATCCTCATCACCAACAAAATCATTTATACTCGTGAGTTGATAAAACTAATCTCATTTTGCCTCCAATTTTCATTTCTACATCATCTCTGTTTCAACCAATTCTCTAATTAGTATTTGTATTGCACAACAACGTGTCAACAACACAAGTAGTGACAGTTCATTTGTCAATATTTATCTGTCATTCCTACAAACCTGTTAAAGAGCAAAAATGATACACATTTAGTTTTAGCATTTTTATCCTTGAGTGTAGACACAAATACAATAAGAACACAAGCTGATAATTGAGAGATAATGTCTGTAAACATTTAAATTGTTAATTTTGTCTCGCTTATTTTTCTCAATTCATTGACCTGTTTCTTAAAAATATTCTCATCTTATTTGGAACATTTTTCTTTTCTTTTCTTCCTTTCTCACAGAGATAAACATTCACCGCATCCATCCCAACCAAATTCAGCAATTTCTCATTTAGGACCTTCCACTGGACTTATTCCACCATCTTCGCAACCCAATCAAACAAATAGATCTTCATCTGGCTATTTTCATCAATTGTACGTATTAATCGAATCATTAACTAACCATTTCAAGTGTCTAAGAAAAGAAAGAGCAAAAACAAAGAACAAGCCAAGTAATATTTTCTTCACTAACAAAGTTTATTCGAAACTCATGAAAGTGAACAGTAATCAACGAACTCATCAGCATCTTTTCTCCTTTTTCTTCTTTCTTTTTTTCTGCATCTCTGTTAATTTCTGTCTCTTTCTCTCTCTCTCTCCAATCTATTTTTCTAAAAGTCATTTGAATTTCTTTAAGGGAAAGAACATCTCATGTTCTCATGAATTATTTCTTACATTTAAGCTGAAAAGTCTTCAAGAGGCACAACTAGTGTCATATTTACATTGGATTTGCGCACAAAAATTTTAACAAGAAACCGCGTCAAATATTTCTTGATGAATGGATGAAGTATAAAAAAGATGAGAAGAAAGAAAGAAGAGAAAGAGAAAAATATGATGTTGATGGTGATGAAGATGAAAGAAAAAAAAATATAAGAAGATAGAGGAAAAATATACAGACTTTTTTTCCAGGGAGAAATGTTGGTGAAAAGCTTAGGAACAGATAACCAAGAGATGAATGAAAAGTGAAAGAGATTTTTATCCTGCGCAAGCCTCTCTCTCTCTCTTATTATCTTCCTCTGTCTGTCTCTCTTTCCCTTCAATAGAAGATGAAAGTAAACCTGATTGTGTGAAGTTACTGTTCAGGAACTCATGTTCAATAATTTTGCACGTGAATTCGAATCTTTTTTATGCTAATTTCCACTAAGGAATAATATATCAAGATAATTATCTTTTTCTGGCAATACATTCAAACTTATCATGATAATTTGTTATAACAGCTAATTTAATAATTTTCTGCCTCTCATGTTGAAAACTTTTACTTTTTTTTCCTGCTTGCATTGTATCAATTAAACATTATTATTGGCTCATAATTAATCATCTTTTTTTTTCTCATGTCAATTTGTACTCTTTTATAGCGGTAATAGCCAACAACAAAATTCAATGGTGCATCATCATCATGGTCATCCCGGAATGATGCCTCCTCATCAAATGAATTCTCATTTTCATCCATCACAACAACAACAAAGTCCCCATCATCATCTTAACCATCATCCTCATCATCATCCAGGACAGAATCAAAATATGGCTATGAGTCGTTTAAATTCTGGCCAATTTTCACCTTCACCACAAATTCATCAAAGTCCTCCAATCATGGGTTCAGGCATGAGAATCATGAGACCCGGACATCCATTAAGAGTCAACTATCCACCAAATCCACAAGTTTCCCCTTTCATGCAAGGTCACCAGCAAACACCCAATATGTACATGAATCCTCAATTTTCCAACTCTTACGGCCCTGGTGATCGAATGATGTCAGCAAATCATCCACACTTTTCACCTCTCATGGACAACAATGGTCCACAGCCTCCCTTTGCAAATCATCCTCCATACCACCATCAGATGCCTGGAAATAATTCCCCTCTTCCGGGTCACCATCCATCTCCCGCTATGGGTAACATTAACGGTCCTCTAGGATCACTTCCTTATGATGTTCATTCCCATCAAAATTCATTAATGCCAGGAAGAACGCCTTTACCTGCCACAAGTCCAGCCTTACCTACAATTCCAGATGCTCATTGTATATTGATCAATTTAGTTCTATCCGATTCTATGCTTAATTTGTTTAAAGATCATAATTTTGAAAGTTGTACTCTATGCGCCTGTAATGGTAACATCAAAGGATCTGATGTTGGTATTTACTTACCTGAATCCCTCGTTCCTAGTGAATCAGATGAGCCTCAATACAAGTGTACTTGTGGCTTTAGTGCAGTATCAAATCGTCATCGTAGCTACTTCGCTGGACTTTTCTATGAAGATGAATTTGAAATAACCGGTGTTGCATATGACCCCTTGGAAAGATTAGAAAAGAAACCTGTGATTAAAAGTGAGATTTCTATCAAACAAGAACAAAATGTTGATGGTAAAGAAATGGTTAATACAAGTACAAATCTATATGAAAATGACCAATTAGATGCAAGTTTAGTGGACCTTTTAAGGAGTCAATGCTCAACTCTATTTCCATCAAGCTCTTTATTAGCTAAAGCGGCGATCTTTGAAACTTTAAGGAATAGAGATGATGCTGATATGGTCAACATGGATTCATCATTATCCATCCCGGTTTTATTAAATTCCATGAAAGTGGTCACAAAGAAAGCTTTTCTCCTTCGTTCAAATGCACTCCAAAGATCGGATGGTTGTGAAATTGCTTATATAGCTTTAATTGCCCCCAAACAAGTTATGAACGGTATTCTCCCGAAAATGGCTATTCAACAACTCAATACCCCAGAAAGGTTGAATCGTAAAGCATCATGTTTACATGAATGGTCTTTTAACAATGGATATGTCGCTTCAAACAATATCGATGTCGTCAGGTTATTACGTAATTTGACTCCTCTCCTTCAAAAATCTGTCCAAAAGAAACCTCAGGCCATGTGGGAAGTAACTTACACAGTTTCTGGTCCATTGACGTGGAGGCAATTCCATCGTTTAGCTGGAAGAGGAACTGAAGATCAATGTGAACCTCAACCTATTCCATCATTATTGGTTGGTCATGACAATGATTGGGTAGCCCTGTCACCATTTGCCCTCAAATATTGGGAAAAGTTAATGTTAGAACCTTATTCAGTCACTCGAGATGTGGCCTACCTCGTGCTAGCACCAGATGACAGTTACATTTTATCTCATGTTAAAACTTACTTTAAAGAGTTGAGCACAACTTATGAGATGTTGAGACTGGGTAGACATTGTCCAATAGCTAAAGTGATGAGAGATGGTATCATGAGAGTGGGTAAAACTGTCGTTAAAAATATCGCCAATGAGCCGATCGATGATTGGTTCAATCAAATTGGCGATGGAAGTGTCGCTTCAAAGATAAAACTTTATGCAAGAGCCTGTAGATATTATGTTGCTCCTTATTTAAGTTCTCAGAATTTGGACAAATCTCTATTCGACAATTCAATACCTAAACCAGAATTTACTCCTGGAATCGCCAATGCTAATCGTCCACCAACAGCTTCACCACATCATCCACCTGATTCAATGAATACAAATGATTCCAAAGTTAACGATGACCTCAATGAAGGAATAGGCCAAGGTTCTAGTTACACAGCGTCACATCTTCAAGATTCATCTGAATTAGACGATGATCCCAACAAACAACCAGTAATTGTGATTTATATTGTTGAACCATTTACATTTGCTAATATGGACGAGGAAGTTTATCGACTCTCATGCCTTGGATTACTCAGATGTTATGCACAAATGTTGAACTTTTTACCGGAACATCTTCACAATAGTATTAATCTACAATTAGTTTCATTAGATTCTATTCTTGGTGTTGGTGCTGATTTCCATGGTTCCAGACGTCAAGATCAAATGAAAGCTTTAGCCTTTTCCGTTTTCAATCAATGTCGCAAAGTTCTGGTCCAACATTCTGTATCTAAATCTCTCACTGGTTTCGGTCCAGCGGCTTCATTAGACATGTTCCTTAAGTCCAAAGATCCAACATTATCAATAACTCGAGTTTACACTCCACCTTACATTTTAGCTCCTCTAAAGGATAAGCAAACTGAACTTGGAGAAATGTTTGGTGATGGAAGGGAAAAATCTCAAATCCTTTATTGTGCTTATTGTCTAACCGAAGATCAAAAATGGTTGGTGGTAACTTGTTCTAATGATAAAGGAGATTTACTTGAATCGACCTTGATTAACATTGAAATACCAAATAGGACGAAGAGGAAAAAAGCATCTGCAAAGAAATTTGGTCTGTACAAAATATTAGAATTCATTTTCTCGGTTATGACTGAAACAATTCAACCTTGGCGACTGGTTATCGGTAGAGTTGGACGTGTGGGTCATGGTGAATTACGTGAATGGAACGCGTTACTTAGTAAAAAGTCACTTCTTCGTTATAGTCGTTTACTTCGTGATAAATGTCGCCAATGTTCAATGATGACTCCATATGAGATTCCGTCAATTCTTTCAGCGTGTCTTGTTTCATTAGAAGCTGATACTGCTCTAAGAGTTTTCCCTGATCATTTTACACCAGATGATCGATACACTTCTTCATCTAGCAATTGTCACCTTAGTACACCTGAAGAAGCCTCATGTACTCATATCCTGGTCTTTCCAACTTCCGCTGCTTCCTCATCATCTCAAGCGGGTTTCGGTATTGGCGATGGAGGTATTGGCGGTATAAATGAAGATGATTTACTTCAAGCATTAGGAGCCGACGGTGGTACTGAAGATCTTCCGGTTGACGATGATCTCGATCTATTCCAATGGCCTGAAAGTCCCAACGATCCATCTCGAGATCCAGTTTTAAATCACCCAGACAGCCCAAGGCAATCAGGTTTTGATATGAATATGAAGGTGAGAAGAAAGCAAAAAATCAATCTAATCAAAAGTTTATTATCTAAAAAATCAGAAGCTAATCAATTATTATGATAAAATTTACTGTTGAAAGTAATTAATTACAATGTTTTCTTAACCATCGTCTGAACCTGAAGAAAAAGATAAAAACAATTACAACTAATCTTTACCTGTATATGTAATCATAAAAATCAGAAGATAGATTAATCTATAACAATTTAGAAAGTAGAGTTTCCGATAAAAGTTGATCAACTTTTTCCTTTAAGATAATTAACCACAATTATGTTTCAATCTCTTGTTTCCAGAGCTCATTCGGAGGTGATCTTGGCGATGATCCGACTAATTTACTGCAACAACCTTTAGCTTTAGGTTACTACGTGTCAACTGCTCAAACCGGTCCGTTACCCAAATGGTTCTGGTCATCATGCCCGCACCTCGCTCAAGTCAATCCCGCCTTCTTAAAAGTGAGCGATGTTTACTTGTTTCCGAAACTTTATTTTCCCTCTCATTTTGATGACCTCATTTATCATTCACTGTTACATTTAAATTAATATTCTCTTTTTCTCTCATCATTAGTCTGCATTACTTATTCACACACCATCAGTTCAACAAAATACCGACGACTTTAGCATGAACAACAGAAACTGTCATCCACTAGACTCTAATCTGACCACAGATGTATTGAGGTGAGTGAAAGTTGAAACTTTTAATTTCTTTTTTGTTTCATTTTAATCAACATGTCGCCTAATTAAATTATTTATTTATTTTTTATCTCTCTCTCCCTCTCTCTTTCTTTTACATCTATTTAGATATGTTCTCGAGGGTTACAACTCGCTATCTTGGGTGTCCTTGGATCCTGCCACTCACGATCGTTTATCATGTTTACCAACACACATTCAAATCTTAATGCAACTTTATCATACGGTCCAAGCATTAGTTTGAAATTAATTGAGGATTAGGAATTAATTCATTTTTTTCGCAATCATCATTATCCATTCTCCATTTGTATCATCATCATCATCATCTTCACTTTCACCTATTACGATACCTTTTGTTTTTCCTCTCCTTCTCTCTCTCTCTCTCTCTCTCTCTCTTTCTGGTCTTATTTTTTTCCCTTCTCATGCATCTATCAACATAAAATCCACAAAACAATATATCTTTCTCTCTCTCTCACACACACACTCTCTCTCTCCCTTTTCATTGGTCAACGTTACGATTATTATTTGATAAATGTAAATATATAAATATGTAAAATTAATTAATATATTGGTCCAAACAAAAATAAGATGAGAGTTTCTACCATGAAGGGTCTTGTTAAATGCCGATTACATGAGAAGCATAAATGGCCCTCGAATATTATTAAACTTTACACCTTCAACTCTCCCTCTTTCCTTTTCCGCTTCCTTTCTCACTCTTTCTATCCCGAAATCTTTTTTCATAATATTAACAATTCTAAACAATGAGTCATATCAGCCATACGAAATTGAAAGCATACAAATGGAAAACATTTCTCCCGCTGAACTATGATGATTAATCTTCTCAACAGGTCAATTCTACGACTAATCGAAAATCTTGTAAAATGTTCTAATTGACTCCCAAGTTTTCTCTCCCTTTTTTTCAAATTCTCCCAAAAATTATTGGGCGAATGCAATTGTGAAATAACGATAATATTAATAATAATACAACTATTTCATTTTATGCCAATAGCTTACAATTTATTAAATGATTACAAATTAATCATAATTTTTGAATGTTATGATAATGGATTTAACACCGATGATTATAATTTGAATGGTTTTTTTTGTTTTGTTTTGTGATTGATTCTCTGGAAATTGGATAAAGATTGTTATGATTAAAAGGTATTTTGGTTTTGTTTAAGGTAAAGGCTATGAATACATTATTTATATTTGGGATGAATTGGGTTTACCGGATTGGACGAGAACCAAGAAGAAATATTTCACCACGAATTCTGAGAGCTAAAGCAATATCTCGAGGGAAAATGGTCACTCTTTTAGCGTGAATGGCACAAAGTTGTGTATCCTCGAAAAGTCTTACCAGAAAGGCTTCGGCCGCTTCTTGTAGTGCAGTTAATGCAGCTGATTGGAATCTCAACTGAGCGAGAGAATAGTCCATGGCAATCTCTTTGACCAAACGTAAGAATGGATTTCTCGGGATGAGAAGATCAGTTCGTTTCTGTAATTTCCTTATCTCTCGGAGAGCAACAACACCAGGATGATATCGACGAGGTTTAAATTTAATCATGTCACGTATATCTTTCTTTCCTTTACCAATGGTTTTACCACGTTTAGCGGCCAATTTGGTTGCCAATGGAGTACCACTAAAACCAACACCAGTTGATTTTCTGGCCTTTTGTACTTTACTTGCATTTGATGAGAATTGTTTTGTCCGAGCCATATTAAATTATGGATGATGGGTGATGCCCAATGTCAGAAATAAATGAGAGTCACAAAAATCACGGATAGAGTTACACAAGACCAGAAACACTATGGTCTTAAAGAATTAAATGAAACTCGGGTAAACAAATTACCGAGGGAAATTTTACAAAGAATAAACAATTTAAAACAATATTATAGAAACTGGTTGATATGAGAAGAGAAAAAAAAATGAAAACAGTGAAAGATAATTTAATGGAAAAAGATAAATGAGAAACCGCGATCTTCGAAACAAATTGTCAATGAAAATACCAAAGTATCTCTGATAACTACACAAGAGTTTAGTCGAATTACGAATCAAAGTTTATTTAATTAAACTCGAACAATAATTACAATTAAAAAATAAGAACGTTAACTCATTTAAATAGAAAAGATAATTAAAGGTAAGTGAAGATTAGGTTTATAGAGAAAGAGAACAAAAGTTAACCATCACTAACCAGCCAATCGCAATTCGGCGCAGACTCAGTCGAATTTCTATGCGAGCGACATCTGTTGGTCGACCTTCGTCTCCGTTAATTGTCTCTTAATTTTATTTCTGTTTTTTATTGATTATAAAAGTGTTTCAATTATTAATAATTATTCAGTTAATTATATTTGAGTTGTTTAAGTTAAGGATCACGGAAATTTGAGACTAAAACAGCCGTAAACGAACAATGGAATCAACCTTTTCAAAGCGACTTTTCCTTTGTGAATCAAAACCAAGAAAATCAAATCAATCAAATTAAATCTTTAGGTTTAGAGAAATCAACCAGACAAAGAAAATCACGTTAATCAAAAAATATAAATTTAAACATTTTCGATGTTTCAATGGTTTATTTTCTCTCTTTACCTGAATAATGTTCCTATGAAATGGAATTAATCATCGATCCTCAACTTGAAGCATTAGCCATTCGGACTGAATGAGCGTAAATGTCATTACATTTGGACTTTTATTGAGTCCAATTGATTTTGATTAACTTTCATTTATTTTGTCTTCTTGATGATGATACAAACTGATAGATATTTACATTAAATGTTAAATTAATTGTTCTACTATTTAGATTTAGATTTGGGTTTTACTTATTTTCTCTTGGGGTTTTGAGACTGTGAAGGAAGTTGTTTTGTGTTATGTTGTTTTTTTTAATTTAATTGTCTCGCTGATGGTTTTCTATTCATCACCAAATGATTCCTTGCTTTCTGCTGATATTTCTTTCAAAATTTCTTCTCTCCTTGCTTTGCCTCTGAGAATTGCTTCTTTAAATAAGTCACAGTAAAGGTGAATTGCCATTGGTGTATCATCATTACCAGGTACTGGATAGGTAACTAATCTTGGATCACTATTGGAATCACAAATTGCTACACTTGGGATAAACATTTTGGCACAATCTCTGATTCCATCATGCTCAAGGAAAACATTATTAAAAGTAGACAAGAAAATGCATAAATCAGGTAACCTCATAACTTTACCAAAAAAATTTCTCGATCTTGTTAAGGTTGAAGTTTGATAATGACGACAATGAGCATATTCATTACACTCTTTGGCTACTTTTTCAACATATTGACCAGTCTAAGAAACAGGACAAACAGATTAAAGGAATAAAATGAATATCAGATGATTAAGAAATTGATTATAACTCTAATTTACCTCTTTATGATTAGAAACAAACAGTATAACACCTCCTCTAAATGCTATGTGAGCAGTGAAATTCAATGCATCCTTTAGACGGGCAACCGTTTGGTTTAAATCAATGATTGTAACACCTAATCGTGAACCATACAAGTAACTGGTCATATACTCATTAGTTGAACCATCTTTATGTCCAAGGTGAGCTCGAGAATCAAAAAGTTTCCTCAATGAAACCAGTGAATGAACATCAAAATAATCCGGTACATCTAATGGATCAATAATCATCGGCTCTGAATGAGAAACATTTCTCTCTGGGTCAACATTAACCGACAAATTTGGTGAACTAACCGAATCCAATCGATTTGTAGTTGAAAAAGAAACTGAATGAGATAACTTGTTTAATAAAAATCCTAAAAAGAAAAGAAAAATCAAATCAAATCAATTAGATTTTCCAAAACAAAGTCAATGTATTAAAATCAATAGAATTAGAAAAAGAACTTACTATTGAAAGCAAATGGCCGCCACAAAGAAAAGATCATCCTTAGTGATAAAAATCAGTAGAACATCAAAATCTTAATTGAAATGTCAAAGAAAAAGAATAATTAAAATCACAATTAGTGAAAAGAAATCAAATTAATTAATCCCAATTTGTTGTTTCCATTGTAAACACTTACATATGATTCCAATGTGTTAACATCCGCAACTCCATCTATCGAATTTTATTGTGACTTTTTAATTTTCGAAAATAAAATTAATCGATTATCAATAATTAATCGAATTAATTTCTTTTTCTAATCAAATGACGCAAAACTAATTCTTAGCTCCATCTATTTTAATCACGTTAATCTTTTCAAAACTGTAACTCTGATCAGTTTAACTTGAGTGGTTAATTACTGTTGTTCACTAATTCAGATTAAATTAATTGTCGTTTTGAATAATCAGATTTGTTTTTTTCTTCTATTCTAATTGAAATCCAAGATGAGTGCCGATCAAAATGGAGTACGAAGTGTACCCAAAGGAGGAATGCTCTATGGTGAATATTTAATGGTAAGTTTTCAAATTCTATTCTATTCTTTTTTGTTAATTTAAATTTAATTCTCTTATTTTTTTTGCTCCAAAAAATGTTAAACAATTTAAATTTTAAAGGTTACAGGTTAACAAATCATCAGTTATATTAATTATTCTATTCTCTTTTCATGTTCTTCCATCTTGTTTTGCTCCATCTTCTTCTCTTTCTGATTATGTTATAAAATGGAAGCAAATTTTTCCCCTTTTGGTTAAATATTTCGTTTTTACACCTTATAGTTTAATCTTGATTTTCTTATGAAGTAGAGTCTCAAGGTCTCTGTTTGAGTAATTTTCTCTCTCAAAATTAAAGTGTCTCTTTCTCTAACCCCCAATAACCTTGTAATTTTTCATCATTCGTTGAAAATTTGGATCGCTCATTTTTCCCTTCCCTAATTAAGACAAAAAGAAAACCAGATTGACCAGCCCCAAGTAATTTTGAGCCTACCTCTTAGCCGCCATTGTTTTTTCCCCATTAATTCTCTCTCTCTCTCTCTCTCTCTATCAAATTGGCTCCATGTTAATTTTTTAAATGTGACAATAAATCAACATCTCTCACTCATTTTAACTTTTTATGATCCAGTCGTTTTAACATATTTATTTATTTCTTTTCTGATTCTAGTTGGATCCATTGCTTTCTTGTGTTGAACCAGTAACTCGTTCGCTTGGTAAAGAGGTTCACGATGAGCATCTCTTTATTATTACCCATCAAGCTTATGAACTATGGTTCAAGCAAATTCTATTCGAATTGGACTCAGTCCGAGATCTTCTCAACAAAAAGGTACAGTTACTATTGGACAAAAATTTGACCCTCATTTTATGACACATCTTATGCATTGTCACTCCCTCGTTTAAAATACTTGTTGAACTTTAAAGGTCAAACAAGTACAATAAGTCACTTCCCTAGATGACAGTTTAATTGATGTTCTTTGACATTGTCTCTCTTTTTTGTTTTCTTACAGAATGTCAGTGAATCAAATATGTTGGTTATTACATCCCGCCTAAACCGAGTGGTTCTAATTTTAAAAGTATGTTACTTAACTGTTGATCTTTACGATGGACATTAGATATTAACTTTGACCTTTTTCTTATGTTAAAGTTACTTGTTGACCAAGTTAGCATTCTAGAAACCATGACTCCATTGGAATTTATGGAGTTTCGAAATTATTTGTCTCCTGCTTCAGGATTTCAAAGTGTTCAATTCCGTCTATTGGAAAATAAGTTAGGGGTTAAAAATGAACTCCGTGTTAACTATGGCAAAAACCATTACATCAATATTTTTCAAGATCCGAAGATTATTAATTTAATCAAAAAATCTGAAGAAGAACCTTCTCTATGTGACCTTATTCAAAGGTGGTTAGAGCGAACACCAGGTTTACAAGAAGAAGACTTTAATTTCTGGGAACAATTTAAAAACGTTGTAACTTCAATGTTAAACGAACAGAATAAAAACGCTGAAGCAGAAAATGATCCAAGTATTAGAGAGCAAATGATAAACGATGTCAAGCAAAAGGTCAAAACCTTTGACACGATTTTCGATGAGACCATTCATAATGGGCTAATAACTCGAGGTGAACGTCGCTTTTCCCATAAAGCTCTTCAAGGAGCCTTGATGATTTCATTGTACCGAGATGAACCTCGTTTTAATCAACCTTTCCATGTGCTCACTTCTTTAATGGATATTGATTCCCTAATCACTAAATGGAGATGTAAGTTTCCCCACAATCAGTGTAAAAATTGAAGGAATTTATTCTTTGATTACTTTGTTTTCATTAATTTCTAATCTTGTAATCTAACTTATCTTTAGCAAATCATGTTCAAATGGTACTCAGAATGATTGGATCACATCAAATGGGAACAGGAGGATCAGCTGGTTATCAATATCTTAGATCAACTTTAAGTGATCGATACAAGGTCTTTGTTGATTTATTCAATTTGTCGACTTTCTTAATTTCCAAGGAATATTTACCACTGCTGACTCCAAAAATGAAGAAAAAGTTATCAACTTTAACTCAAAAACAAGATTCTGATGAGGAATAATCCAATGATTATTGCTCGAAATGCTCACCAATCTTGTTATGGTTCTGTTTTTTTTTTTTTGTTACCGAATCAACTTATTTTTCCTCCATGATCAACGGATTAACCAGATCAACTTACAGTTTAAAAAGAAAAGAAAATCAATGGGATCCACTAAAAAAAACAAGCCCGGTTATGGATGCGTAATTTAAACCATCAGAATTTAAAATTTCTACCAATCAAATCAACTTCTAACAAAACATTGATTTAATATTAATCTTAATAACAATCAAATTTTAACCTAAGTAACTTAATCTTTTATTTCTACTTTAAATAATTAACAGGTTATCAACAATAATAATTGTGTAAATTTAAAGATAATAAAATTAAAACAATCAATTTACACAATCTTACCAACACATGATACAGTTAATAGTTTAATTAGCCAATTAATATTGATTGATTACAATATTTTCTAATTAGACTCTCGGTTGACCATAAGAAAATTTTCTCCCAAAAAAAAGGTTCACATGGTTTTCCAATTGTTGATGATAAATTGCTCTTGGAATGAAAAACTTGATTTAATGATGAAATCGAAACGACAACCGTAACCACAACAGCAATTAAACCTGGACCAACACCGAGATTGATTATATAATAATTAAACAATCGAACCCCAATTGGTAATTGTTTAACTCGATCCATAAAAAGAGAAACCTGAAAACAGTAAATTAAAATGAACTTGAATTGATTGAAAACTTACCTCCAATCGGAAGGAATCACTTTGATCCAGTAAAGTTAATCGATAAAGAGATAACCAAATTTGATTGTGATTTAAATTACAAAGTGAAAGAATATAAATTGTCAATTGAACAATTAGAAAATCGAGAAAAATATCAACTATAAAAAACCATTTATGAGCAAATGAACTGAAAAAAAGATCGTAAAAAATTGTAACCGATCTGAATAAATAGGAAATCAAAAGAAAAACAATTAACAAGTGAAAAAGTTTCTCGACAATTGTAATGAGTTGATTAATCGATTCATAGGAACGACGGAGATTTACAATTGAAGAGATCGAAGTTGATTGGTCAACAATCAATTGAATTCTCGACGACGAAATTAACTCTAATTGTTCAACGATATAATCTAATCCAGTTGAGATGAAGACACAAATGATTGATAAATTGTGAAGCAAATAATATAAATTGAAATAAGTTATATGATCTAATTTCAATGATAACTGAAAGATAATTGCTGGTGGATAAATTTTAAGTTCTGTAATAATTAAGAATGTGATGATTAACCAAATTGAGTTAATTGTTGACAATATGATTAAACTTTGGTTGCGAATCAGTTTGGATTTGATTTTGCTGTTTAACTTTGCTGCTTCTTGTTGATTGATTGACTTTTGATTGTTGGTAAATATTTTTAACCAAACTGAATCAATTTCAGGGTAAATTGTTTCGTAATTGAATTTAAATCCAGTGTAAATTATAATCAAATTAGTTGTTGATTTAAATAGTGATGCCATGACTCGGTTACCTTTTTCATCCAATATATTTTCACCAGCAATTAGAACGATCTTAATTAAATCCTTGATTGTTAGGATAACGCGAAGGGTAAAGATAATTAGACAAACTAAACTTGATGTTAAACTGATTAACTTAATTGTTAGTTTACTATTTAAATATTTAAATAAACTTATTGATTTGTATGTTTGAAAAAATGAATACGGTTGAACCCAATTAGATGGTACAGTTAATTGTTGTTCTTGATTAACTTTACAAGTTGAAAAATTTTGATTCAATTCTGATTCCATTTTAATTGTTGTTGTTGTTGTTGTTGTTTGAATCAAGTTTACAATTAAAATGAAATTAATTGTAACAATTTTCCAATAGTTTTCTAAAGATCATTATTAAGATTGATTATAATTGATTAGAGACATTAAATTGTGATCAGAAAATCAACTTTAATTGAAGGAAATTGTTAGAATTAATTATTTATCGATTGAGTCAACAATTAAAAGTAAAATCAATAAAAATTTAATCAATTCTAGTTTTGCTTTTGATTGTAATCAAAGGAAAGATGATTAATAATTTTTGTTGCTTCATTTCCTAAAGTGTAATCATTAAATTAGTTATCATGATTAGTATAAATTAATTGTAACAATTAATAGGATACACAATTGGATTATTAGATCAATTGGTATCAAGGTCACACCACAATTAATTGATCAACAATTTGTTTCAGGTTAACATGATCATAATAATAATTTTCATCTCTATTTGGGTCAAACAACTGATTTTAAACAAAAAGTTAAATTTGATTAATTGTGAGGATCAATTGTGTAACAATTAAGAGAATCAACTAAATTAACAAGAGAAAAACTTGACAAAAGGTGAAATTGTTTATTAACTTTATCTATTTACACCTTTAAACATCTTTCCCGATACTAAAGTGAAAGATTGATTAATAATCAATGATCACAATTCCAATTGTGTTGTTAATTGTTTCGTTTCAAATGATTAACAATCAACAAGGAATCAGGGTAACAACTAAATTTTGAGATGTTCCCCTACGAGGGCGTGTTCAGGTTTCCACTTTGATTGTTGGTGTTTTTTGTTTATCGTTTAATTGTTTTGCTTTTTTTTAGTTTAATTCTCAATTGACAAATAGCCTGGAGATAATTAAAGTGTTATCATGTGTTGATTCACAGAGAAAGCGACATTTTTAATCGTTGATTGTGATTCTAATTGTGTGGCCTTTAATTGTTTCTACTACGAAATTGATAAGTGATCATTTTGGTCTTTACCTGTTGATCATTTTAGTGGAAATTTTTTCTCCATCTTAATCTAATCCTAATTATCTTTACAATTCAAGATTTCGTTTGTGGTTTTTAATCAATTGAGCTGAATTCTTGATGAAATTCTGTGCCTAATTTCTTGGTTTCTTTGGTGTTTTTATCAATCATCTCTAAAGTGTTTGGAGAGTTTCTTTTTTAACTTAACTTATTACTTTTCTTTTTCTATCAATTCTATTTATTGAATATTATAAACAAAGAAAATGTCTTATCCGGTTGATGATCCACCAGCTCCAAGAACGGAAGCCGAAAGGCTACGAATGAGAGCAAATGAGATAACCGATGAGGTGAGTTTGTTTCTAGGCCGTTTTTAAGGTTTTACATTACAAGAAATACTTTTTGATTTCCATCGTTTAGATGATCTAATGATTTTATGATCTTTATTTTTTTTTGTTCTAATTTGTTAGTCACTTGAATCAACTCGTCGTATGTTACAATTAGTCGAAGATAGTAAAGAGGCTGGAATAAAAACTCTGGTCGCTTTGGATGAACAAGGTGAACAATTGAACCGAATTGAGGAGGATATGGATAAGATAAATGCTGATATGAGAGAAGCTGAAAGAGCAATAACTGGTATGGAACAGTGTTGTGGTCTATTCACTTGTCCGTGTGGAAAGAAGTCCGATTTTAAAGCCAATGAATCGACCTGGAAATCATCTGAAGATCGTAAGGTGATAAATGGTCAACCTGCTCGATCCATGGATGTTCGTGATGGAGGTGGACCAGTTCGTAATGGACCTTACATTTCTCGAATAACAAACGATGCTCGAGAAGATGAAATGGAGGAAAATTTAGTTGGTGTATCTTCAGTTCTTGGTAATTTACGTAACATGGCAATCGACATGGGATCAGAAATTGGTTCACAAAATGTTCAATTGGAGAGAATTAACCTTAAAGCCGATTCGAATAAATCAAGAATTCAAGGAGCCGCCGAAAGAACTCAGAAACTTCTCAAATAGATTTAGTTATTTTATCGAAACAATTTGTTGAGTCTCAAAATTAACGATCTATTTTCTTATCTATAAATTCAGTTTTACAGTAACTAATTGTCTTTTCTAATTATTAGTATTTAATCTTAATCATGTTACAATTGGAGTTATTTTTCTAGTTGCAATTTCTCTCCCTCCTTCTCTCTCTCTCTCTCTCTCGCTCACTTGCTCTCATTTCCTCTCTCTTCTTTGGGTTTTTAATGAATGAGAAATGTGTATTTTAAATCTTGTTTTATTGTTTGAAATTAAACAAGAAAATTTTTCTTATTTTCACCCGAATCGCCGTTTAAACATCGAGTTTGTGATTCAATTGTTATCTGTCTCTGGTTGATGATGATTGTCAAAAATATTCAAAATGATTCCACGATTAACTTCCCTCGATTCTTCAAGATCCAATTGATATGCGTAATCATTAATTTCTTGAATTTGCTCCAACAATTGAAGAGGTTTCGACTCACGGAAATAATAAATTGACTCATAATCTTCAGTTTCCAATCTATCCAATTCTGACAGATCCCATTCACATTCACCAAGTTTCCATTCGGGTTCACTTTTCTTGATGAAGTCCAACAAACCGGGAACTAAAATTCACCAGGTTCAAAGAGAGACAGAAAATTTTCAGATCCATTACAGATTTGCGAAAATTAGCAGAAACAAAATATCAGAACATTTGAAAAGAACAAAAAAAAACAATTGGTTAATAGAGAAATCGGTTAACCGAAAAAAATGAGAAAACAAAACAACGATTTTTACCTGGTTGAGGCCATAGAGTAGGTGAAGAACGATCTAGAGTCTCTTGGCAGGATAAAAGTTCCTCTTGTGTTTCACAATTAGTTTGAGGAGTTGGTGAGTTTACAGAGTCCGAATTGTGTGGAGCAGGCATTTTGCAAAAATTTAACAACGAAAAGAAAAATAATTAGGAAACAAAAGAAAAACTAAAACTAAACCACCGACACAATTTGAATCCAGAGAAAAACAAATGCGAGGAAGGAAAAAAGCAGCTGATGAATTTTTCCAAAATTTCAAAAGAACAAAAATTTTCCACCGCCAAGAGATGGCGCCAGATGCGAAACTCTAAGTTGAACTTACAATTAGTTTTCGTATTTAAACTTATTGAACCTTTCGATCATAAACAAAATGGATTAAATGATCAAACCATATTGTTGGAAGATGATGTTATATTTTCAACGAATATTAATCATTGAGAGAGAGAGAGGAAAAATCAATTCAAAAGGAAACATTAAAAGACTAAACTTGAAGCCTTTTCGTTTCTATTGGTAACCAATCAGCTGATTTGATTTAATTTACGTATTTATTGTTATTGATTTGGTCTCAAGTTTTGCAAGTGAATCATTTGATTGTTTTGTTTTGTTTGTTACATTTTGTGCTCCTTAATCATGCAAAGTGATGAAGAAGTTGATTTTCCTTCATATTCTCCAACAACAAACACACCACTTCAATTTCAAAACGATGAAGGAGCCGAACTGTTGAAAAAGTGTTGGTACGCTGGTGTCATGGCTCCGAGAAAAGATGACCACATGATTCTTGGTAATCAAATTTGCGACAATGATTTATTATTACGGAGATGTTTCCTCCATGGTGTCCATGCTTCTTCTTGTGCGTTAAAAAAGGAACCAATACCAAATGCAAGTGGACTATTGGCTAAATGTCTTTCCGTTGGTCTTTTTGTAGATAAAAATAATCAACATCCTAAAAAATTGTAAAAACCATCACATTTTCTCAAGAGATTTTAATTAATCCCTTTTTCGCTAATTTAGCCTTTAATCCTGAAGTTTTCTTCTTTTCCTCTTTGGTCACTTTCTGTCGGTTTTGTTTCTCTTCGACTACTTTCTTCATCTTATCCAACCTGTTAATAGAAAGAGAGAAACAATCAATATCATTATTGGAACATTCACTCAACAACAATCGAATTGATCAAGTTTTATTTAGTAATCAACTAAACAATTATTTTCTCACTTACTCTTGTTTGATTCTTTTCATTATTTCTCTATTGAAAATATCCTTAAAATCGTAACAAAAGGGAATCCAATTAGCGAAAAAATCCTTACACCAATCGGCCTCTTTATTACTTTTCGGTTTCCATCTGAAAAACTCCATGACCTCCGGAAATCTTTATAAAGAATAGAACAAAAGATTAGAATAGAAATTGAAATTTTCTCCAAAATGGTGAAAATTAACTTTACATTTCTCTACATTCTTTTAAATTGTCTTCTTGTTCATTTTGAAGTTTCAATCCTCTTTCAAGGAAACTTTCCATTCGTGATTTAAATGGTTCAATGTGATTTGATTCGGTTTCAGGATCTTCATGACTTATAACCTTCTTTATTTTCACTTTAACTAATTGTAAAGATGTGGCTAATTGTTGAATCTCTTTGGAAATATCTTCAAAATTGATTAAACTTGCTCGCTGTAAATCTTGAGGCTCAGGAACTGGTAGTTGGACCCTTGGACCTTGTTCGTCGAGTAGATCTTCGAGAACGATGTGCTTTTCTATGTACAATCTAATCACATAGTGAAGTAAAGTGATTGAACAATCAGCTGTTGATTTAACTTCTTTCAATTTTGGTAAAATTTCAAGACCAAATCCATCGGCTTGACCACGATCTCGATTACCACCATTCATATAATTACCAAGGGATAAAATGATGGCGAATATATTTTTCAATTCAATGTTGGTCATCAAATAGTCGCAAAGATTTTTAAAGTTAATTAGTCGACCATCTAGACTGGAAATGTTTTCAGCGAATTGTATCTCAAACATTAGACAGAAAACTCTTTCGGCAAAACATGGAATCTGAGATAAATCGTATAAAAATTGTTCGGGCTCTCCTAATGGAATGGAACTGTTACTTTTAAGGTGACCTTCGATTTTCTTTAATTCATCGGCTGTTGCGTAGACTTCGAAAATTTTCTGTAATTGTTCAGTGTCAACTATTGAAGTGTCGAAATTGTAAACAGCACTTTCAATCTCAGAGATTTTTAACTTTAAACTTGTCGTTAAGATGTTTATGTTATGAGCTCTTTTCGAGTCCAATAGATTAGCACGTTCTTTGGCCTTGTTACTGGTTTTCGAGGAATCGGTTGGTTTCTTTTTACGTTCAACTATTTGACGAGAGAAAAGTTTCTCAAATTCTTGCCAATCATCAGGAGATTCTTCTTCGAGATTTTCCCATAAACTTGATAATTTTTTCACATTCGATTCACTTGTCACTGGTGATGGTGAGAATTGATTCTGATGATGAGATGATTGACCTGCTTGTATTTGAATTCGCTGCCAATATAAGGGTTTCATTGCACTTTTAGGATTAATTTGAGGTTTTCGAGCAGTTGAATAGACTTGGTGCCAGCCACCCACAGGCGGTGGAGGCATCAAGATTTGACCACTTTGAGGGGGCGGTGGAGGAGCTGGAATTGACATGTTGCTCCGGTATGGACGAAGCTAAGGAATCATATAAAAGTAAAGAAAGGTAAACATAATTTGAATAAATGTTTACACTTAAGATGGAAATAGAAATGCAAGGTAACACTAATTAGCTAATTAAATTACCTGATTTTGTGACTGAGTATCGAATATTCCTGGAGGAGGTGGTGGTGGAGGAGGAGGTGGAGGTCCACCACCCGACCATGGCAGAGGCGGAGGAGGAGGAGGTGGAGGTGGCGGAGGCCCTGTTCCTGACCAAGGCAAGGAGGAGGAGGAGGAGGAGGAGGAGGTGGTGGTGGTGGTGGTGGTACACATCCGATCGGCCCCGGTGGTAATGGAGGAGGAGGTGGAATGGAAAATGAAGAAAGAGACACAGGAAGAGAGCTAAAAGGCAGTGGCGGTGGAGGTGGAGGAGGAGGTATTGAGCTAAAAGATGAAGAGAAAGGTGGTGGTGGTGGAGGAGGAGGAGGAATAGACATTTTGATTGGATTTTGAAATAAAAAGGCCGAAAATAAGACTAATCATTGATTAGAGCACAAAATCACTAAAAGAAACAAAATAAACAAAAAGACTTGAAGTCTTTTGGTTTCCAATGGAAACCATTTGGAGCCATCAGCTGGTTCACTTATACACGTCTCGGAATTTTCATCTCTTGTCATTTTATTTTCTTAATGTTTCAAATTAACTTAATTCAAGGATTGAAGTGATTTTAAATATTTTCAGATTTAATTGGGAATCTTTGTGAGGATAAAGATGAAAATAGTCTTTATTCATCCCGATCTTGGTATCGGTGGAGCTGAAAGGCTTGTCGTCGATATGGGTAAGAAATTAAAATTTTGTTCTCTTCTTTTTCTTTGTTTTTTTAATTGTTTTTCTTTTTTTCTTTAGGATTATCTCTTCAAAGGAAAGGTCATACTGTCCATTATCTGACAGCTCATCATGATCCAAGCCACTGTTTCTCTGAGATCAAAAATGGAACCTTGAAAGTGACCGAAGTTGGTGGTAGTTTACCTGCTAATATTTTCGGTGTTTTCATGGCGCTTTGTGCTTATCTTCGGATGATTTTCATCGCTTTCTCTCTCTTATTAAGGCCTAAATTTTCCTCTCTTGTAGATTGTGATCTAATCATTTGTGATCAAGTTTCAGCTCAAATACCGTTTCTTAAGATGCTTTATTTGTTTAGGTCTGAAAGACCAAAGATAATTTTCTATTGTCATTTTCCTGATCAACTGTTGACAACCCGAACCAATTTCCTTAAGAAAGTCTACCGAGCACCAATTGATTGGTTCGAGGAGAAAACTACTGGAATGGCCGATTGTATTCTGGTCAATTCTCATTTTACAGCTTCTGTTTTTCGTGATACCTTTAAAAGTTTGGACTCCGTTGAGCTTCAAGTTCTTTATCCAGTTTGTAACTTTTCGGCCTTTGATCGACCTGTCAAAGGTCTTGGGCCATCCGAAAGTTTTCCTCGTCTTTCCAAACAAGTCTCAACCATTTTCCTTTCACTTAATCGGTATGAGGCCAAAAAGAGAGTTGAACTTGCCATTTTAGCCTTTGCCGCTCTCAAGAAAAAACTATCAACTCAAGAAAAGTTTACCGGGACCATTCATCTAATCGTAGCCGGAGGTTATGATCCAAATCAAATTCAAAATGTTGAATATCACCAAGAACTTCAATCATGTGCTAAAGAATTGGAGTTGGAAGATGAGGTCACCTTTTTGAAATCACCTTCGGACGATGATAAACATCTTCTTCTGCACAGTTGTACTGCGGTGCTTTACACCCCAGAGAATGAGCATTTTGGAATAGTTCCACTTGAGGCCATGTACATGGGTCGACCTGTTATCGCTTGCAATTCTGGTGGCCCGTTAGAGACAGTTCGAGATGGTGAAACAGGTTATCTTTGTAGACCAGAGGCATCTCATTTTGCTGAGAAAATGTACAACTTTGTGACGGACAAAAGTTTATCTCGAGAAATGGGTCGAGAGGGTCGTGAACATGTTAAGAAAAATTTCTCGATTCAAAGATTCGATGAACAAATAGCAAGTGTAATAAACAAATTGGTTTGTCAATAAAATTTATGCAAAGAATCCTAAAGATTTAACAAATGGCTGAAACTTTGCACTTTTCGTTGAAGTAAATTTAAAAAATGCCAATAAATCAATTCAATAGAATCGAATGTTAATAAATATAAAGACTGGAAGTGAGTAGATTTTTAATCAATGACCAGTTTATAAAGACATTTATTAGCATCGCTTTCGTCTACGACCATACCAAGCTGAAAGCACCGGATCCCGTCCGATCTCCGAAGTTAAGCAGCTTCGGGCCGGGTTAGTACTTGGGAGGGAGACCACTTGGGAACCCCCGGTGTTGTAGACACTTTTGATTCTTTTACATTTACTTTTCGTTTTGTTGTCAATTGATTTGAAACTTTCAACCCTTTGATTGAATCGATTGTTTCATATTATTGATTTTCTTTAGTCAATCAAGAATATTAATCAATCTAATCAGAGATAATTTTCTTGATGAAACGAGAAACTCATCATATTCAAAATGCTCTTCTTTTCAAGCTTTTCAAAAGAAATTGAGTAAATTTTCTTGTGAACATATCGACTTATTATCGTAACCATGAGTATTATGAGAATTGGAATTTGTAATTTTCCCCCATCTCATTATGTCACAAGTTCAACTACAGTTGATGGCATATTCGCACCGATGATAAGACTCACCATCTCGTCTTTAATGACCGAAGTCAATTTAACGCTAATTAATATTGAAAATTGTAAGAATGAGAAATGCTTTAAGAACGGAACTTGTATTGGACCTTTGAGAGATCTACAGACTGGAAAAGTCGATTATATCTTCCAAACTGGTTACAGTACTCTAAAAGATTTGGGGACCAACAACTTGACCAGCGCTTCTCTATTTTCAGAAAACGCTTGTTACTTGGCTCATAAGCGACAATTAAAGTTGAATCTCGATTATTCAAATTTCTTTGATTTCGTCTATTCCTTTGATTTATATTTCTGGTCCATGTTTATTTCTTCATTTGGTTCACTATTAATTGTCTTGAGTCTCTTAATTAAACTTCATCAAAGGTCAATTTCAATGATCAACATTCTCTGGACTCAATTAATGTACATATTGTGTCAACATCGAGATAAACTTTTCGCTTTAATTACCAAGCGAAATCTAATTGTTTTCATTTTATCTCTTCTACTAATTAGTAAATTGTTTTCAAGTTCACTAGAAACTGGTTTAGTTTCGTATCATGATTGTATAAAACTAAATACACTCGAAGATATAATCGAGCACAATTATCAACCGATCTCTTTCTCGAAGATTGAATGTCGTCACGAGTTTCAAAGAGCTTTGGACTCTTTCAATGGTCGATTCTCGTCACAAATAACGATAAGAAAAATTCCCGATCTTCTGATGAGAGATTTGTATGAATTCATCAAACTTAAAGATCATGTGATCGTTTTAACTCAGGATTGGGTTCAGATGATCAAGAGCTTTGGTTGTTTTACTGATCGAGAATACGAAATGAATGAACCTTTCGAGAAATCCAACTCGCCAATATTCACCTCCCTTAAAGGTGTTCTAATCAACAAATATGGCGATCCAAGAATTAATCGAATAATAATCAGGCGAAGTTACTCATCATTCGAAAACGGACTGAGTAAAAACGACCTTTCGACGAAACTCTATGCGAGATGTTTAGGTGTCGACAGTTCACCGATTTCTTGTCTTGATTACAAAATGGAAGTAAAAGTTTCAGTGATTCCAATTACAATTAATTATCTTATTGCTCCTTTGCTAATTATGATCTCAGGCTATTTGATTGCTCTACTATTCTTATTGGCTAATCACCATTAACAATTAAGGATTAGGACAAGATAATTCGTTTCATGTAATACACTTCATGTACTATTGAACAGCTACTTTTGTTTACGGAAATAAACTTGAAACATTAAACTAATTGTATCGATTTAATAATTATTACAATGTTTCTAATTGTTGTCAAATCAAAATCAAGGTCATAGTTTTTTCAATGCCAAAGGAAAAATATAAAACAATTACTTTAGCTATCTTTCAATCTAAATGTTTAATAATTAATTTAGAGAATATTAAGAATCAATTCAAATAATTTCACATATTAATTGATCAATAAAAATTTAGCATTGTGAGAGTAAATGAGCTATTAGCATCAATCGATCAATATTACGAGTTATAATTGGTTATAATGTCATTTATTTGCATCTCTTTCGTCTACGACCATTTTATCATACGAAAAATATTATCGAGTTTAATTTTCCTGATACTTTTCGAGTGAAGCTTGAAATGAATGATATTGTAAATTGAATTTATTAATGATTTGGTTGGGAAATTACAATATTTATATAATTCGATAAAATTATTCATGAAGCGAACAATTAAAATTAAATGAATAGTGAAGATGATGATAATTGGGGAATGAAGATGATTTTAAATTGATGAATTTTGGATAAATTTTTTTTCTCGTGATTATTATGAATTTATTTTGATCGTGATTCTTTTTTGGGTCTATGCCAAATCTTAAAGAAATACTCATTTCGTCCCATGAGCTTGTGTTTGGTGTAACTTCGGACCACAGGGTCAACTCCAGCTTCTCGCATCCACGATGAAGTTTGCGAAGTTGTTGTAAACGATTGCGAAGTTTGATCTTCCCGTTCACCTTCAGCTCTCTCAAAGTATCTGAAGGTCGGTTCTTCATCGAAAGTTACAGTATGTGTAGTCTCCGATTTTGATTGTTCATCGATCCAATCATCTGAACCTGAGTCCTTACTGGTAATCACTTCAACGGTACAAGTTGATGACTGTTCACCCACCGAGCAGGAATAGACTCCAGCATCTTCGGTTCGAGCCTTGGCAATGATAAATTTTTGTCTCTTTCCGTCAATCTCAAGTCTAACTCGAGAATTGAAAGAAAGCTCTGTTCCATCTTTATACCAACGAACCAGAGCATCTCCTTTGGTCAGTCCAATGGTCAACTCGATTCGTGATCCTCTTGTAACGGTTAAATCTTCCAAACGTTGAGTAATTTCTGGTGGAAGCTCAATGACCACCAAATCAGCTGATGATCTTTCAAAAGTTTCCTCAATAATACAAGAGTATTCACCTTCATCGGCAATATGAGCATCTTTTATCAACAATTTACGATAAGCGGCCTCAATAATGGTACAATATTTAACTTGATTTTCGATGATTCGAACTCCGTCTTTCTCCCAATAGACTGAACCACTTTCTTGCGACAATTTAACCACAAAAAGTGCTTCATCTTTTTCTTTAACATCAACTTCGACCAATTTTTCAACGAAAAATATTTTTCCCGTGCTGATTGTGACCTTGGCGCTGTGGTCAATGCTTCCATTATCGTCTTCTACAATGACCTTAAAGTCTGTTTCGTCTTTTTCACGACTTGTCTTTTCGATTCTGAGGGTATAAACATTTCGAACCTCATCATGAATCATTCGAATCGATTTTGTCTCTTTCAGTTTTTTACCATTTCGATACCAGGTAACTCGAGTTGAACCTTTTGTCTCAACTCGAATTGTTAATTCTAAACTTTCACCCTCAGCTATGGTACAATCGGTGAAACGATCAGTGAAAACTGGTTCAGTTCTTGATTCCGGAGTAACGTCGAGGTTGAAACTAGTCTTAGCAACACCCCGTTCGTTTGAGGCCACAAGCTCATAAGATCCACTCTGTGTAGTCTCGATTGATCTAAAAGTGATCATTATCTTGAAAAGGGTCAACTCTTCATGAATTTCAATATGAATCCGTTTCGAGTCTCGAACAGTTTCTCCATTGAAACGTAAACTAACTGTTGGCATCGGATCAGCGGCCAAACAACAATCAAGTGTTACTGTTGATCCAGACGGAATAGAACGAGATCGAATCGGCTCGGTAAAGAAGGGAATGATTCCGTCCAAACTTAAAGTATTACAGATTGACGATTCACGGGACATACTTTGTCGAGAAATAGTCGTCGAAAAATCGGTTTCTAAAAAGAGAACGAAAAAAGTATTCGATTAATTTTCATCCACTATGAATTCGTTGGTCAGAGTAATTGTCATCTCCAGTAAAACCTCACCTTCAATGGATAGATCGGCCGAACAGGTCGCAAAACCAGCCGGATTCTTAGCGACGACAGTATAAGTGCCCGAATCTTCAAGATACGTTTCCTTAATTATTAATTTACAAACATCTTCTTCATAGACGATCTCAATATCCTCTGATGATTTAATGAAAGAAGTGTGTTTAAACCAGGTCACTGTCGGTCGTGGGTTACCGGCAATTTGACACCGGAAGGTGTAACTTTGTCCCTCTGAACAAGTTCCGGGCTCGATTTTCTTGACAAATGTTGGAGCTTCCAATTCCTCTGGTCTACCCGTTTCTAAAAGGAAAAGAAGAAAAAAATAATGAATCGAGTATTAGAACCAAACAAAAATCTGAACTGAAAGAAGATGAAAAACACTTACTTCCAAAGGTCGGAAGTCGCTGAATTTTTTCGTGAAGTTTTTCTTTAATATTATGAGTGAATTCAGCTGAATCGGTGAGTATGTGAGCGGGCACGAGACCCTCTTCTTTGGTCAATAGTTTTTTAACAAACCACCAATCGGTTGAATATCTTTCAACAAGATAAACTTTCTCACCCTCATAGATGGTCAGTTTATCGGGTGTCTCTGCGATATAAGATTCGGACGCTACAAGACGGACTGTAGCCTCAGACGATTCTTCAGTTATTTTATATTCTCCATGTTCAATTTTATTTGGTAATTTGATTGATTCTGATTCTGATGAATCTTCACTTCTTGTGGTGCGTTTAGAATGTTTTTTGGAGGAACTTTGAACATTAAACGATTCCTCGACTGTGTCACTTGATTGTTTCCTTCGAACTAGATATTCACCTTCAACTGAACTTTCTCCGGTTGAAGATTTTCTCCTGAGTCCAAATCGATATTCCGATTTGGAATCACGTCGTTTACCTTTCATCAATCGTTCGTACTCTTCTTCGGAAACTTCTTTTCGAATCGTTAGTTCGTCGCCATCCTCTTCAATTCGATAGCGTTTTTCATCGTCTTCACGCTCAATTTCTTCTCTATGAATAACCGATTCGATGGAAGAAGTTCTTGAATCAATCGATTTTTTACTTTTCGATCTAAGTGTGAATTCTTCATTTATCGAACTTGTTGACTTGGTTGAATCTCGTCGAAGTGAATGTTCAGCTTCGACTGTTGAATCGCTTGATTTCTTACGAGACAATTTAAATGTCGCTTCATCGTCTTCCGATCTTTTTCTTCCCATAGTCGATTCGTACTCTTCCTCTGAGACAACCTTTTTAAGTGTCATCTCTGCCCCTTCCTCGGTCACTTTATACTCAACCGACTCTTTTCGAGTTGGTAGAATGACCTTTTCCGACTCAGCGTCAAGTTCAACTGAAGGTTTTTTCACTCGAGGCTTTGGTTTACCAGGAAGTGTGAAACTTTCTTCCACTGGAGATCCTGGTTGTGGCGAGGGTTCGGTTTGCTTAAGAGTGAATTCTGATTCTACCGGTGCTTCAGATGATCTACGACGTTTGAATTTAAATTCCGTCTCTTCATCTTCGATTGTCTCTTTTACGATGGTCACTGGTTTTTAATCGTCGCCTCGACACTTTCCTCCGAAATTCTATACTCACTTGGTGCGATTTCACCACTTTCTCTTCTAGTTGATTGAACTGTTTCATTTACTTCGATCGATTTTGTTGAGCTTGATCTTCGAGGCGCTTTTGGAATTTTAAACGATTCGGCAACTGGTGAGGTCTCACGGGATTCCTCCTTTTTCACAGTAAATTCAGATTCTACTGGTTCGCCGGATGATTTTTTCCGTGGTAATTTGAACTTAGCCGATTCATCTTCGTCTTTTTTCTTGGTCTTTTTGACCTTTTTCGATTTTTCAAACTCCTCTTCAGATACTTCTTTCTTAATTGTTATCGAATCTGATTCTTCTTGAATTGAATATTCAGTTTCAGTTGGTGCTGTCGATTCCAATGTAACAGTTTCTTTAATTTGTTCGAGTTTAACTGATGATTTACGACGAGGTTTCGGCTTAGGTGGGATAGTGAAACTTTCTTCGACTGGTGATGTTTCTTTCGGCGATTCTTTAGTCACACTAAACTCGCCCTCAACTGTTGGTTGGTCATCAGATTTTCTTCGACCAAAACGAACAACTGTTTCTTCATCTTCGTCTTTTGGTTTCTCTTTACCAATTGTTATACTTTCTTTACGTCGAATTGGCGGTTTCATGGTTACCTCATCTTTGGCCTTAAATCTTTCATAATCTTCCTCAGATACTTGTTTCTTGATCGTCATTTCGGCAGCTTCTTCGGTAACCTTATACTCCGCTTGTTCTTGTTTAGTTGGTAACACAACAGTATCAGTTTCAGCGTCACTTTCAATAGGTTCGACTTTTGGCTTTGGCTTTTTGGCCAAAGTCAATTCAAATGAACCTTCAACCGGACTGTTGACCGTCGGCTCTGATTGAGGAAGTGTCAGTTCACCTTCAACGGAAACACTTAATGACGGACGTTTCAATTTGAACGATGCGTTTGTTGAAACGTCTTCGACTTTCGTTTCTTTTGGTGTATCTTGAGATGGTCTTCGAATTGTAAAAGCGGCCTCCGTTGGTTTGACTTCTTCTTTTGGAACTGAGGGTTTTCTTAATTTAAATGAGCTTTCGATTTCTTGTGGTTCTTCTTCTGGAGATTCCACTAAAATCGGCTTCTTAATCGTGAGCTCTGTCGATGCAACTTCTTCTTGTGGTTTTACCGTTTCTTGTGTAATATTTGGAATTGTGATCTTCGCTTCTTCAGCGATCATTTCTTTTTCGGCCGGTTTTTTGCTCTTTTTCTTTATTTTTATCTCTGTTGAAATTTCTTCGACATTCTTTGGTTCTACCGTTGCATCAACTTCACTTGGCCTTCGAACAGTGAATTGTGACGTCGATTCATCTTCCGGTTTGGATTCCGATGGTCGACGAAGTTTTATCGTTTCTTCTTCTGGTTGAGCTGATATTATCTCTCCGGGAATTTCGATCTCTTTTCGAATTGTTAATTCATCTGCTTCAACCTCTTCAGGTTTGGCCTGGACTTGTACTGTTGGACTTATGGTAATAGCCTCTTCGACCACTTCCTCGACCTTTTTAGTAACCTTTTTAGGCTTCTTTTTGATAGTTATCTCAGTTGTCGATTCTTCAATTCGCTTCGGCTGGCCAATAATTATGGCCTCCGCTGGTATAGATGGTTTACGAATCTGAATTGAAAAGAAAAAAAAACAAGACTTAGTCAAAACTTACTTGGAGAATTTTGAATCCTCTCACCTTGAATTCGGTTTCTATTTCTTCCTCTTCCGCTGGTTTCGAGCTAAACCTTCGAAGGGAAACTGATGTGGGTTCTTCTTCCTCGACTTCTGGCTTAGCAACCACTAGCTCACTAGGAACTTCGACTTCTTTTCTAATTGTCAGTTCATCAGCTTCTACTTCTCCCGGTTTGGCTTCGATCTGCGGACTAATCGTCACAGCTTCGGTAACAACCTCTTCATTTTTAACTGATTTCTTGGGTTTCTTCTTGATTGTTATTTCTGTTGTGGATTCTTCAACCTCTTTGGGTTTATCAGTTACTGTCGCTTCGACAGGTAATGATGGCTTACGAATCTGCGACAAAAGATAAATTTTCTTGAGAAATTCACAATCTGCAATCGTTTTGAGATTACATACCTTAAACTCAGCTTTAGTCTCTTCGTCCTTCTCCTCTTCCGGCTTAATACTTGGTCGTTTCAGTGAGACTGTGGCTGGAGTTTCTTCAATCTCTGGCTTAGCTGTTACAACTTCTCCAGGTATTTCGACTTCTTGACGAATTGTCAGTTCATCAGCTTCTACTTCTCCTGGTTTGGCTTCGATCTGCGGACTAATCGTCACAGCTTCGGTTACTACTTCTTCCTTTTTAACCGATTTCTTTGGTTTCTTTTTGATTGTTATTTCTGTTGTGGATTCTTCAACCTCTTTGGGCTTATCAGTTACTGTCGCTTCGACGGGTAATGATGGCTTACGAATCTATTGGAAAGAAAGTTTAATCAATTAATCTAATTTAATTGTGTTTAGCAAAAAACTTACCTTAAATTCTGCTTTTGTTTCTTCAGTTTCCAAAGGTTTATCACTTGGTTTTCGCAATGAAACTGCCACTGGTTCTTCTGTTTCTTCAGCTTCTGGTTGAGCTGTGATTAGTTCGGAGGGGATTTCAACTTCCTTACGAATCGTCAGCTCATCTGCTTCGACCTCTGATGGTTTTGCTTCCACTATTGGACTTATCGTCACAGCTTCGGTAACTACTTCTTCTTTTTTCGTAATCTTTTTAGGCTTCTTTTTAACGATGATTTCAGTTGTTGATTCTTCAACTTCTTTTGGTTTACTGACAACCTCCGCTTCGATGGGTTTCGATGGTTTTCGAACCTACAAAAAAATATAATATGAAAATTTACCCTCAAATTGTTGTAACTCACTCAGTCTTCTTACCTTAAACTCAGCTTTAGTTTCTTCGTCCTTCTCTTCTTCCGGCTTAATACTTGGTCGTTTCAGTGAAACTGTGGCTGGTGTTTCTTCATCTTCTGGCTTAGCAGTTACAACTTCTCCAGGTATCTCAACTTCTTGACGAATTGTTAGTTCGTCAGCTTCGACCTCAGATGGTTTAGCTTCAACTATTGGACTTATCGTTACAGCTTCAGTTATAGCTTCTTCTTTTTTAACTACTTTCTTGGGTTTCTTTTTCACTGTTATCTCTGTCGTCGACTCTTCAACCTCTTTGGGTTTATCAGTTACTGTCGCTTCGACAGGTAATGATGGCTTACGAATCTGCGACAAAAGATAAGTTTTCATAAGAAATTTACGATCTGCAATCGTTTTGAGATTACATACCTTAAACTCAGCTTTAGTCTCTTCGTCCTTCTCCTCTTCCGGCTTAATACTTGGTCGTTTCAGTGAAACTGTGGCTGGAGTTTCTTCAATCTCTGGCTTAGCTGAAACTAATTCACCAGGGATATCAACCGCAGTGCTGATCGTTAATTCACTAGCTTCTACTTCTCCTGGTTTGGCCTCGATTTGTGGACTAATCGTCACGGCTTCCGTAACAACTTCTTCCTTTTTAACTACCTTTTTAGGTTTCTTTTTCACTGTTATTTCTGTTGTGGATTCTTCAACCTCTTTGGGTTTCTCTGCGTCGACTTCGACTGAGGCTGGAAGGGATGGCTTACGAATCTGTACGGATAAATAAAATTTCTCAATTAAAATGAGGTAAAAATTGAAAGAATGAAACTTTGGCCTGATAAATTACCTTAAATTCAGCTTTTGTTTCTTCATCTTTTTCATCGGTAGGTTTTAGACTTGGTCTCTTGAACGAAACGGAACTTGGTGTTTCCTCTTCGACTTCAGGTTGAGCTTCTGGTTGAATCGTTACCTTTTCACCAGGAATGTCAATAGCAGTTCGAATGGTAAGTTCTTCATCTTCAATCTCACTTGGCTTAGCTTCAACCACCGAACTGATTGTTACAGCTTCAGCTACAGCTTCTTCTTTCTTTGGTGCCTTTTTAGGTTTCTTCTTGATTGTTATTTCAGTCGTTGATTCTTCGACTTCTTTGGGATGATCGGTTACTTTTACTTCGACAGGTAACGATGGCTTACGAATCTAGAAATGTTGTGAAAGAAACAATTTATTTCAGAAATGATTACAATTCTAATTGACCAGTTCGATCTTAGTAATTTCTTTACCTTAAATTCAGCTCTTGATTCATCTTCTTTGTCATCTTCGAGTTTTGTACTTGGTCTTCTCAATGAGATAGAACTTTTAACATCTTCTTCTGGCTTAGATTCGGGTACTACAACGAAATCAGTCTTTTCATCGACCAGGGAAACAGTTTCAATTTGACTGATTTCTTTTGGCCCTTCAGGCAATTTGAAGACAATCGGTTTGCTGGTTGTTTCGATCGAAACAGTTTCTATGTTAATTTCTGATTTCTTTTTCTTTATTACTTTCTTTTCCTCGACTGGCATTTCGTCCGGTCTTACGAACGATCCTCTTCGATCAGGTACACTCAAAGAGACAATTTCATTCGATTCAATTTGATCTGGAACTTTGAAAGAAATTAGTTTACATGGACTTTCCATTGAAGTAATTTCGATTGGTTTCTCTTTCTTTTCTTTCTTTTCAATTTCTATTGATTGTGAATCTATTGTTGGAGAAGCGAAAGATGACCTTTTACCTGGAATGGTAATCGACATTGAAACATCATCAGATATTGGAACTTGCTCTGGACTGATGAATGATTGTTTTCTTTCGGGTATATTAAAGTCAATGGAAACTGTTGATTCTTCATCAACAACTTTACTAGAAATTTGGAATTCACTTGGAGTGGTCAATGTAATTGATGAGCTGACATCTTCACTTGGTTGACCAATTGAAGGTTTCCTATTACTGTCAACAGTGAAGGAAACAGATCCGCCATCAACTGACTCAGTTTCTTGCAAAATGGGCTCATCTTTAACCATGGAAATTGATACTTCCTCTGTCGGCTGGTCATCAGGCTGTTTACTTAGTTTCAGTTTAACTTGACTAATTGTTTCCTCTTCTGGTACAGGTAATTGGACAACTGTCACTTCGCACGGTAAAGTGACCACAGTGGTCTCCAAGGTTTCCTCGAGTGTCTCTCCAGGCTGTAAAATAGCATCGCCGATAGAGAACCGGACTCTCTTCGGCTTGCTAACGGCTTGAGCAAAGAAAACCTCATCTTCACCCGCCGGTGAAATAATTTCCTCCTCGACCTTAGGTTTAATCTCCTCTACAATAACAACATCATCTTCGGGTACAATTTCCTTTGGCCTTTCATCAACCTCGAGTTCAGTGATCGTAGGACCTAAATTATGAAAGATAAAGTTAATTGTTCAAAGGAAGAAAAACAAAATCAAATTAGTAAATCAGTATAATTAACTTTCCAAGAAATTTTCTTGTTAATTAAACAAAATAAAGACACATAAATAATAATGAATTAAAAACAATGAGCAAAAACATGAAAAGCTTTAAATTGTTAAGGATAATCAAAAGTTATCCCATCATATAAATTGTTGTACCAAAACAATTAATGATCACAAATGGTCAAGGAAATGATTAAATTGGAAACAATTAAGGATTTAGCTTAATTGTTAGATGATTTTGGAAATTGTTCATTTATATCAATTGGAAGTTAAATTTGTTGGGAATGCAATCAAATGAATATGATGTTTGGATTGTCATAGTCATGGAATCAAAAGTTAATTAATTGTTGATTAAAAATTATGCGAGAAGCAGCGGATAAGTGTTATGAATGAAAAGCATTATGATTAAGCGTTGATTGTGCTGATTAGTTGACCATAATTAATATGATTCGGTGATTGTTTGGATTTTTTTTTTCGTTGATAACAATCAAAAAGTTTCATTATGAAAAATTATTATCATGGTGAAAGCGATAACAATTAAAAGCGATTGGTTATTTGAACACGTTAAAAACACACATAGAAAATGGTAACAATTAAGCGACAAGTAAATTTGATTAGCGACAGCAGCAACATGAATAAATCACAGCAATTAACAGTTAATTAATAAGCCAAGCCAAATGTGAACATGAAGCGATGAGCAATTAACATTGATGAATAAAAACCTGGATACAGAAAAATGAACAATCAAGAGAAAGAGAAAAAGTTAATTAAATTAAATTAAGTTAAATTGTTACAATTAAGATCGTTAGGTGCATGTAATGGACATTGGTCAGTATTTGATGAAAGGATTAGGTGGATAAGGGAAAAGGTTGAATTGAAGTAATAATTTTTTGGCGATTTGATTAAAGATCATTAAGATAATTAGGACACAAAGCAATTAAATAAATTATAAAGCGAAACATAAATTATGATATAGCTTAAAACACAGAGAGTTAATTAGCTTTGATTGTCTCAACTAAAGGACAATCAAATGTTTGCTTAATTGTTTCATATCTCAACAACTCTCATATTCACTCAAAACAATCAACAACAACACAACAACAATTTGTCAGCTTAATTGTAAGCAAATTATGATTAGTTAATTATGATGGAACCATAGAGGCAAAAACATGTAAGAGATAAACAGATAATATTGATTTGATGACAACAATTAAAGGACGATGATCAACACAAAATGATTAAAACAGCAACATTAACAGCACAGATAAGAGATAACAATTAGATTATGAAGCCAAGCCAAAGAAACGAAAGCAATCAAATTGATTGTTGATTTATTACAACCTGAAAGAAGAAAGTGATTAGAGTTAATTGTTTGAGTTGATTAACAGCGACATTTGGTTCAAATTAAGACAAATAAAACATGAAGAGTAAAATCTTGATCTAATTTTTCTTGGACTTACCTTCGTTTTGTGATTCGTCAACTTTGAACCGTTCACTGAATCGAGGCTTAGCTTTTGTGTCTTTCAATTGTTCGTTTGGAGACTTAATTTCATCAGGTATGAATTCAAAGGGTTCGATTAATTCTGATTTCTGATCGTCATCATCGTCGTCATTTGGTAGCTCGACACTAACTGAGTCTTGGTCAGTTGATGTTGGTTGTAATGGTTGACCGATTTGCGTTGACATTTCTTCGAAAATTGAATCAATGGATTGTTGTGGCTGAGACGGTGATTGGTCTTCATCTAAGTCCATTGGGATATCGACGATTGAATCATCATATTGAGTAGATTCGATTTGTACTGCTGTGATTTTGTCACCGACGCGTTTGAATGTTTGAATGATTTCCTTTCGTATTGGTTTACGATCTTGAGTAAGTTTTTCGTCAGGTTGCTCATCTATTTCAACGGATTTTTGGATAAAATCTGGTAGTGTGATCTTTTCGACAACTTGGTTTTCATCTGCCGATAGATATTCGGTCGATGTCGCTTTTTTCATGAAATCTCTTTCAGTAAGAGCTTTAGCTTTCTTTTCTGGAATTGGTGCTTCGATTGGATGTAATTTCTCTCGTTCTAATGTTTCGATTTCTTGAGCTTCTAAAGTCTTTTGAGTAACTATTCCAGGAGATGCCGAGGCAATGGAAGGTTGTTCCAGGTCAAGTTCTTCTTCTTTGTCTAACTTTTGATGTCTTTCAATGGACGCTGATCTCGATTTAATTAGAGACTTTTTCGGTTTAATTTTCTTCTTTTCTGGTTTAGCTTGATCACTGTTCAACTGTTCCTCATTCTCAACCAATACATCGATACCAATTGTTATCGCTTGTGTATCGCTGATTGAAGGTTTAATTGTCTCTGGTTGTGATTGTGTTAAAACTAAATCACTTTCAGCTTCAAGTGTTGTACTTATAAGACCAGAAGTCGTGGAAGTTGCGTTCAAATCCTCTGATAAAGATGTTTGAGCGTTGATTTGTTGTGACAACTGATCTGATTTCGGTAAATCAGATGTAGATTCTAATGGTACAGGTCTCTCAATAGAGATTGACCTTTGTTTCTTAAGATCAACTTTTTTCTTGAGTTTCTTTGATTCTGGTTTAGTTGATTGTTGAAGAGTTTCCTCCGATTCTCCAGGTACTGATGAAGTTACAGTTATACTTTGACTCGGAGTAAAATCGACCTTAGGCTTAGCACTTGGTGTCTCTTGAGAATCGATCTCTTGACCACTTTCGATTGGTTGAAATTCTTGTATTGATATTGTCTGTTTTAAATCACTATCTAGCTTTGGAATGACTGATTCGGTTTGTTGTTGATCGGGAAGAGTTAATTGTTCACTTTCAAAAATTTGTTTAGATTCAACTGTTATCGCTGATTGAGTTGAGTTAAACTGTTGAGCTGCACTCTCTTGAATTTCTCCATGAAATTCGCCCTCTTTTTCATATGAATCCTTCTGATTGATACTCACTGGTTGTTTCGATTTCAGTGTTACCTTGGGTTTTATCTTTTTCTTTTGTGGCTTGGACGTCGTTTCGTCGATAAGAGCATCACCCTCTTTCTCGACAATTTGATCAACTCGAGACTCAGCGAGTGTCATAGTTGGAATATCAATCGAAGTAGAAATATCGATACTTTCAGGTTTATCTTTAGAAAGGTCGGTTGGTGTTTCCTTTTCCATAATAACTGGTCTCTCGATAGAAATTGATCTTTGTTTAGTAATCGAAGTTTTCTTTGTTAATTTCTCTCTTCGAGGTTTGGGTACTTCGAATTGTCCTTCTTTCTCCAATGTTTCTTCATTTTCTATCGAAGCCAATTTGATCTCTTGTTCGGATGATCCAGAATCTAAATGGGCTTCATTTGGAATGGGTTGATGTAACTCACTTGTCGATTGATCAGCGATTGATGTGGACACTTGTAACGGGTGATGAACATCAGCCAGCGTTTGAGAGACTTTTTGATGATCTGGAAGATCGACATCTAAGTTTCTTGTTGATTCAATAGATTCGACTGTTGTTACTGCTAATGGTGTTTCCGAATCAACGGATGATGAGGCCAAATCTTTTTCTGTCTCTGGAACTGACAGTTTATCAACTGCTTCCAATGTAACGGGTCGCTCAACAGAAAGCGATCTTTGTTTCTTAAGATCAATTTTTTTCTTGAGTTTCTTTGATTCTGGTTTAGTTAATTGTTCAAGAGTTTCCTCTGATTCTTCAGGTACTGATGATGTTACAGTTAAACTTTGGCTTGGAGTAAAATCGACCTTTGGTTGAACCTTTTCTACTCCCGAATCAGTGATTCTTTCACCAGTTTCTATCGGTTGAGTGGATTGAACAGAAACAGCGACATTTGGACTGAGGTCAATTTGAGTGTTTGCAGTTTCACTTGGAACAGAATCAAAGTCACTTTCCTTTTCGAATGTATCTTTTTGAGCGACAATAAGCGATTGTTTCGATTTAATTGGTGGTTTGGCTTTGATCTTTTTCGTCTTTGGCTTAGAAGTTTCTTCGTCAATTATCATATCACCTTCTTTCTCGACTACTTGATCTACTCGAGATTCGGCAATAGTCATTGTCGGAAGACCGATTGAAGCTGATTGGGGTGATTCTTGTGGTGTTTCTAAGGATTTCGCCATATCGTTCGAAGGTAATTCGCCTGTTGATGCAATCACTTGATCTTTTTCATCTGTTTTATGGACTTCTGGGTGATCTAAATTTTGTTTATCATCTACAGGTAAATGTTCAGTTGATGTCGCTTTTTTCATAAAATCTCTTTCGACGAGAACCTGTGCTCTCTTTTCTGGAATTGGTGCTTCGATTGGATGTAATTTCTCTCGTTCTAATGTTTCGATTTCTTGAGCTTCTAAAGTCTTTTGAGTAACTATTCCAGGAGATGCCGAGGCAATGGAAGGTTGTTCCAGGTCAAGTTCTTCTTCTTTGTCTAACTTTTGATGTCTTTCAATGGACGCTGATCTCGATTTAATTAGAGACTTTTTCGGTTTAATTTTCTTCTTTTCTGGTTTAGCTTGATCACTTAACTGTTCCTCATTCTCAACCAATACATCGATACCAATTGTTATCGCTTGTGTATCGCTGATTGAAGGTTTAATTGTCTCTGGCTTAGTTTCCTTATTAACTTCCAGATCCTTTTCTGACTCGATTGTTGTGCTAATATGACCTGAAGCAGCTTCAGTCTCTGTTAGACCAACAATTGCCTTCGATGGAGTTGGAATTGTTTGGTCTAATGAATCAGGAGCAACATCGGCAGTCGCGGTAGAGACTTGTAATGAATGATGAACAGACTCAGAGATCGATTGGTTAATTGTTTTTGCATCAGGTTGATCAATATCTAATTTAACTGTCGACTCAATTGATTGAATAGTCGATATTGATAATGGTGTCTCAGAATCGATGGATTTAGAAGCGATATCTTTAGTATCAGAAGTCTCGAGTTTAGTTTCTGACTCCATAGTAACTGGACGTTCAATAGAGATTGACCTTTGTTTCTTAAGATCAACTTTTTCTTGAGTCTCTTTGATTCTGGTTTAGTTGATTGTTGAAGAGTTTCCTCCGATTCTCCAGGTACTGATGATGTTACAGTTATACTTTGACTCGGAGTAAAATCGACCTTAGGCTTAGCACTTGGTGTCTCTTGAGAATCGATGTCTTGACCACTTTCGATTGGTTGTGTTTCTTCAATCATTACTGGATGATTAAGATCACTTGCGAATTGTGGTACAACTGATTCAGTTTTCTTTTCCAATGGTAATGTTAATTGTTCACTCTCTTCAATTTTTTGCATATTCACTTCAGCGTTTTTCAGTTTGAGATCACTTTCATCTGAGGTCATCTCCTTTTCCACTTTCGGAATCGATTTCTTTTTGATCTTTTTGGGCTTGGCAATTGCACCATCTTCTTGAGATTCTGATTCTGCCGTTATTGGAATATCATCTTTTTAAGTCTTTCGGAACTTCAGGTATCACTGAATCAGAAATTTCTACGGAATATCTATTGGCTTACTTAATTGTGCTTCTTTCTCTTCTGATGGAGCTTCGTTTAATTTAGTTTTTTCATCTTTATCCACAGAACTTTCTCTTGGAACCTCAATGGCGGACTCATCACTTAATTGAGAGAGAGGCTTCTGATCGATGGCAATCGTTTCATCGACCTCTTCAATGTCCGGTTTACTTAATCTTCTGGGAACTCTGAACACGACTTTGCGTCCAGTGATCTGAATAAAAACTTTTTCTTTTGAATCGCCAACCTCGATTTTCTGTTCTTCAGTAGGTAATGATGGTTTTCGAGGTGTCATCTCAGGAACATTGAAAGAAATAATTTCTCCGGGAATTTTTTTCTTGATGATAACCACTGATTCAAGAGTTTCCATGCCAATTGAATCTTTTCTTTCGATATCTTTAGGAACTTTTTCTTCTGGAGACTCAATTTTCTCAGTTTCTTTTGTCTTTTCGATCTCAATTTGACTCGATCCTTCATCCATCGAAATTTCATCTGGACCTTTAGATTGGATTGTTACATCTTGGGATATTTCGGGCTCAGTTTGTCCCTGTTTATCAGGTTGAGCTTGAGTTATATCAGAAATCGAAGTCTTTTCTGGACTCATTTCCAAAGATTCACTATCTGAATGACTTGTCCTTCGAGATACTCTGAACAATACCTTTCGTCCAGTAATTTTCATGTGAACTTTTTCAATAGAATCTCCTAATTCTACTGGTTTATCTTCAACTGATGTATAGTAAGTTAATGTTTCAGTACATTCACGAATTTCCGGAATCACATCGAACGTTTCAATCTCTGGCTGACTCGCTCTTCGCTGGATCTTGAAAATAATTTTGCGTCCAGTTATTTTAACATGAGATTTTTCACCGAAATCACTGACATCAGTTGGCTGAGTGACAATTTGTTGGTCAGCATCTGATTTATCAATTGATTCACTCGCTTCACTTGATATAACATCAAGAGATGTTTGAGAAACAATTGTGGTTTCAGCCTTTTCTGCCTCTGGAACTTGCAGATCATCATCAACCAATTCAGTCGATTGAATTGATACAAGATCTTTTGGAATGATGTCCATCTTGGAATCTGCAATCTCACTCGGAAAAGGATTTAAATCGCCTTCTCGTTCAAGAGAATCTTTTTCTGATACAACAAGAGATTCTTTGGACTTTATCGGTGGTTTTGTTTTGGTTTTTTTCGTTTTTGTTTTCTGTGAGGGCGAAATCTCTTCATTCTCGAGAATATCATCTTCAGTTGGTTCTTTTGGTACCTGTTCATCTCCAACCGAATCTATTGGCAATGTGATCTTCTCGACAACTTGGTTTTCATCTGCCGATAAATATTCGGTCGATGTCGCTTTTTTCATGAAATCTCTTTCAGTAAGAGCTTTAGCTTTCTTTTCTGGAATTGGTGCTTCGATTGGATGTAATTTCTCTCGTTCTAATGTTTCGATTTCTTGAGCTTCTAAAGTCTTTTGAGTAACTATTCCAGGAGATGCCGAGGCAATGGAAGGTTGTTCCAGGTCAAGTTCTTCTTCTTTGTCTAATTTTTGATGTCTTTCAATGGACGCTGATCTCGATTTAATTAGAGACTTTTTCGGTTTAATTTTCTTCTTTTCTGGTTTAGCTTGATCACTTAACTGTTCCTCATTCTCAACCAATACATCGATACCAATTGTTATCGCTTGTGTATCGCTGATTGAAGGTTTAATTGTCTCTGGTTGTGATTGTGTTAAAACTAAATCACTTTCAGCTTCAAGTGTTGTACTTATAAGACCAGAAGTCGTGGAAGTTGCGTTCAAATCCTCTGATAAAGATGTTTGAGCGTTGATTTGTTGTGACAACTGATCTGATTTCGGTAAATCAGATGTAGATTCTAATGGTACAGGTCTCTCAATAGAGATTGACCTTTGTTTCTTAAGATCAACTTTTTTCTTGAGTTTCTTTGATTCTGGTTTAGTTGATTGTTGAAGAGTTTCCTCCGATTCTCCAGGTACTGATGATGTTACAGTTATACTTTGACTCGGAGTAAAATCGACCTTAGGCTTAGCACTTGGTGTCTCTTGAGAATCGATCTCTTGACCACTTTCGATTGGTTGCAACTCTTGTATTGTAACTGGTTGAGCTAATTCAGCAAATTGCGAAGCATTTTCCGGTATTTCAGTTTGTAAGTCACTTTCTTTTTCAAGAGATATCTTTGAATCTACAATCAATGGTTGCTTTGATTTCATTGTTGGTTTAGCTTTGATTTTCTGCTTTTTAGGTTGTGAAGTGTCTTCATCAATTATCATAACACCTTCTTTCTCGACTAGTTGATCTTCTCGAGATTCGGCAATAGTCATTGTCGGAAGACCAATCGAAGCTGATTGAAGTGTTTCCTGTGGTGTTTCTAAAGGTACTTCGTCTTGAGAAACATCACTTGTTACTACTGAGATCGCTTGTCCAATCGATTCAATCGATTGATCAGCTATTCGAGGTTTAACTTCAACACCATCGAAAATTGTCTCTGCTTCGTATGTTGATTGTTGACTAATTGTAGTCGAATATGTTGATGGTGATTCGACTACAGTGTCTTTAGGTGTTACTCTGATTTCTGGTTGAACTTCTGTTGGTGTTTCCATCTCCATAATAACTGGTCTCTCGATAGAAATTGATCTTTGTTTAGTAATCGAAGTTTTCTTTGTTAATTTCTCTCTTCGAGGTTTTGGTACTTCGAATTGTCCTTCTTTCTCCAATGTTTCCTTGTTTTCTATTGATACTGTTACTTTATTTGTATCAATTGTCTTTGTTGTCGCAGAAGCAGTTGATGGTTGAGGTGTTTCTATTTCTCCTTCTTTATCTCCGATTGTTTGTTGAGATCCTTGAATAGCGTCGAGTGTTGTTATGCTTATGTCACTTTTACCTTTTTCGATTACTGGTAAATCTAATTGAGACTCGGAGTCAATTGGTGTTTCTAAATTCGTTGGAACTATAGCAGGTTTCAGTGAATCGGATGCTTTGTTCTCTGGAATTGATTCGATTTTAGTTCCATCAGACTCTGGTGTCTCAATTGATTGTGTCATTTGTTTATTGAGCGAAGCTTTTTGCTTTCCCTTCTTTCTTTCTGGTGCTTTGGGTTGAGCTGATGACATTTGTTCTAGCTCATTAGAAACAGATTCACGTCTACTAAGAACTTCTTCAGATTCAATTTGCTCGTCCTTTATAAGCTCTGGTTGATCAATTTCTGATTTACTTGATCTTCGAGAAACTCTGAACAAGATTTTCCGTCCAGTAATCTCGACCTTAGCAACTTCGGAAGCAACCTCAATTTTCATTTGATCAGCTATATCATCTATTGTTTCAGGTTTCGACATCTTTTCTGATTCCACTTCAGGTACGATGGAATCTTTTGGTGCTGTTGATTCATCAATTGCACTTCCAGTGATTACAATTAGTTCTTGAGTAACGATACTTGGTTTGGCGATTGATTCTTTTCGTGCCTTTGGTAAGTCTAATGATTCATCAGTTTCCAAAGGTTTTTCTGATTCAGTTACTTGTTCAGCCGAAGTTGTTATCATGAGAGTTTCTGATGAAACTTCGACTTGTTCAGGTTGTTCAATCTTCTTTCGCTTTTCAATCTCGATTGTAACTTTTTCAAGTTTTTCTTCCGTAGGTAATGATGGTTTTCTTAACGGCATCTCAGGGACATTGAATGTTACCATTTCTCCAGGAATTTTCTTCTTAATCACAACAATCAGTCCAATAGATTCGATGACAGTTGAATCTTTTCTTTCGATTTCTTTTGGCGATTCTTCTTCTGGAGACTCAACTGTCTCAGTTTCTTTAGTCTTTTCGACTTCAATCGAACTCGATTCTAAATCAATTGAACTTTTATCTCGACCTTTAGATGTAATAGTTACATCTTGTAACAAATCTTGAGTTTCTGATGTTTTCTCAATTTCAATTTGTTCACTTGTTTCTGGTACAGTCATTTCTTCAGAACTTATTTCAATTTCTTGTTCAGATGATACACTCGATTTTCTTGGTACTCTAAATAAAATCTTTCGTCCAGTTATCTTTACATCGATCTTCTGATTAGCTTCATCAATCACATTTTCATCTTGAATATCATCGATTGGTGTCTCGGTCATTTGATCTGGAACTATTTCTAGCTCTTCGATCTCAGGCTTAGATGATGTTTGTGGAACTCGGAACAATACTTTACGTCCAGTGGTTGTGAGATTGATTGTCTCATCTGAATCAACAGTTATCGTGGTTTCATCATCTGGTTGAATGAAATCTGATTCTGATTGTATTTCTGTTGATTCAGTTTCTTGTTGATCTTTTCATGTGGGACTCTGAATAAGATTTTTCGACCTGCTGTTTTAATTGTTGTTTCAATCCTCGACTCATCAATATCAGTTACTTCCTGTTCTGGTTTTTTCTCAGCTTCGATTTGTTCATGAATATTTTCATACTCTTCGATTTCAGGTTGATCTGTTTTTTGTGGAACTCTGAATAGAACTTTTCGTGATGATGTTTGCACTTCAATTGAACTAGTTGTTTCTAAAAGCGTGTCGGTAGATAACTGGTCATGAAGATCTTCAGTTTCAGGTAACAGTTCTTCCGCCTCAATCTTTGTTTGAGACGATTCGTGTGGTACTCTGAATACGATTTTGCGACCGATTGTCTTGAGATCGACCTTTTCACTAATAAAGTTCTCTAAATTATCATCTGCATCTTCAGTTTCAGGAATCGATTCGAAAGTTTCAATTTCCGGTTGACTGTCTTTTCTTGGAACTCTAAACACAACCTTACGTCCAGAGATCTTCAGTTCAGTTTTTTCTTCTGAATCGATCTCACTTTCCAACGGTTGAGCGGTAGTTTCAGTTTCTAATAATTCTTCTCGTCCCTCTTCAGGATGTGATTCAGTCAATTCTGGTTGACTCAACCTTCTAGGAACTCGGAATAAAATTTTACGTCCCGAGATTTGGACGGTGACTTTCTCAATTGAATCGACGATATCGACGTGTTCTGGTAATTTTTCAACTTCGATCTGTTCTGATTCAAGTTGAATTGAAGTCTTTTCTCGACCTTTCGATGCAATACTAATCTCTTGGACACTTTCACTTTCGTCGGTTTTCTCAATCTCAAGAGTAGATTTATTTTCAGTTTCATCGATTGGTTTTTGATCTTCAGTAATCAATTGAATAGTTTTTGTTGGTATTATGATCTCTTCCAATTGAGTTTCATCGGTTATTTGCTCAGGGATATTTTCATCTGTTTCCACGATTTCTTGACTTGGTCCCTTAGGAACTCGGAACACAACTTTTCTTCCCGTTACTTTGACATTATTCACTTCGATTGATTCATCAATAACGGTCGTTTGTTCATCAAGAATCGATTTCTTTCTTATTGGAATCTCCGATACATCAAAAGTAACAATTTCACCAGGAATTCGTTTCTTGATCAGAACAGTTTCATCAGATTGAACAGTAATCGAATCTTTTCTTTGTACTTGTTCGTCGATTTTTTCTTCCAATTCTAAAGTTTCGACCTCTTGTTGACTTGATCTTCTCGGAGCTCTAAATAAGATCTTACGTCCAGTTATATTCTTAGTTACCATTTCGATGGTATCGTCAATATCCAAGAATTCTTGTTCAGGTTTCTTTTCAACTTCAATTTGTTCTGATTCCAATACAGCAAAAGTCTTTTCACGACCTTTCGATGCAATACTAATCTCTTGGACATTTTCAGTTTTTTGAATCTCGAGAAGCGATTTAACTTGAGTTTCATCCATTGGTTTTTGATCTTCAATGACTAATTCAATAATCTTCTTGGGTATGTTGATCTCTTCTGGTTGAGTTTCATCGATTATTTGCTCAGGAATTATTTCATCGGATTTGACTTCTTCTTGACTTGGTCCTTTGGGAACTCGGAATACTACTTTTCTTCCCGCTATTTTAACACTCATCTTGTCAACTGATTCACCGACCTCGATCGGTTGCACACTTGGCACCGATTCTCTTCGAAGTGAAAATTCAGGTACTTCGAATGAAATAATTTCACCAGGAATTCTTTTCTTGATCAGAACCGTTTCATCGGATTGAGCAGTAATCGAATCTTTTCTCTGTACTTGTTCGTCAAATTGTTCTTCCAATTCTAAAGTTTCGATCTCTTGTTGACTTGATCTTCTTGGAACTCTAAATAAGATCTTACGTCCAGTTATATTCTTAGTTACCATTTCGATGGTATCGTCAATATCAATGAATTCTTGCTCTGGCCTCTTTTCAACTTCAATTTGTTCTGATTCAAGTTTAATTGAAGTCTTTTCTCGACCTTTCGATGCAATACTAATCTCTTGGACATTTTGAGTTGTTTCATCAGGTTTATTAATTTCCAAAGCTGATTGAGCTTCGGTTTCAATAATTGGTTTTTGATCTCCACTGATAAGTCCAACTATTTGTTGATCAAAAGTTATTTCTGGCTTTGTTTCATCGTTGGAAATTTCATCAGTAAGATCTGCGATCTCGCATTTTTCTGCATCAAACTTGTGCGGAATTCTAAACAGTATTTTACGTCCTGAGGTTATCAATTCCGTACTTTCGGGAGATTTTTCCGTAGATTGATCTATCAAGACAAACTCATTTGAATCTCCAGCTGTAGCAACAGTTTCGATAGATTCAACTTCGGCTTGACTGTCTTTTCTTGGAACTCTAAACACAACCTTGCGCCCTGAGATATTAACATCAACTTTTTCATTCGAATCATTAAGAACAACTTCACATGATGGTTGTTCTACTAGTTCGGTTGGTTCTCGAGATTCTGAAATTATTTCAGCTTCTGTATCCATCTGATCAAGTCCTTCTGGAACTCGGAATAAGATCTTGCGACCTTTTAACTTAAAGTCAATTTTCTCAATTGAATCGTCGCTCTCAACTCTTTCTTGTTCTGGTAATTTTTCAACTTCGATCTGTTCTGATTCAAGTTGAATTGAAGTCTTTTCTCGACCTTTCGATGTAATACTAATCTCTTGGACACTTTCACTTTCGTCGGTTTTCTCAATCTCAAGAGTCGATTTCTTTTCAGTTTCATCGATTGGTTTTTGATCTTCAGTAACCAATTCAATTGTTTTTGTTGGTATTATGATCATCTCCAATTGAGTTTCATCGGTTATTTGCTCAGGAATATTTTCATCTGTTTCCACGATTTCTTGACTTGGTCTCTTAGGAACTCGGAATACGACTTTTTTTCCGGTAATTCTAACATTAGTCACATGTACTGATTTGTCAATTTCGATCGATTGCTCATCAGGAATCGATTTCTTTCTTAGTGGAGTCTCTGGTACATCGAAAGAAGACAATTCTCCTGGAATTTTCTTCTTTGTCACAGTTAGTTCATCTTGTTCTGTTTCTTGAATTTCTACTGGACGATCATCGAATATTTCAAAAGTATCTACTGGCGCCTCACTTTGTTCTTCAGTTTCACCGATTTCTGGTTTACTTAATTTTCGAGGTACTCTGAATAGTATTTTACGTCCAGTTATCTTCAGATTAATCTTTTCTATTGAATCGTCGACTTTTTCTGAATCCTCTCTAGCTGATGGATAATCGTTTGAAATTTCATCCACTGATTCTTGTAGTTCTTCATGCAGCTCAGTCTCTGATTGACTTGATCGTCTTGGTAATTTAAAGACAATTTTACGTCCAGCAGTTTTCACTTCGGTAGTTTCAATTGATTCGTCCATTTCGGAAGGTTGATCAAAAGGTAATTTTTCATCAACATCGTGCACAGTTTCTGGCATTGAAGTCAAATCAGTATTTTCCAAAACAGTTTCACCTTTTCTCTTTTTACGTTTTGGTGCTTTCGGGTACGAACTGTCCTCAGCTAATTTTTCAGTTGGAACTTCAATTTTGTCCTGCTCATTACCATCACTTACTTTCTCAGGTGTAAGATCAAATTGTTCAATTTCTGATTGACTTGTATCGCATGGAACCCTGAATAATATTTTTCGATCTGTAATCTTCACATTAACAGTTTCACCGATCTCAATAACTTCTGTTTCAGGCTTCCATTGATCGGTTGTTGCATCAGATTTCAATTCAGTTATTGATTTGATTTCTGATTCAATTTCAGGTCCAATGGAATCTTTTGGTGTTGTTGATTCATCGATTTTACTTCCAGTGATTACAATTAGTTCTTGAGTAATGATACTTGGTTTGGCGATTGATTCTTTTCGTGCCTTTGGTAAGTCTAATGATTCATCAGTTTCCAAAGGTTTTTCTGATTCAGTTACTTGTTCAGCCGAAGTTGTTATCATAAGAGTTTCTGATGAGACTTCGACTTGTTCAGGATGTTCAATTTTCTTTCGCTTTTCAATCTCGATTGTAACTTTTTCAAGTTTTTCTTCCGTAGGTAATGATGGTTTTCTTAACGGCATCTCAGGGACATTGAATGTTACCATTTCTCCAGGAATTTTCTTCTTAATCACGACAATTGGTCCAATAGATTCGATAACAGTTGAATCTTTTCTTTCGATTTCTTTTGGCGATTCTTCTTCTGGAGACTCTATTGTCTCAGTTTCTTTTGTCTTTTCGACTTCAATCGAACTCGATTCTAAATCAATTGAACTTTTATCTCGACCTTTAGATGTAATTGTTACATCTTGAGACAGATCTTGAGGCTCTGATATTTTCACAATTTCAATTTGTTCACTTGTTTCTGGTACAGTCATTTCTTCAGAACTTATTTCAATTTCTTGTTCAGATGATACACTCGATTTTCTTGGTACTCTAAATAAGATCTTTCGTCCAGTTATCTTTACATCGATCTTCTGATTAGCTTCATCAATCACATTTTCATCTTGAATATCATCGATTGGTGTCTCGGTCATTTGATCTGGAACTATTTCTAGCTCTTCGATCTCAGGCTTAGATGATGTTTGTGGAACTCGGAACAATACTTTACGTCCAATGGTTTTGAGATTGATTGTCTCATCTGAATCAACAGTTATCATGGTTTCATCATCTGGTTGAATGAAATCTGATTCTGATTGTATTTCTGTTGATTCAGTTTCTTGTTGATCTTTTTCTTGTGGGACTCTGAATAAGATTTTACGTCCTGCTGTTTTAATTGTTGTTTCAATCCTCGACTCATCAATATCAGTTACTTCCTGTTCTGGTTTTTTCTCAGCTTCAATTTGTTCATGAATATTTTCATACTCTTCGATTTCAGGTTGATCTGTTTTTTGTGGAACTCTGAATAGAACTTTTCGTGATGATGTTTGAACTTCTATTGTATGAGTTGTTTCTGAAAGCTTGTCGATAGATAACTGGTCATGAAGATCTTCAGTTTCAGGTAACAGTTCTTCCGCCTCAATCTTTGTTTGAGACGATTCGTGTGGTACTCTGAATACGATTTTGCGACCGATTGTCTTGAGATCGACCTTTTCACTAATAAAGTTCTCTAAATTATCATCTGCATCTTCAGTTTCAGGAATCGATTCGAAAGTTTCAATTTCCGGTTGACTGTCTTTTCTTGGAACTCTGAACACTACCTTACGTCCAGAGATCTTCAGTTCAGTTTTTTCTTCTGAATCGATCTCGGTTTCTAACGGTTGGTCCGATAGTTCGATCGGTTCTTGAGAATCTGAAATTATTTCAGCTTCTGTATCAATTTTATCTGTTCCTTGCGGAACTTTGAATAAAATCTTGCGACCTTTTATTTTTACTTCAACTTTCTCATCCGAAGCTTCAACTTCTAATCTTATATTTTTCGGTAGTTTTTCAACTTCAATTTTTTCTGATTCGAGTCGAGCTGAGGTTCTCTCACGACCTTTCGATGTTATTGTAATTTCTTGAGTCAGTTCAATGTTTTCAGTTTTCATAAGCGAATCGTCTTCAGTTTTGTCAATTGATTTCTCATCAGAAGTAATCAATTCAATTGTCTGCTGAATACTTGAAGCTTCGATATCCATTTCATCTGGTTCGTCTGGAGCTACTTCGATGTCCGTTTTATCAACCTTCTTTGGAATTCTAAATATTATTCTTCGACCAGAAGTTAATAGTTCTGAAGTTTCAACTGGCTTTTCCAGAGATCCCTCAAATTGTGTAGTTTCTTTTGAATCTTGTATTTCAGGAATCGATTCGAAAGTTTCAATTTCCGATTGACTGTCTTTTCTTGGAACTCTAAACACAACCTTACGTCCAGAGATCTTCAGTTCAGTTTTTTCTTCTGAATCGATCTCACTTTCCAACGGTTGAGCGATAGTTTCAGTTTCTAATAATTCTTCTTCTATTTCCTCTTCAGGGTGTGATTCAGTCAATTCTGGTTGACTCAACCTTCTAGGAACTCGGAATAAAATTTTACGTCCCGAGATTTGGACGGTGACTTTCTCAATTGAATCGACGATATCAACGTGTTCTGGTAATTTTTCAACTTCGATCTGTTCTGATTCAAGTTGAATTGAAGTCTTTTCTCGACCTTTCGATGTAATACTAATCTCTTGGACACTTTCACTTTCGTCGGTTTTCTCAATCTCAAGAGTAGATTTATTTTCAGTTTCATCGATTGGTTTTTGATCTTCAGTAATCAATTCAATAGTTTTTATTGGTATTATGATCTCTTCCAATTGAGTTTCATCGGTTATTTGCTCAGGGATATTTTCATCTGTTTCCACGATTTCTTGACTTGGTCCCTTAGGAACTCGGAACACAACTTTTCTTCCCGTTACTTTGACATGATTCACTTCGATTGATTCATCAATAACGGTTGTTTGCTCATCAGGAATCGATTTCTTTCTTATCGGAATCTCCGATACATTAAAAGTAACAATTTCTCCAGGAATTCGTTTCTTGATCAGAACCGTTTCATCAGATTGAACAGTAATCGAATCTTTTCTCTGTACTTGTTCGTCAAATTGTTCTTCCAATTCTAAAGTTTCGATCTCTTGTTGACTTGATCTTCTCGGAACTCTAAATAAGATCTTACGTCCAGTTATATTCTTAGTTACCATTTCGATGGTATCGTCAATATCCAAGAATTCTTGTTCAGGTTTCTTTTCAACTTCAATTTGTTCTGATTCCAATACAGCAAAAGTCTTTTCACGACCTTTAGATGTGATGCTAATCTCTTGAACATTTTCAGCTTCGTGAATCTCGAGAGCTGATTCGACGTTAGTTTCATCGGTTTGTTTATCTTCAGAAGTTAACTCAATTTCTTGTGTTGTATATTCAGTCGGTTTTTCCAAAAGCATTTCATTAGTTCCTAGTTCTGTCTGACTAGTTCTTCTTTGGACCTTATAGACAACTTTACGTCCTGAAGTTTTTACTTCGACAATTTGGTTTACAATTGAGGGTTCAGTTTCAGTACTCATATCTAAAGTTTCTTCCATAGATTCAATGAAACGTCGAGATACTTTGAACGACACCTTTCGGCCTACGGTTTTAACATGAACTATTTCTACGGTACTGATACTTGAATCATCCTTGTCTGTTATTCTTTCAAACTGATCTGTTACTTCTACAAAATCAGAGTCTGATTCTATTTCTTGAACAGATAATTCGAGAGGTTTCAACTCATCCGTTTCCAAAGGTTTTTCTGATTCAGTTACTTGTTCAGCCGAAGTTGTTATCATAAGAGTTTCTGATGAGACTTCGACTTGTTCAGGATGTTCAATTTTCTTTCGCTTTTCAATCTCGATTGTAACTTTTTCAAGTTTTTCTTCCGTAGGTAATGATGGTTTTCTTAACGGCATCTCAGGGACATTGAATGTTACCATTTCTCCAGGAATTTTCTTCTTAATCACGACAATCGGTCCAATAGATTCGATGACAGTTGAATCTTTTCTTTCGATTTCTTTTGGCGATTCTTCTTCTGGAGACTCAACTGTCTCAGTTTCTTTTGTCTTTTCGACTTCAATCGAACTCGATTCTAAGCCGATTGAACTTTTATCTCGACCTTTAGATGTAATCGTTACATCTTGTGACAGATCTTGAGTTTCTGATATTTTCTCCTTTTCGATTTCTGAACTAAAAGGCTGATCTTTATCCTTTGGTTTCTTCAGTTCGATTGTCGCTTGTACTTCGAGTTCCTTTTCATCAATATCTTCAGTGATATCGACAAACTTGAATTGATCTTTTTCCATCTCTAATTCTGTAGATTCTAATTTAGTTTTAGTTTTCTTTGAGCCTTTGGTCGTTATTCTTATCTCTTGAATAGGCTTGACATTTTCTTCAGTTGTTTCCGTCTTCTGATCAATAGATTTTTTATCAATATCCAATTCATCGGATGTCTCTCTTTCGATTTCATCAGAGCTAATCTCAGAAATTAGAGCTTTTTCAGGGCTTAACTCGAATGTTTCGATCTCTGGTTGACTCGATTTACGTGGAACTCTGAATACAACTTTTCTTCCAGTAACTTTGATACAAGTGACGCATATTGATTCGTCAGTTGTAATCGTTTGCTCATCAGGAATCGATTTCTTTCTTAGTGGAGTCTCTGGTACATCGAAAGAAGACAATTCTCCTGGAATTTTCTTCTTTGTCACAGTTAGTTCATCTTGTTCTGTTTCTTGAATTTCTACTGGACGATCATCGAATATTTCAAAAGTATCTACTGGCGCCTCACTTTGTTCTTCAGTTTCACCGATTTCTGGTTTACTTAATTTTCGAGGTACTCTGAATAGTATTTTACGTCCAGTTATCTTCAGATTAATCTTTTCTATTGAATCGTCTACTTTTCCTGAATCCTCTTTAGCTGATGGATAATCGCTTGAAATTTCATCCACTGATTCTTGCAGTTCTTCAGGAACTTCATGCAGCTCAGTCTCTGATTGACTTGATCGTCTTGGTAATTTAAAGACAATTTTACGTCCAGCAGTTTTCACTTCGGTAGTTTCAATTGATTCGTCCATTTCGGAAGGTTGATCAATAGACACTTGATTTTCTATGTTTTCTTGAATAAGTTCCAAAGTCTCAATCTCTTTTTCGTTACCTTCACACGGAATTCTAAAAACAATCTTGCGGCCAGAAATTTTCACTTTAGATATCACTATTGGTTCTATTACGTCAAGTTGTTGCTCGGTTGAAAATGATCTTTCATCGGATGAAATTTCAATTTGACTTGATTCTGATGTTATTGAGGTTCTTATTCGACCCTTGGACCGAAGTGTTACATCTTGAGATAGTGTTGTTTCTGGCGAAATCTCTGGAAGCTCATCAATTTCAGGTACAATGGAATCTTTTGGTGCTGCTGATTCATCGATTTTACTTCCAGTGATTACAATTAGTTCTTGAGTAACGATACTTGGCTTAGCAATTGATTCTTTTCGTGTCTTTGGTAAGTCTAATGATTCATCAGTTTCCAAAGGTTTTTCTGATTCAGTTACTTGTTCAGCCGAAGTTGTTATCATAAGAGTTTCTGATGAGACTTCGACTTGTTCAGGTTGTTCAATCTTCTTTCGCTTTTCAATCTCGATTGTAACTTTTTCAAGTTTTTCTTCCGTAGGTAATGATGGTTTTCTTAACGGCATCTCAGGGACATTGAATGTTATCATTTCTCCAGGAATTTTCTTCTTAATCACGACAATCGGTCCAATAGATTCGATAAAAGTTGAATCTTTTCTTTCGATTTCTTTTGGCGATTCTTTTTCTGGAGACTCAACTGTCTCAGTTTCTTTTGTCTTTTCGACTTCAATCGAACTCGATTCTAAATCAATTGAACTTTTATCTCGACCTTTAGATGTAATTGTTACATCTTGAGACAGATCTTGAGTTTCTGATATTTTCTCAATTTCAATTTGTTCACTTGTTTCTGGTACATTCATTTCTTCAGAACTTATTTCAATTTCTTGTTCAGATGATACACTCGATTTTCTTGGTACTCTAAATAAGATCTTTCGTCCAGTTATCTTTACATCGATCTTCTGATTAGCTTCATCAATAACATTTTCATCTTGAATATCATCGATTGGTGTCTCGGTCATTTGATCTGGAACTATTTCTAGCTCTTCGATCTCAGGCTTAGATGATGTTTGTGGAACTCGGAACAATACTTTACGTCCAGTGGTTTTGAGATTGACTGTCTCATCTGAATCAACAGTTATCATGGTTTCATCATCTGGTTGAATGAAATCTGATTCTGATTGTATTTCTGTTGATTCAGTTTCTTGTTGATCTTTTTCATGTGGGACTCTGAATAAGATTTTTCGACCTGTTGTTTTCACGCTAACTCTTTCAAGCACATCTAATGATCTTTTATCGTGTTCATCTTCATCAAGCATCAGATTATCTTCGGGTCCTGACTCAACATAGTCCACAATCTCTTGCTCACTGATTTCTGTTTCAGACGCATTTGATGAGACCATCATTCGATGAACTATCCTTCGCCCCGGAATTTTCACCTTAAGTTTTGTTATACTTTCAACATCTTCTTTATCTTTTTCATTTACAGATTCAATTTCTGATATTTTTCTGTCTAAACTTATTTCAATACTCTCTGAGTTCATTTCTATGGATGATCTTGACTTTCCTCTACTTTTTATTGTGAAAGTTTGAACAGAATCGTCTTCTTCTTCTGGCCTTAATTCAGTCTTTTCTTCAGTAAAATCTTGCTGACGAAGATGGATTGTTTCAGTTACAATCTGTTCTCTTTCGTCTTTAGCACGGAAAACTATTCGTTTACCTTTGAGACTAAGATTTACAGTTTGTTCAACAAAAATGTCAGCTGGATGCTCTTCTTTAGTCTGAGACTCTAACACTGTGGTAGTCAACTCAGATTCTACTCGAGAACTTGGTAATTTGAGCTCGAAAGTTTGCTCAGGAATCTCTTCAGTTTGTATTTGAGTCTCTTTCGAATCAGATATACGCTGCAAGCTTCGACCTGATTTTCGAGGAACTTTATAAATAACTCTCGTTCCCGGTATTCTGAGTTTCGCTTTATAAACTTTAACCTTAGCTGGTTCACTGGTTGTTTCGTCAGTAGTAGTGGTCACCTTATCATCCATTGGTTGATCTTCATTATCGGTAATTAAATCCGACATCAATTCATCTTTAATCATTTCCATCAATTCGGGAATCACTTCAGGGACACTTACCAGGGAATCTTCTAATTCATCTACAATTAAATCAACTAATTCTTCATTACGATCGGGTAACTTACCTTCTTCTATTTGTAGATCGTCCGTATTTCGATCAACCTCGAATCGTTCACTGAACTGTGGCTTCTTTTTGGTAACTTTTTTCTTCTTCGAATCTTTTTCTTTTTCTTTTTCTTTTTCTTTTTTCTCCTTCTCTCTACCTTTCGATTCAATGTCGATCTCCATTTCTGGTACAATCTCAATCGATTCATTGGATTCTGGTTTAATTGTGATTTCTTTTTCTTCTTCGTCTGGTAATTCAATAGAAATTGAATCTTGATTGACTTTACTTTGTGTTGGTGATGATGATGATGGAGATGATGGTCCACCGATCTCAGTGGTCATTTCTTCAACAATCAATGATCTTTGTTTCGATTCAATTTCAATCGGTTGTTTATCATCTGATTCTATTGTAATATCAACAATTGAATCTTCATATTGAGTTGATTCTACTTGTATTGATGTTATTTTATCACCGACTTTTTTAAATGTTTGAATGATTTCCTTTCGTATTGGTTTTTGTCCTTTTGATGATATTTCAAATTGTTGATCGATTGATGGTTGATAAGGTTGATCATCAGCAATTAGAGTTGATTGTTGAGTCAATTTAACTTCTTTTTCTAATAGAGTGGCTTCTGTAGTGACTCGAGCTGTAATTTCAATGGGTGTTTGATCAGCACTAATTTCATAGACATTTTCAAGTGCATCGACTTGTTGGTCAACAGGCTCACCACTCAAGTTTACACGTTCAGTGGTCACTGTTTTCATCAAGTCTCTTTCTGTCGTTTCTCTCGCTCTCTTATCAGGAACAGGTATTTCTTTCTGAACGACGATATCGCCCTCAAGAGTGGCCACAGCTTCTGTTTCGGTTGTTCGTTGAGGCACCACAGATGAGATCGCTGTTATCTCGGTTGGCTTTCCTATTTCGAGTTCTTCCTCTTTGTCAAGAGTTTCTGGTCTCTCGATTGAAGCTGATCGGGTTTTCGGTAATGACTTTTTGGGTTTGATCTTTTTTACCTTTGGTTTAACGTCTTCGACTAATTTGTCTTCCACTTCTACTGGTACATCGATTCCAACAGTGATCGCTTGAGTTTCACTTGTGATCTCGAATTGAACTGTTTCCTCTTTCGATGGGATCACATCAAGAGTTTCCTCTTTCTCGTAACTTTGTTTACGTTCAATTGAAATGGATCGAGATTTTTTCTTGGTTAAACTTTTTGTTGGTTTAACAACTTCGGGAATCACTTCAAGGTCCAAATCTTTTTCCGATTCAATTGAAGTACTAAACATCCCTGAGGCTGCTTGTGATTCAGTTAAACCAATAGCAGCTTTCGATGTGGTCGGAGTGGATTGAGAAAGGTCATCGGCTGCAATATCAGCGGTAGATGTTGATACTTGATATGAGTGATGAAGAGAATCTGAGATTGATGTAACGATTGTTTTCTCAGCTGGTATTTCGATATCTAGAGCAACTGTACCTTCCATGGTATCAGTAGTCGAAATGGCCAATGGTGTTTCCGATGGAATCGATTTTGATGCTTGATCTTTTGTGGTCTCACTCACTGGAAGGTCATCAACTGATTCCACGATATTTGTGCCAGTGCCCAATAAAGCTTCAGATTCAGTTAATTTGACATCAGTTCGAGCAGAATCTGGTTTATTTTCATCAATATGCCTGTTGAAATGATTGACTCCTGAATTGTCACTTGTATCGGAGTTTGATTGATCTCTGAAAGTTTTGTCGATGTTGTTTTAACATCGGGTTGATCAATATCGATTGGCGTTAATGTGTCGATAAGCTGGTCTGCGGTTACCGTTACAGAACCTTGAGAATCAATTGACAGTCTGGCCTGTGTAAGATTAGGTTTAATCGATTCCAAATTATCGGTTGATTCGAGTGATGTTGGTTTCTCAATTGAAAGTGATCTCTCTTCCTTAAAGCTGACCCGTTTCTTGATTCTCTTTGATTCGGGTAGATTATCACTTGGAAGGTGAGCTTCGGATTCACTAGGAACGGATGAGGTCACGCTTATGGCCTGAGTTTCGGTGAGTGAGACTTTTGGTTGTTGCGAGTCGATTGAATCAGCTACTAAACTTGATTCAGCCTCTGATGCTATTGTTGTAGTAACGGTCATCGATTTGTTAACCTTTGAATCGGTTTGAGTTTCTAATTGAACAGCTTCTGGACTTTGGTCTATCAATCCAATCGAAACCTCTTCTGATTCGACTCTTTGTTCAACGGTTCGTGGAATTTGTACACTGAGATCACCAATTAGCGTTAATTGTTCGATAGAAGTTGCTTTTTTCATCAGATCACGTTCGATAGTTTCTCTGGCTTTCTTTTCCGGAACTGGTGCTTCTTTTGGACCGAGACTAACACCTTCCATCGTACTGATTGTTTCGGACTCAATTGTTTTCGTCGCAACTAGTCCAGGAGATGCCGAGGCAATGGAAGGTTGTTCCAGGTCAAGTTCTTCTTCTTTGTCTAACTTTTGATGTCTTTCAATGGACGCTGATCTCGATTTAATTAGAGACTTTTTGGTTTAATTTTCTTCTTTTCTGGTTTAGCTTGATCACTTAACTGTTCCTCATTCTCAACCAATACATCGATACCAATTGTTATCGCTTGTGTATCGCTGATTGAAGGTTTAATTGTCTCTGGCTTAGTTTCCTTATTAACTTCCAGATCCTTTTCGGACTCGATTGTTGTGCTGATATGACCTGAAGCAGCTTCAGTCTCTGTTAGACCAACAATTGCCTTCGATGGAGTAGGAATTGTTTGGTCTAATGAATCAGGAGCAACATCGGCAGTCGCGGTAGAGACTTGTAATGAATGATGAACAGACTCAGAGATCGATTGGTTGATTGTCTTTGCATCAGGTTGATCAATGTCTAATTTAACTGTCGACTCAATTGATTGAATAGTCGATATTGATAATGGTGTCTCAGAATCGATCGATTTAGAAGCGATATCTTTAGTATCAGAAGTCTCAAGTTTAGTTTCTGACTCCATAGTAACTGGACGTTCAATAGAGATTGACCTTTGTTTCTTAAGATCAACTTTTTTCTTGAGTCTCTTTGATTCTGGTTTAGTTGATTGTTGAAGAGTTTCCTCCGATTCTTCAGGTACTGATGAAGTTACAGTTATACTTTGACTCGGAGTAAAATCGACCTTAGGCTTAGCACTTGGTGTCTCTTGAGAATCGATGTCTTGACCACTTTCGATCGGTTGTGTTTCTTGCACGATAATTTGCTGCTTTACATCAGTTTCTAATTTCGGAACGATTGATTCAGTATGTTGATCGATCGGTAAAGTTAATTGTTCTCTTTCAAAAACTTGATTAGATGCAACAGTGACAACTAATTGAGTTGTTATATCGATTTTGTGTGAAGATATTTCGATGGTGTCTTCCTTGAGGTCACCTTCCTTTTCGAATGTATCTTTTTGAGCGACAATAAGTGATTGTTTCGATTTAATTGGTGGTTTGGCTTTGATCTTTTTCGTCTTTGGCTTAGAAGTTTCTTCGTCAATTATCATATCACCTTCTTTCTCGACTACTTGATCTACTCGAGATTCGGCAATAGTCATTGTCGGAAGACCAATTGAAGCTGATTGAAGTGTTTCCTGTGGTGTTTCTAAAGGTACTTCGTCTTGAGAAACATCACTTGTTACTACTGAGATCGCTTGTCCAATCGATTCAATCGATTGATCAGCTATTCGAGGTTTAACTTCAACACCATCGAAAATTGTCTCTGCTTCGTATGTTGATTGTTGACTAATTGTAGTCGAATATGTTGATGGTGATTCGACTACAGTGTCTTTAGGTGTTACTCTGATTTCTGGTTGAACCTCTGTTGGTGTTTCCATCTCCATAATAACTGGTCTCTCGATAGAAATTGATCTTTGTTTAGTAATCGAAGTTTTCTTTGTTAACTTTTCTCTTCGAGGTTTGGGTACTTCGAATTGTCCTTCTTTCTCCAATGTTTCCTTGTTTTCTATCGAAGCCAATTTGATCTCTAGTTCGGATGATCCAGAGTCTACATGAGCTCTAGATGCTGACGGAATTGATTGAGGTAACTCAATTGTCGATTGATCAACAGTTGATGTCGATACTTCGTAGGAATGATATACCGATTCGGAAATCGATTGCACTGTTTGCTTCTTATCAGGAATTTCTAGTTCCAAGATGGCTACGTTTTCGATCGGTTGATCACTCGAAATAGCTAATGGAATTTCAGAATCGATAGAGGTCAGCGCTTGATCATTTGTGATCTCCGTTATCAGCAGTTCACCTGTGGCTTCCATAGTAATAGGTCTTTCGATTGACAGAGATCGCTGTTTCTTCAGATCAATTTTCTTTTTCAATTTCTTCGACTCTGGTTGTACCATCTTCGAAAGGGCAAATTCAGACTCTCCTGGTACAGAATCAGTTACAACTATACTTTGATTTAGAGTGAATTCAACTTTAGGTTGAAGTGCTGATGAATCAAATGAGGTTGGTAACGCCGATTCAGTTTCAGTTGCTTCCGTTTCCTGTACTGTTATTGTTTTGTTCAGTTCGTCAGATAATTTTGGTACAATCGATTCAGTTTTACTATCATCAGAAAGAGCTGTTAATTTCTCGCTTTCGAGCAGTTGCTTGAAATCAATTGTCGCTACTGTTTGTGGTAACATAGCTTCGAGTTTAGAAACAGCGGTTTCACTTTGTTCCATTTCGAGGACACCTTCCCGTTCAAACGAATCTTTTTTGGTGACAGTCAACGACTGTTGCGTTGAAGAAGTTGACGTAATCTTCAACTTTCTGACATTTGGAGCGTCGATAAGCACTTCACCTTCACGCTCAACGATTTGGTCGACCGTTGATTCTGCTACTCTTATTTCATTTGGTGTTTCAATCGATGCTGAGTAACTTTGCTCAGCTGGAGTGTCCAACGGCGTCTCACTATGGATCAGATCATTTTCCACGATGGACACTGCGTGTGTCAGTGATTCGATTGCCTCCAAAGCTTGACCCGATTCCATGGTGGGTGAGTGTTGGAAGGGAGATTCGGCTTCCAGAGTTGACTGTTGGCTGATTGTCGTTGAATAAGTTGCTGGTGCATCAACCAAAGTATCTTTGGGCATTACCCGTACTTCGGCCTGAATCTCCGTTGGCATAGCAGCTTCGAATATTATTGGTCTTTCGATCGATATTGATCTTTGTTTGGTGAGTGTATTTTTCTTTGTTAACTTTTCTCGACGCGCTGGTTTTATCGGCAAAGATCCCTCTCTCTCCAAGGTCTCCGGCCTCTCAATCGAAGCTGACCTAGTGCTCACTATCGGTTTCTTTGGTCTGATTTTCTTTGTTTCAGGTTTAATATCTTCGGCAAGATTTTGTTCACTTTCAACGGGAACATCAATTCCAATCGATGCCGTGACAAGGTCACTAGTAATTTCTGGTTGAATAGATTTCAACTTGGCTTCATCAGTTTCGAAATGTTTCTCAGACTCAATGAGAGTACTAATTACACCCGATGCAGCTTCCGCTTGAGCTAAATCGATTTGTGCTATTAATGTAGTTGGTGTGACCTGAATTAAGTCACTCGCTGCGGAATCAGCAGTTGATGTTGATACTTGGTACGAATGATAAACTGTTTCAGAAATTGACTGAGTGATTGTTTTGTGATCTGGAAGCTCGATATCTAATTGACTTGTTGATTCAATAGATTCGACTGTTGTTACTGCTAATGGTGTTTCCGAATCAACGGATGATGAGGCCAAATCTTTTTCTGTCTCTGGAACTGACAGTTTATCAACTGCTTCCAATGTAACGGGTCGTTCAACAGAAAGCGATCTTTGTTTCTTAAGATCAACTTTTTTCTTGAGTTTCTTTGATTCTGGTTTAGTTAATTGTTCAAGAGTTTCCTCTGATTCTTCAGGTACTGATGATGTTACAGTTAAACTTTGGCTTGGAGTAAAATCGACCTTTGGTTGAACCTCTTCTACTCTCGAATCGGTGATTCTTTCGTCAGTTTCTATAGGTTGAGTGGATTGAACAGAAACAGCGACATTTGGACTGAGGTCAATTTGAGTGTTTGCAGTTTCACTTGGAACAGAATCAAAGTCACTTTCCTTTTCGAATGTATCTTTTTGAGCGACAATAAGCGATTGTTTCGATTTAATTGGTGGTTTGGCTTTGATCTTTTTGTCTTTGGCTTAGAAGTTTCTTCGTCAATTATCATATCACCTTCTTTCTCGACTAGTTGATCTACTCGAGATTCGGCAATAGTCATTGTCGGAAGACCAATTGAAGCTGATTGAAGTGTTTCCTGTGGTGTTTCTAAAGGTACTTCGTCTTGAGAAACATCACTTGTTACTACTGAGATCGCTTGTCCAATCGATTCAATCGATTGATCAGCTATTCGAGGTTTAACTTCAACACCATCGAAAATTGTCTCTGCTTCGTATGTTGATTGTTGACTAATTGTAGTCGAATATGTTGATGGTGATTCGACTACAGTGTCTTTAGGTGTTACTCTGATTTCTGGTTGAACCTCTGTTGGTGTTTCCATCTCCATAATAACTGGTCTCTCGATAGAAATTGATCTTTGTTTAGTAATCGAAGTTTTCTTTGTTAATTTCTCTCTTCGAGGTTTGGGTACTTCGAATTGTCCTTCTTTCTCCAATGTTTCCTTGTTTTCTATTGATACTGTTACTTTATTTGTATCAATTGTCTTTGTTGTCGCAGAAGCAGTTGATGGTTGAGGTGTTTCTATTTCTCCTTCTTTATCTCCGATTGTTTGTTGAGATCCTTGAATAGCGTCGAGTGTTGTTATGCTTATGTCACTTTTACCTTTTTCGATTACTGGTAAATCTAATTGAGACTCTGAGTCAACTGGTGTTTCCATTGACACAGTCATTGGAAGATGTGATTGATCAGATAGAACCGAAATTGTTGTTCTAACTGTGGGTGAAGTTAATTGTAGTATTTCAACTTGATCAACGGGTTGAACTTGATCGACAATTACTGACGATTTATCAGGAATTAACGTTGATTTCGCGGAATCGCTCGTCGTTTTTTCTTGTACCGATTCATTTGCAGTCTCAACAAGTTCCAATTTCTCAATTGAAAGTGTTCTTTGTTTCTTAAGGTCAACTTTTTGTTTTCCTTTCTTTCGTTCCGGTGCTTTAGGTTGAATGTAAACAAGTTCGGTTTCACCAGGAATAGACTCAACTATTGATACAGCTCGAGCTTCGATGAAATCGACATTTGGAAGACTCGATGCTTCGGAAATTGGAACTGAGTTTGTTGTCTCAAGTGTTTCTATCGATGATATTGAGATTGATTTTTTCTCAGAATTTACTGTCGTGGACTCGCTTATTACACTCGGTGTTTGTTCAATATCTGCACCAATAGTAGCTTCAAGTGTTTGATTCGACGACATTGTGATAGCTGATCTTGATGTGATTTCTACTGAGCTGAAACCTTTCTGAGATTTCATTTGATGAACGTCAGTCTCTGATGGTCGAGGCTCTAATGATGAACTCATAGAACCTTCAATGGCAATAGAAGTTGGAATCTCAACTCGAGCTACTTCAACACTTGGTCGATCAATTGTCAAGGGTATTTCAAGGTTACCTGTATCAACATTTTCTATTCCAATTGCTTGATTTGGTCTTTTCTCGATAATTGACTCAACTAATTGTGATCCAATTGGTATCGCTTCTTGTACCAATGATTCTGGTTGTTCAACTGTTTCCATCGAACTCACCGAAATCGAACTCATTGGACAAATTGTTTCTTTCGCTTGTTCTTGTCTTGATTGGTCTGGTTTATCAATTCTTTCAACTGATTCAATTGTCTCTTTGGATTCAATTGTGAGTGATTTTTGTTTTTTAAGATCAACTTTTTTCTTCAACTTTTGTTTTTCTGGTTTAATTGTTGGAATCAATTTAGATTCGGTGTCACCGGGAATCGATGAAGTTACTTCAATCGCTTGACTCTCAGTCAAAGTGACATTTGGTTGTTTATCTTGAATATCGGTCAATTGGACGACCTTTTCACTTTCACCAATCTCAACTGAACTAATTGTTAATGCCATTGACGGCGAATCAGCTAATAATTTGGTGGCAGTTTCAGGTACAGAAGAATCAGAAATAGTTGCGGTTTGTTCAGTTGAAAAGAAAGATCCGATGTTTTGAGACCATCGAAACACTGGTTCGATCTAATTCTAGAACCGTACTTGGTAAATCAGTCTCTTTTTCAAGTGAACCTTCCGATTGGACAATAAGTGACCTTTCAGTTTTAACTGTTGATTTAACTGTTACTTTGGACTTCTTTGGTTTCTCAAAACTCTTGGGGAGTTCGGTTTCACAGGTCAAATCAACTCTCGACTCTGGTATTGTCGATGAAATGATTTCGATTGAAGCGGACCCTGGTTTTGTTTGAATTTCCGTTAATTGTTGTGTTTCTTGTGACGGAATCACATCAGATACGAGCAAAGCAGCTGATGGGCTGATCGCTTTGATTGCTTGAGCCTCTTTTGATTCAGTTATTTCCAAGGGAATCGTTTTCTCCTCTGATTTTGTTTCGACAACTTGTACACTTGTTACTGGAATAGAATCAACATCAGCTGGTACTAATGTGTCGACTTTTGGTTCGTCAATGGTTAACGGACCCTCGGTTTCCATCAGTTGTTTCCGTTCAATGGATAACGAACGTTTTTGAGACAAATCTTTCAACGATTTAGCTCGAGTTGTGACTTTGATTGGTTCTTTGAGTTGTGATTCTTTTTCATTGAGCTTTGTTTCATCAACAGTAACTGCTTTCGATTCAGTTATATCAATTGTTGCTTTCAGTTGGGTGACACTTGAATCTAAGGGTTTCGTTGAACCATCAATAGAGCCTCCAGTGATCACAATTGCTTCCGTTGTAACGATACTTGGCTTAGCAATTGATTCTTTTCGTGCCTTTGGTAAGTCTAATGATTCATCAGTTTCAAAGGTTTTCTGATTCAGTTACTTGTTCAGCCGAAGTTGTTATCATGAGAGTTTCTGATGAAACTTCGACTTGTTCAGGTTGTTCAATCTTCTTTCGCTTTTCAATCTCGATTGTAACCTTTCGAGTTTAACATCAGATGGTAATGATGGTTTTCTCAATGGCATCTCAGGGACATTGAATGTTACCATTTCTCCAGGAATTTTCTTCTTAATTACAACAATCGGTCCAATAGATTCGATAACAGTTGAATCTTTTCTTTCGATTTCTTTTGGCGATTCTTCTTCTGGAGACTCAACTGTCTCAGTTTCTTTTGTCTTTTCGACTTCAATTGAACTCGATTCTAAATCAATTGAACTTTTATCTCGACCTTTAGATGTAATTGTTACATCTTGTGACAGATCTTGAGTTCTGATGTTTTCTCCATCTCAATTTCTGAACTAAAAGGCTGATCTTTATCCTTTGGTTTCTTCAGTTCGATTGTCGCTTGTACTTCGAGTTCCTTTTCATCAATATCTTCAGTGATATCGACAAACTTGAATTGATCTTTTTCCATCTCTAATTCAGTAGATTCTAATTTAGTTTTTGTTTTCTTCGAGCCTTTGGTCTTTATTCTTATCTCTTGAATAGGCTTGACATTTTCTTCAGTTGCTTCCGTCTTCTGATCAATATCTTTTTTATCAATATCTAATTCATCGGATGTCTCTCTTTTGATTTCATCAGAGCTAATCTCAGGGATAAGAGCCTTTTCAGGGCTTAACTCGAATGTTTCGATCTCTGGTTGACTCGATTTACGTGGAACTCTAAATACAACTTTTCTTCCAGTAACTTTGATATCAACTCTTTCATTAGAGTCTTCAACTTCTAGGAATTCGTGTTCTGGTAATTTTTCAACTTCGATCCGTTCTGATTCAAGTTGAGTTGAAGTCTTTTCTCGACCTTTAGAGGTAATACTAATCTCTTGGACATTTTCATCATATTGTTCAATCTCAAGAACCGATTTCTTATCAGTTTCATCGATTGGTTTTTGATCTTCAGTAATCAATTGAATTGTTTTTGTTGGTATAATGATCTCTTCCAATTGAGTTTCATCGATTATTTTTTCAGGGATAATTTCATCTGTTTCCACGATTTCTTGACTTGGTCTTTTAGGAACTCTGAATACGACTTTTCTTCCGGTAATTCTAACATTAGTCACATGTACTGATTTGTCAATTTCGATTGATTGCTCATCTGGAATCGATTTCTTTCTTATCGGAATCTCTGGTACATTAAAAGTAACAATTTCTCCAGGAATTCGTTTCTTGATCAGAACTGTTTCATCAGATTGAACAGTAATCGAATCTTTTCTTTGTACTTTTTCGTCGACTTTTTCTTCCAATTCTAAAGTTTCGATCTCTTGTTGACTTGATCTTCTTGGAACTCTAAATAAGATCTTACGTCCAGTTATATTCTTAGTTACCATTTCGATGGTATCGTCAATATCGATAAACTCTTGTTCAGGTTTCTTTTCAACTTCAATTTGTTCTGATTCCAATTGAGCAAAAGTCTTTTCACGACCTTTAGATGTAATACTAATCTCTTGGACATTTTCAGTTTTTTGAATCTCGAGAAGCGATTTAACTTGAGTTTCATCCATTGGTTTTTGATCTTCAATGATTAATTCAATAATCTTCTTGGGTATGTTGATCTCTTCTGGTTGAGTTTCATCGATTATTTGCTCAGGAATTATTTCATCGGATTCGACTTCTTCTTGACTTGGTCCTTTGGGAACTCGGAATACTACTTTTCTTCCCGTTATTTTAACACTCATCTTGTCAACTGATTCACTGACCTCGATCGGTTGCACACTTGGCACCGATTCTCTTCGAAGTGAAAATTCAGGTACTTCGAATGAAATAATTTCTCCAGGAATTCGTTTCTTGATCAGAACTGTTTCATCAGATTGAACAGTAATCGAATCTTTTCTTTGTACTTGTTCGTCGATTTTTCTTCCAATTCTAAAGTTTCGATCTCTTGTTGACTTGATCTTCTTGGAACTCTAAATAAGATCTTACGTCCAGTTATATTCTTAGTGACCATTTCGATGGTATCGTCAATATCAATGAATTCTTGTTCAGGTTTCTTTTCAACTTCAATTTGTTCTGATTCAAGTTGAATTGAAGTCTTTTCTCGACCTTTCGATGCAATACTAATCTCTTGGACACTTTCACTTTCGTCGGTTTTCTCAATCTCAAGAGTCGATTTCTTTCAGTTTCATCGATTGGTTTTCGTCTTTAGTAATTAGTTCACTTGTTTTTGTTGGTACAATGATCTCTTCCAATTCATCGGTTATTTGCTCAGGAATATTTTCATCTGTTTCCACGATTTCTTGACTTGGTCCCTTAGGAACTCGGAACACCACTTTTCTTCCCGTTATTTTAACACTCATTTTGTCGATCGATTCACCGACTTCGATCGGTTGCTCACCAGGAATCGATTTCTTTCGAAGTTGAATCTCAGGTACTTTGAATGAAATAATTTCACCAGGAATTCGTTTCTTGATTACAACCAATACATCAGATTCGATATTCATCGAGTCGCGTTCTAATTCTTCTGCTTCGATTTCTGGTTGGCTTGTTTTTATTGGAACTTTGAATGTGACCTTACGTCCAGTTGGTCTCTTAGTGGCCATTTCAATAGAATCTTCAACTTCTAGGATTTCATGTTCCGGTAATTTTCAATTTCAACTTGTTCTGATTCGAGTTGAGCGGAAGTCTTTTCTCGACCTTTAGATTTTATGGTTATTTCTTGCACATTTTCAATCGTCTTCTCAATTTCAAGCTCTGATGTACCTTCGGGCTCTTCCTTTTGCTTCTGAACAGAAATCAATTCAATTGTCTTTTGAATTTCAATCTCTTCTGGCTGAGTTTCACTGTCAAACACTTGTTCAGGGGTCAATTCAAATTGTTCAATCTCAGGTTGACTGGACCTTCGAGGTACTCTAAAGACAACCTTTCGTCCGGTAATCTTGAGGTTAACTTGCACATCAGAATCTTCAATGTCCACTTGCTGATTATCTCGATCTGATCGTTGATCGGTTTTTATTTCTTCTTCAATGGATTCTGGTAATTCAGGTAAGTCGATGTCTAATTCAATGTCAACTGCCTCATGTCGCTGAAGCGATTTCATCCTTCCTTGTGATTTAATTGTTACCCTTTGGCTTAACCTTTCATTTCTATCAACAACATCATTTTCCTCATTCAAATCACCTTTACTATCAACTCCTTGATCCTCAAATCCTTTATCCAAATCCAATGTTGCTTGTCCAACAGATAATTGAATCTCATCCTCTTCATGGTCACTACCAGGTCTACTACTTCCTCTAGCACGCACACGGAATATGACACGCTTACCAGGAATATTAAGCTTGACCATTGATAACCAGGAATTTCGGTTGACTCGAAAGTTTCAATCCTCGGTGACTTAGCTCGAGGAATTGGAACTTTATAAATAACTCTCGTTCCCGGTATTCTGAGTTTCGCTTTATAAACTTTAACCTTAGCTGGTTCACTGGTTGTTTCGTCAGTAGTAGTGGTCACCTTATCATCCATTGGTTGATCTTCATTATCGGTAATTAAATCCGACATCAATTCATCTTTAATCATTTCCATCAATTCGGGAATCACTTCAGGGACACTTACCAGGGAATCTTCTAATTCATCTACAATTAAATCAACTAATTCTTCATTACGATCGGGTAACTTACCTTCTTCTATCTGTAGATCGTCCGTATTTCGATCAACCTCGAATCGTTCACTGAACTGTGGCTTCTTTTTGGTAACTTTTTTCTTCTTCGAATCTTTTTCTTTTTCTTTTTTCTCCTTCTCTCTACCTTTCGATTCAATGTCGATCTCCATTTCTGGTACAATCTCAATCGATTCATTGGATTCTGGTTTAATTGTGATTTCTTTTTCTTCTTCGTCTGGTAATTCAATAGAAATTGAATCTTGATTGACTTTACTTTGTGTTGGTGATGATGATGATGGAGATGATGGTCCACCGATCTCAGTGGTCATTTCTTCAACAATCAATGATCTTTGTTTCGATTCAATTTCAATCGGTTGTTTATCATCTGATTCTATTGTAATATCAACAATTGAATCTTCATATTGAGTTGATTCTACTTGTATCGATGTTATTTTATCACCGACTTTTTTAAATGTTTGAATGATTTCCTTTCGTATTGGTTTTTGTCCTTTTGATGATATTTCAAATTGTTGATCGATTGATGGTTGATAAGGTTGATCATCAGCAATTAGAGTTGATTGTTGAGTCGATTTAACTTCTTTTTCTAATAGAGTGGCTTCTGTAGTGACTCGAGCTGTAATTTCAATGGGTGTTTGATCTTGGGTAATCATTTCCCTTTCCAATTGAGTGCTAATTGTTTGGGACTCAATTTGTTTCTCGGAGACAATCGATGAAGTCGCAGTAACGGGTTTTGGTGTTTCAACAACGAACTGTAGCTCGGAATCCATCACTTCAGGTCGTTCAACTGAAGTTGATTTAATCCTACTGAGAGTTTCTTTTGGCTTGAGCTTTTTCTTATCAAGTTTAACATCATCAAGAACTTTTTCTGATTCGATTGGTATATCGATTGTACCTGAAACCGATTCAACAACGGACAGATTAACTCCGGCCTGAGTCTCATCTGTTTTCATTATTTCCAAATCGCTTGTAGATTCGAGAGATGTTGGTTTTTCAATAGAGAGAGATTTCTGTTCCTTGAAACTAACGCGTTTCTTGATGGTCTTTTTCTCGGGCACTTTGTCACTCGGCAGTTGAAGCTCTGATTCATTTGTAATCGAAGTAGTTACACTGATTGCCTGAGTCTCGGTCATTGAAACTCTCGGTCTCTGAGAATCGACAGAATCAGGAATCAATCCAGTCTCGGTTTCTTCATCAACTTTAAGCTCTTTCTCGAAAGGCCCACCGATCATTTTCAATTGTTCAGTTGATTGAGCTCTAGATAAGGGTTTCGATTCTGTGGTTATTTTAGCAGTTTTTTGGACCAATGGCACTTCTTCTGGTTGAAGATTTTCAGCTTCTAATGTGCTAATAGTTTGAGATTGGACGATTTTCTGAGGAATCATCGATTGAGTTGCCGATGCGGCTTTAGGTGAATCGATTTCAAGTTGTTCCTCTTTGTCAAGAGTTTCTGGTCTTTCGATTGAAGCTGATCGGGTTTTCGGTAATGACTTTTTGGGTTTGATCTTTTTTACCTTTGGTTTAACGTCTTCGACTAACTTGTCTTCCACTTCTACTGGTACATCGATTCCAACAGTGATCGCTTGAGTTTCACTTGTGATCTCGAATTGAACTGTTTCCTCTTTCGATGGGATCACATCAAGAGTTTCCTCTTTCTCGTAACTTTGTTTACGTTCAATTGAAATGGATCGAGATTTTTTCTTGGTTAAACTTTTTGTTGGTTTAACAACTTCGGGAATCACTTCAAGGTCCAAATCTTTTTCCGATTCAATTGAAGTACTAAACATCCCTGAGGCTGCTTGTGATTCAGTTAAACCAATGGCAGCTTTCGATGTGATCGGAGTGGATTGAGAAAGGTCATCGGCTGCAATATCAGCGGTAGATGTTGATACTTGATATGAGTGATGAAGAGAATCTGAGATTGATGTAACAATTGTTTTCTCAGCTGGTATTTCGATATCTAGAGCAACTGTACCTTCCATGGTATCAGTAGTCGAAATGGCCAATGGTGTTTCCGATGGAATCGATTTTGATGCTTGATCTTTTGTGGTCTCACTCACTGGAAGGTCATCAACTGATTCCATAGTAACTGGACGCTCTACAGATACTGAACGCTGTTTTTTACTAGTAGATTTAGATTTAAGCTTTTTAGCCTCAGGCATAACTTTCGATTCCAGGACTGTCTCTGATTCACCGGTTACCTGAGCTGTAATAATGATGCCTTGGCTTACAGCAAAAGCTATCTGAGATTGAGCCATGGGTTTCAACAAAGGAACCACTTCCTCACCCGTTTCAACAGTCTCTGTTGTTTCAATGGTCAATGTTTTGTTGAGCTCATCTGAAAGTCTTGGATAAACTGATTCGGTCTTGATCATCGGCGTTTCTGTGTTTGTGGTACTTTCGAGTAGCTGTTCTGATTCGATAGTAGCTATGACTTGAGTCGATGTTATATCGACTTTAGAACTTGCAAAATCGTCCTTCACCAATTCGAGGCTACCTTCTTTTTCGAATGAGTCTCTTTGTACAACGACTAATGACTGCTTAGATTTTATCGGTGGTTTTGCTTTAATCTTTTTCGTTTTAGGTTTGGAAATTGATTCATCGATTAAGGTCTCTGTTTCTTTCTCGACTAATTGATCAACCCTACATTCAGCAACAATCATTATCGGAAGCTCAATCGAAGCTGATTGAAGTGTTTCCTGTGGTGTTTCTAAAGGTACTTCGTCTTGAGAAACATCACTTGTTACTACTGAGATCGCTTGTCCAATCGATTCAATCGATTGATCAGCTATTCGAGGTTTAACTTCAACACCATCGAAAATTGTCTCTGCTTCGTATGTTGATTGTTGACTAATTGTAGTCGAATATGTTGATGGTGATTCGACTACAGTGTCTTTAGGTGTTACTCTGATTTCTGGTTGAATCTCTGTTGGTGTTTCCATCTCCATAATAACTGGTCTCTCGATAGAAATTGATCTTTGTTTAGTGATTGAAGTTTTCTTTGTTAACTTTTCTCTTCGAGGTTTGGGTACTTCGAATTGTCCTTCTTTCTCCAATGTTTCCTTGTTTTCTATTGATACTGTTACTTTATTTGTATCAATTGTCTTTGTTGTCGCAGAAGCAGTTGATGGTTGAGGTGTTTCTATTTCTCCTTCTTTATCTCCGATTGTTTGTTGAGATCCTTGAATAGCGTCGAGTGTTGTTATGCTTATGTCACTTTTACCTTTTTCGATTACTGGTAAATCTAATTGAGACTCGGAGTCAACTGGTGTTTCCATTGACACAGTCATTGGAAGATGTGATTGATCAGATAGAACCGAAATTGTTGTTCTAACTGTGGGTGAAGTTAATTGTAGTATTTCGACTTGATCAACGGGTTGAACTTGATCAACAATTACTGACGATTTATCAGGAATTAACGTTGATTTCGCGGAATCGCTCGTCGTTTTTTCTTGCACAGAAGTTGTAATCTCTTCTATGGGCTGACTTGAAGACACAGAAAATGCTACTCTTGTAGTTATCTCCATGGAACTAGTAATAGTTTCGGAGACCATAGTAGTTGGTAGGTCAAGTTCCCGTTCAAATGAGTCGCCTTGGGTCACTTGTATCGGATGCTTAGGTTTAATTGACCGCTTAGGCTTAACCGAAGTCGATTTAGCTTGGACAGATTTCGACTCAATCGGTCCAGATTCAATGAACGAATCAAGTGAGCCTTCAATGGCAATAGAAGTTGGAATCTCAACTCGAGCTACTTCAACATTTGGTCGATCAATTGTCAAGGGTATTTCAAGGTTCCCTGTATCAACATTTTCTATTCCAATTGCTTGATTTGGTCTTTTCTCGATAATTGACTCAACTAATTGTGATCCAATTGGTATCGCTTCTTGTACCAATGATTCTGGTTGTTCAACTGTTTCCATTGAACTCACCGAAATCGAACTCATTGACAAATTGTTTCTTTCGCTTGTTCTTGTCTTGATTGGTCTGGTTTATCAATTCTTTCAACTGATTCAATTGTCTCTTTGGATTCAATTGTGAGTGATTTTTGTTTTTTAAGATCAACTTTTTTCTTCAACTTTTGTTTTTCTGGTTTAATTGTTGGAATCAATTTAGATTCGGTGTCACCGGGAATCGATGAAGTTACTTCAATCGCTTGACTCTCAGTCAAAGTGACATTTGGTTGTTTATCTTGAATATCGGTCAATTGGACGACCTTTTCACTTTCACCGATCTCAACACTGCTTATTGTTAATGCATTTGCTGGGCTTTCCACCGATTGTCCAGCGATTTCGGGACGTGCTAATTTTATTTCCAAAGTTTTTTCTAACGTTTCAAATGTCTCATCAGTTGTAACTGATAATGACGTTGGTGTCGATTCTAAGGTCAGAATAGCACCTTGACTTTTATCTGGTATCGTTTCCGGTATTTCGGTCTCCTTTTCAAAAGACTCTTTCTGTTGGACAACAAGTGAGTGTTTCGTTTTAATTGGCGCTTTCACTTTGACCTTGGAAGTCTTTGGCTTCTCGATAATCTGAGTTTGTTCAATTTCACATGAAAATTCAACTCTAGATTCTGGTACTTGAAGTGAAACGACCTGAATATCTACCAGCTCAGTTCGAGTCGGCTCACTGGTAAAAATGTCAACTTCCTGTGGGGAAGGTTTAACATCAGATATTATCAGTGCCGATCGAGTATCAAGTGAACTGGTCGCTTGGCGTTCAATTACTTCTGGACTTGTTGGTATTGAAGATTCAGTCTCCATGATCGGTGCCATTGTTACCTGGAAGGCTAAAATTGGTGGAGCCAATTCTAACGAAGCTCGACATGTAAGTGGCTCTTCGACTTTTCGAAGCAGCTCTTTTTCCATTAAATCTTTGCGTTCAATGGACAGAGATCGTCGTTTTGGAACCATTTGTTTAACCGATGCTCTTCTAGTCTTCGATTCAATTGGTTCAAAAGTCGAAGTTTTCTCAATTGTCTTTGCTTCAACAACTTCGACACTCGATCTTGGAACTGTGTCAACAGCCACTGGGGCCAATGAATCGATGATTGGTGAATCAACCATAAGTGGAACCTCAGATTCCAACGTTTGACTACCAGCGATTGAAAGTGATCGCTGTTTAGGAATACCTTTCAACGCTCGTGCCTTTTTGATCGGAGGTTTACTTAGTTCTTTGAGTTGTGTCTCTTTTTCACTCGATCCCGTTTCGCCGACCGTAATTGCCTCCCGTGTGACAATACTTGGTCCAGCAATCGATTCTGACCTTGGTCTCGATAGAATTAATTTCTGATCCATTTCCAAAGGTTTTCCAGAATCGGTCATTTGCTCAGCCGAAGTTGTAATCATTAAAGTTTCCGATGAAACCTCGACTTGTTCCGGTTGTTCAATTTTCTTTCGTTTCTCAATCTCGATTACTGTCTTTTCGATTTTAGTTGTTTCCGGAATTGATAATTTACGAGGCAGAACTTCAGGTACATAAAATATAACAGTTTCTCCTGGAATCTTTTTCTTAATCATAATTGGTTTAGTTAATTGGATTTCGGTTGAATCTTTTCGCACCTTTTCAACTGGTTTAATCTCTTCAGGTAGTTCGACCGGAGTTGGTTCAGGCCCTTTTGTTTCTATCTCCAGTTCAGTTGATTCTAAGCGTATTAATGATTTTTCTCGGCCCTTCGATTTGATTGTTACATCTTGAGCTAATGGTGTTGTCGGTTCGGTTGGAATTACTTTAACAGTATCTCGTCTTGAAGGTCGTTCAGGAGGCTTAGGTATTTGTTGTAATTCGAGCGATTTTTGGCCCTTAGTGGGACTTTCGTCTTGAGTTTCTTCGGGAAGTTCGATTGGTAAAGGAATGGGCTTTACGACGTCAATCTCCATCTCTACGGATTCTAATCGTGTTAGAGATCGCTGCCTTCCCTTTGATTTAATAGTCACATCACGAACTGGAAACTCGACCGGCGATTCAATCGGTTTAGCTGCTGGTTCAGGTTTAGGTTCTAATTTTTTGTTTAATTCAATTGATTGTTGACTTAATTTATCATCAATTAAGCTGGTTGGTCGGTCCTCCATGGAAACCATTTCAGTCCAAGGCTCTTGTTTGGGTGAAGTTTCGACTTCGATTTCAGTTGACTCGAGTCGAGTGATTGCTTTCTGTTTTCCTGTAGATTTTAATGTTACTTCTTGAGCCTGGAATTCAATTGAACTTTCAATTGGTTCAATTTCTTGCTTACGAATTATTTTCTTTTCTTTCTTTTGTTTTTCTGTTCGTTTAAGTTGAATAATAGTTCCAGCTGATGAATCTAATGGTTCCGATTCTGGTAAGTCGGTGATGAGTCGAGTGTCTTCACGAGTTCTTGATGCTTCAAGTGTCTCAATATGTATCTCATGTTTTTCGCGACCTCTAGAAGATATTGACATTTCTTGTATCGACTGAAGATCAGATATGAACGGGAATACAAGTTGAGGCAAGGTAATTCCATTTGTACCAATGGTTGTAAAATGTTAGATAAATAACTTCGAGCAGTATCTTTATCTTGGTCAATCAGTTTCTCAGGTAAATCGACTTGTAATGGTACCTTTGTTGGAGCCTTTTCAACAGAGATCGATGATTGTTCAATTTGGACTACACTCGACTTTTGACCTCTACTCGATATTCTAACCTCACGAATTGAAGATTCTTCAGACCTTGATTGTAACGGCGAAGCCTCAGTTCTTACATTCGGAGAAATCGATTGACTTATGGTGATGGCCGCCTGACGACGAACCTCATCCGAAGGTTTTGCTCTTCTGGCGAAATAAACGAAATAGTCATTGGTGTTTCCTGTTCTTGGTGAGTTATTACACTTTTCTCGGTGACAAGGGTCAAACTTTCTTGATGTCGAAGGGACTTTTCTCGACCTTTAGACGATATCGTGAAGTCTTGTGGACCCATTTCTTGAGGTGCTCTCATTTCGGTTTGAATGAACGGTGATTGAGTTGTAACAATTTGATGAGATGAAGTTTGTAGATCACGATAAGTTGATTGTTCAATTAAATTTTGTTCGATTGATATCAATGTTGGTGCTTCTTGAGTTGTTCTCTGAACACTTTTCATCATTTCCATTGAGCTTTTTTCCAAATTTTGTTCAACTTTTGTTCGTCCTCGAGATGTTAATCTAAACTCTTGGTTGAAAGATTGATCGAGTGGTTGGAATGGTACTGATTCCGTGCGAATCAATGGACTGAGGGCTGACGAAATCGTTGCTGCAGCTCGTCTACGTTTCTCAAAGTCAGATTCATGAGTCTCAATGAAGGAAACAATCGACGGGAAAGTTGATTGTTGTTGACTAATCATTGTCATCGATTTCGTCTCATCAATTGGTACTCGGTGTTCAGTGATTAACATTGGTTGTTGAACTTGATGAACGGATGATGTTACCGGTAGCATTTCAATGTAATCGGGAGAGACGGCGGGAATCTCATGATAAGGTGTAACAATTTCAGAGATATATTGCTGATCTCTTTCTTTGGACGAAGTTCGAACTCGAATTTCTTTAATATAGAAAATCCATCGAGGTGATGGAATATCAACCGATGTAATAAATGGACCTAATGCTTTGGTGATCATATCAACAGCCATTTGCTTCCGTTGATCAGAAGCTGTTTTAAAGGTACTAACTGGAGGCATTTCCATAATGGTCACTTCGGGTCGATCAGTTGTTCGGACAATAATTTCTGCAACATTGAATATGTACATTGGATGGGGCAATGTCAGTTCGGCCTTGACCAAAGGCGCTAAAACTTGTTGGATATGTTGAGAGGCCTTTTCTTTTCGAGTCACTGTCTCGAAATCACTAATTGGTGGTTGAAGTACCAAAGGTTCTGGTTGATAAGCCGATGGATGAAATTGATACCGTTGATAAGGAAGGTCAATAGTCGATGATGATCTTGTTTCCAAGGACATTGTTCGAGTTTGTGGTTGATCCAATAGCTTTTGATCTTTAATCAAGCTTGATTGTTGGACTAAATTCGATTGAGCCAATTCTTGTTGACGAATAATTTGTTGATCAAATGTGCTTGTCGATAACAAATCGGGCAAGAATTTAGATTCACCTTGATCTGGATGTAAAACTGTTCTAGTTACAGTTGACTTTTCTAATCGAGTTTCAGATTGACTTCGACCGCTTGATCTTATTGTTACTTCTCTCGGAGTCAATTCTTTAGGTGAAGTAAATTGTTCCTGTTGGTTAGTTAATTGTTCCAATGAAGTTGAAACTTTGGATGCACCAAATTTAAGGGTCGATGTTTTCATGATCGATTCAGGTGATGTCGTTGATGGTTGTTCGGGTACGATTTCAGGTTTGATTGGTGATTTTATCATTTCAATTGTCGACGATTCTAAAGTCAACTCGCTTTGTGATCTTCCCTTTGATGTTAAGTGCACATCTCTTGGTGCCATAGGTAATTGAGGCGCTAATTGTTGCTGATCATCAGATACTCGATAGCTAATGATTGAATATGGAACCATTTTGTCAGCTCTCATTGTTGATTTGATCGCTGCTGAAACAGTTTCTCGAGCCATTTCTTTATCAACCTCAGAGTAATCAACTAATTGTGGACTTGGTTTTATTATTTGTTGACCAAATCTTTTGATTGTTGTTGATTCAGTGGTAAATTGTGGCAAAGCTTTTGAAACAAAATCTATTGGACGTTTTTGTGATTCAATTACATTGATATCGACAATATCATCTGGTGCTGATGTAAATTCAGTTTGCATGGTTGATGATTCACTTGATTGTTGGACAACTTTATCACCTAATTTCTGGCTTGATACTGATGTGATTGAGATTGATGTTGTTCCTTTAATTGTTGACCTTTTAATTGGTTTGGGTGGTACTTTTGGTGGTGATGATTCAGATATCGATGAAATTGTAATTTCTTGTGATGATGATTGTTGATTAAATTGTGAGTCTATTTCAGGTTGGAATGGGTAAGTAATTAAAGGTTGCACTTGAGTTTCCTCTGGTTGTTGAGCAATTAGTTTTGATTGTAATGGTTGCCTTGAGGGCATTTGTTTAACTTTTGACCTTACGGGTGCTATTGGTGAGGATTGATCAATAGTTAACGATTCTAATTGATTAATTGGTTGATCCTCTTGGTAAGGATAAGATACTTGAGGTGATGGCAATTGAATCGTTGAAATATGAGGCCGGAGGGAATCAATGATAACTTGAGCTGCTTCTTGTTTTAATTGTGGTGAATAATCAACTGGTACTGATTGAGGTTCGATCGGTGAAGGTCTTTCTATCGTCACAATTGGACTTGATTCGATTGTCGCTGATTGTAATTTACTATATGGTTGTTCAAATAATGTTCGAGTTAAATCAGTTCGTTCCTTTGGTTGACCATAAGAGCTCAGATGAATATCTTGACGATAATCTGGCCTTTGGGTAACATCGACAATCTCATTGATTGGAATCTCTCTTGATTCCGTTGTTATATCAATTTCTGAAGAATCGGTTAATTGTTTAAATGTTGATGTTCTTGAATCAATAGTTAATTCAATTGGGACACCAAATGGTTGTCGATGAATCGGTTTAATTGGCACTGGTGGTGGTTGGGGTTTTGGTTGAGTTAATTGTGATGGAATCATTTGTAATGAAGATAATTGATTGTCAGGTATTGGTGATGATTCAATAGCTTCACTCCATTGACTTGATGGTTGAACTGTTGAGGGAAAAGGTAAATCACTTGATTGAGTTGGGACAATCGGATAAACTAGTTGACTTGATGGCGTTTCAATTGTTGAAATGAGTTTCGTTTCTGGTTGACCTTTAGGTTGAATGGTCATCGACGGGTGAGTCGGCATTGATCCTTGAATGACCCTTTCAGAAGTGTAAATTGGTTTTACCTTTGATTCAACTTGAATCATTTGTTTATCTTGTTGTTGAGTAACATCAACAATACCTGTTTGTTTGGATGATGTTTTAATTGTGATTATCTCTTGTCTTTTAATTGATTCCTTGATTGTCTTCGGCCTTTCAATTGGTTTAACTCTTTCACTCCTAATTGTGATTAACATTGGTGGTGAACTGTCAACGATATGTGGAGGTCTTTGCCGTTTGATTAACTCAATTTGTGTCACACTTGTTTTTAATTCAACAAAATGTTCACTAATTAGATAATCTTGATTAACTCTAACCGGTAATGGATAATCAATAACTCGTAAATCAGGTAATTGTGTGCTGATTGTAGTGATTGGCGATTTTTCCAAATCTTCGGGTGATCTTTCAACTGTCTCGGTGATCATTATGGAAGATTGTGTTTCCACCTCTTCCGAAGGTTCTAATCGTGAACATGGCACTGATTCGGGTACCATTGATATCGAAATTGGTACATAGAAAACATAAGTTAAAACTGGAATTTCTAAAACAACGATTGTCCATGTGGTGGTCAATTGATTTTCTATCGATTCTCTGGTGAGTTTATCTTCTTTTCTTTTGATTGTGATTGATTTACTTTCTTTGTGCTGTTCTTTGGATGATCGCTTTTGACCACTACTTCGAATGGTCACTTCTCTGAACTCTTCACGAACAGTTGACGAAGGTCCAACCATTGGTTGCGATTGAATCGTCGAAACTGGAAGTGGACCATATTGACGTTCAATAAGAGCCATTGTTTCATATCGATTCAATTGGGTTGAATATTGTTGAGAAATGCTGATCAATTGAGGTGTGGGTTCCCCTGGTTGATTGGCCATTTGAGCGGGTAACATATCCTCGTGAATGGACATTACGATCCTTGGGAAAGGAAGTGAAGTCTCTGAACTAATTGGTGTATCTCTTTGTTGAATTACTTTTACTCCTTTAGGTTGAATTGGTGTTGATTCTTGTGGTGAACTGATCATCTCTTCAGGTCGTTTTGTTTCCAACCTTTGGAAAGGAACTTCGTACTCGGTGATTACAGTCAATTCTTCTGGTTGACCTGAGGTTAGATCTTGATCACCGATCAATGTACTAACTGAAGGTTTCACCGCTTTACCTTGAATTCTAAAGACTATTCGAGTCTCAGGAATCTCGATTGTCGAGATTAAATTTTTAAGATAACCTAAAGCATAAAGAGTATCAATATCGATAACTCCACTTTCACTCCTCGCTAATCCCGAAGGTGAGGGTATCACTGAGCTATAATCAATCATAGAGGTCAAAGGGCGACCGTGTGAATCTACGGGAACCTCTTGGAATCGATACTCATAAATTGGACATGGAACAGTGTAAACAAGAGTAGTTGGTTCAACGATTCGAGTTATATGCAAACTTGCACTTCTCTTGAGTCCTTTCGGCCTTTCTACTTCTTCCAATTCTTGTTCTGATCTTTCAGATAGAACTGAATCAGGTCGAATTATTTCCCCTGAAACTGTTTCAACACCGATTGGTGACAGTGAGACACCAT